GCTATATATATAGCCAAGCATTGAACAAAACCATTTGAAGCATTGTTGCTAAGAAAATAAATCACCATCACTTCACAACAAAATATCTTTCCACCGGCACTATTATTAAGTAAATAAATTATCATCGCTCTATTGTTTTATTCCACCATTTTAACACAATAAAATATCATTGATGAATGGTGTTTCTGTACGTTGGAGGAGAAAACTTCATTTGGCCATTAAAATATTAAAAAAGGATAAAGCCACTTTTTGAAAATTCAACGAAAGCAAATTAGTTTTAATTATTAAGAAACATAAGGTGCAATTAATGCCAAATAAAGCCACGGTTTGTAATTCAAATTCAAAAATTGCAAGAGATAAATAAGGATTTCTGATAAAGCTCCTCTATAATAAATATTTTTAATTTTTGTCAAAAATAATTTCACACAAACAAAAATGCTAAGATATCTCCTCTCATGTGGGCAATGAAAACTTATCTTTTAACACACTTACTACACAACAATTATAACAGTTCAAGTATTATTAAAATTAGAAGTACAACAATAACAAACTTTATCTTATAAAGTAAGATCAGCTATGTAGATTGTATGACGCTATTGTGTTTTATCACATATTAAGTTTTTAAGAATATTGTTAATTAAGAGGTAATTCTTTCAAAACCGTCTTTTACATTTTTTATACTCAAATCCAAAATATTGTCTTTAAAAGGGCATGGGACCTTCCATTATGAGTAACACATATTGGTTATATAATAATTACTCCTAAGATATTGTTTGCTCTTAAATGCAAGACTCTAATCTCATTTTGCCTGTCACATTCATTATTTGCTCCTAACCCATATTGATATTGCAACGATAGGGATATTTTCAACGTAAATGATTGAAATGGGATATTGTAGAAAAACTAATACACATTTTTTTACAAATAACTAAATTAAGTTATTTATTTTATTTGTATTAGTTATCTATCTTTTATATTTAGGACGAGAGGGAATGCAACGCATTGATTCACAAAAATTATTGTTCATATTATAATGACTGTTATGTTTGATAGTTTAAGGTGACAACTAATTGGGTTGGATTGTCAAACAATCTATGTTGCATTGATTCAAAATTGATTTAAAAAAAAATAGTACAGATGCATAACAATAAAATTTTTTTTTTAAGTTGCTATTTTTTTTTTCAAGTTATAAATAGTATAGCTTGTTTCGTAGATTGCATGTCACGCATGAGGGCCATTTTTAATAATTAGATATTTTAGGCTTGATATGAATTGTATATACTTTATATGGATTTAAACCTATACAACATGAATTTCTTATGAGACGTTTTTGTCTACGAAGTTTTTTTTTTTTGGGACAAATTGTCTACTAAGTTGAAATGTATAATTCTCAGGGGAACTAATTACATCAAAAATTGGTGAATCATCATGGGAGACCAACTAATGCATCACTTTTAATAAAGTTTTGTTTCTCATTGCATTCTTATATAAATGTTGTATTATTATTTATAATTAATATTCCTGCTTGGAAAAAATCGTTGGTTGCATGAATGAGATGCCAAGATTTGTTTAGATTGAATGAAACAAATACAAATATTTTATCAGTTGTTTTGGCCAAACCCCTGGTTCATTATCATAATACACACACGCACACACACACATAATGATTCAAGCTTCTGGTAGCAAATAAGAAAAAGTTTGTAGTCTCTGAACATGCTAAATGAAAATGGAGACAAGAAGCATAAAACAAATGTGGCTTTTTCAAATCTGAATATTATATACTGTGACTTAAAAGACGTAAATTATTTAAACTACATTCTGTTCCATGCAAGTGTTTCATGAATCACTAAATGTTGTTGTGTCGAACCTTTTACTTTTTTGAATGGCTACTGATATTATGTTCACACAAAAAAAAAAAAAACAGAGAGAGAGAGACAGCTTTAGTTGTTATCTTATTAGGGAAAAGCCCTTAGGCTGATTGGATGTTAATACGTTTGGTAATCAATTAATTATGATCAAGACGTGATTTTAGGGTTTAGGTTGGCCAAAACTATGACAATGATTCTATTACAAAAATCACTTTTCTCAAACAATTATGATTCTTTCTCGATATAAAGATATACATGTAACATCTGAAATCTTCATTTGAGGACATGGAGTTAGTAGGAATTGATTTGGATTTGTATTAGGGATTTAAATAGGAAACTTGGGATAAATAGTTGGCCTCTATTAGTGTTTGATCGCGGATACAACATAGGGAATTGTATTTGTTCGTGGATGAAGTTGAAAGTGTACCCCCTCCACTAGTGACGAGGTCAGTGGTGAACCTATGTTGTAGTAAGGGTGGACACTTGCCCCCACTAATTTTTGTGAAAATTACATGCAAGGCATGTAAAATTAATCCTTTTTGACTTTACTAGTTTTAATTCGAGTATTTTGTCCTTTTGTCCCAACTGACCTAAGGTCTTTAATCCGCCACTAGACAGGGTGGATTCTTGAACTAAGCTTCACTTAACAGGATAAAAGTATGAAGGAGATATAAGGAAGGGTTAGGGCTTGTATAACTTGTTATGGTTGTTTTAAATGAGTTAAATATTTTAGTTGTTGTGAGAACAACATTCTCATGATTGTGAAATCAGTTGCGAAACGCATTGCAAAAGTACCTATGTATAGGTATCTGTTTGTGAAATGAGTTGTAATGGTTTGTTAATGTAGATTAGAATATTTATTCGTTACCGTTTGCAATTTTCGTGTGAGGGTTTGCAGTGGTTCACAAAGGATGGGGCCGAAGAATCAAACTTATGGTTTCCGATTATTCTTCGGCTTGACACATGTCATTTTTTAGTTTTAATTATATTTTTCCATGACCTATAATGATTTTAACTCAAGTTTTTTGGGATTTTATGCAAATATGAGTATTATGGTGTTTTGATATTTATTTAAAAGATTTAATCTCTGATATATTGGTTGAAGTTTGGATTGAGCCCTATTTGATATCAAAGTATCATTCAATTTTCATATTGTGTTGCGAGGCTTTATATGCTGGTTGTGTGAATTTTTGCAACTTGGCATGGATGCTTGGTAGTTGTAATTTTTTTTTCTTTCCATTTTTACAAATATGGATGCTTGTGTGAATTTATGATCTTATCACTTATTATTAATAACTAGGATTAAGGATAAAAAAGAAAACAATATATATTTTTATAAATTTTTTTTAATATGCAAAATATAATTGAAAGTTACTTGTATGTTAGATTGGAGGGAGTAAATCTTTATATTTTGCTCCTTTTCTTTACATATTTTGCGCCATTCATCTTGATATTTTAAATTTTATATCCATTTAAATCTTAAATGATAATAAATTAATAAAAATAAAAACATCACAGAAAATTTTTATCAACTGTGCAAATAGTTATTACACACAAAATAAAGGAAATTTTATTACAGCTTGAAGAATGAATACATTTTTGGGCAAGTGCAACCATTTTATTAGCGATAATTGAGTATTGAGCTCAGTTAAAGAGATATGATATCATGAAATCAAAAAAGAGATTTGATATCAAAGTTTTGAGTTTGACTCTTATGAATAAACCAAAAAAAAAAAAAAGAAATATTGGGATAAGCCCATATTGCCTGAGGACGGGATGCAAATTACTAAATTAATTAATAAATATTAAATTATTTTTTTTTTCCTAGAAAAGCTATCATCTCACCATTCTAAACTGTAAAGTGCCATGGGATCACTGAATTATAAAATGAGTTTTTTTTTTTTGCAAACTATAAAATGAGTTACATTACAATTTACTCATTTCTTTTTTAAAAAAAAAAAGATTGATTGCAAAGTATCTAAATTAATTTTTTAAAAACTTACAAGTGCAAGAAAAGACCTCATGTTAAATTGGGAGAATGGACATGACTAAAAATTTATTCTACAAAAATCAATATAAAATAAATTATTGTTAAAATGAAAATATAAATTTATCTTTTTTCATGAACAAAACTTGTTATTAGTTTTTATTCACGAATAAGTTTTGTGGCTAGTGCTTGTGTTTGGATATGATTCCCCCTATTAAATTAGATATTTGAATTTGGTGAACGACCTAAGTTCACTATGAGTATTTTAATTATAGTTGTTATATTTTATTAATGCTTGAAAATTGCTCCTATTGTCTCAAATTATAAGACAGCATTGAAAAAATTTTGTTGTTTCAAATATAAGATAATTTAATAAAAATAAAATTTTACTAATAACACTTTCCCAACATTACCCTGTAAATTGAGAGAAAATTGAAATGATTGTAAATTTAAATTTAAAATAATATTAAATGATGAGTAATTTTTAAAGTTTATATTTTTATTTTAAAAAATAAGTTTATAAAGTATTATTATTAAGTTTTATTGATATGTATAATCTTATTTTAAATTATCTTATAATTTGAGATAAAAAGTATTAAAATATATTTTTTTAAAAAAATTCATCCTTATGTTTATCATTTAAAAAAATGTGAGATGTAATATTTTTTAAATATTATATAACAAAATTCTTGACAATTCAAATCAAGCAATTATTATCACAAAACGTGAGAAAGTGACTAAATTAGGATTGCTTGACAGACAAAGTTTTCAAATTCAAGATCAAAACTCTTTTTTTTATGTTTAAACATTTAAAATGTTTAAGAGACTTTAATATTTAAAGATTGTTTAAATAAATTATTTATAAATAAAAATTAATATAAAATAAGTTGTTATTAAAATAAAAATATTAACTTTTTTTAAAATAAAATTTATTTAAGTTTGAATATGTTTTTTTAAAAAGTAAAAAAAAATGATTTGACATTAATGTACTCATTCTTTCTTGTCATTCTCAATGTATATTTATTAAGCTGATATGTCAGTGTGTCACAAGAACCGTCATAGTATCTTCTCTTCCATCTCTGCAATGGTGTCCCTTGAAATTATTTCATCCTTTTCATTCAGCTCGAGTCTCCATCTTTGACTTGTCATCCTGGACTTCCACTGTGCTTGCTTGACCTGCTAAGGGAAGTGGCATCCATTTGAGGAGGAGATGGAGGAGGAGTAGGGATTCTTGATATCACAATCATCTGGCTCATGTTGCTTCTGGAATCTGTAATTGCACTTTCTAACGCATCTTCCACATTATTCACTGTTTCTTCTTCTGATGATTCCTCACTTGCGCCTGATATGCTGTAGAATGAATCTGATCTCACAGGGAAGTAATCTCTTCCTGTGATCCCACATATCTTGCCCTCCGCTATGAGAGTTAAAGCAGTGACCACCTGTAATCTCGTTAATCCCACCAAGAATTCAGCGCATCAGAGATTTGGTAATTATGACTATGGCTTTGTTTCTGAGATTATTGTGATTTTATACTTATATGGTTGTATGTAATGCCTAGATTTCTAGATGGTGGACGATGCCTTGTTTGGAATTAACTTAAAAATTATAATAATAGTGACTATGTTTAGAGAACTTGAATTTCTGTCCACTTATTGTGTGAAAATGGATCTAATTAGAAGGTTGTGAATATACAAGCAATGACCCAATATTGCCTTTGGCACTAATCTGCATTTCATTCTTCTGATACAGTGGTTTAACGAATAATGAAGACCTACCTCAGCCATGTTTAATCTCTTGTGAGGGTCCCTGCTTAGACATTTCTCTGCAATTCGAACCATCCAGAATAGTTGATGGAAATCATGAGAATTCATGATCCTTTCGTCGATTAGATCTGGATAATTCCTCTCTCTTAACAGTGGTCTTGCCTGCAAGAACAACGATGAGATCATAAGACAGAATCCAAGGAATTAACATGAGAATATTTAAGGGCAAAATCTTGGTCTTGCCATTGCAGTGATGAATCATATGGATCAGGCTTCTCTTCTGATTTTGTGGTTTTGTCATCTCTAGATGCATTTAAAGTAGGCATACTTTGTGTACATTTGAAGAGAACATGACCATATGATTCGGAGACAACCCCAGCCTGAATCATACTGGTCATTTCCTTTCTCTCTTCTTTTATTAATGGTGTTTTTGCTTATCTTTTTCTGGGAAAATTTCATCTTTCGAAATTTCCCAATTTTTAAAACTAAAAAGAAGGAAGAAAATTTTGGAGGTGGTTTAGTTGAAAAATCTTCACTCTCCTCTCCCAAAAGAAAACTCTCAAGCAGGAGGGAAGGTTTCTATGACACCTTCCCTTCGCTTCCATTACCCCTCCAAACATTCCCTGAAAGTCAACTTAAAGAAAAACATGATAAACAATTAATGTTCTCCACTTATGCTTGAAGATTCATCGGGATTGGCTGTAGTTAGTGAGCAACTATTTGCATCATATACCTACATTGGCTTTCTGGCCAAAACACATGCACACACACACCCACCGCCACACCCACCCCTACGTTGGCTGTAAAGAAAACTAAGTACCTACTAAAACGACAGAATTTGAGGGGGAAAATATTCCAATTTCCAAGGTTCAATCTCAAGCCAAAAAGGCCTAATATATTCCAATTTTAGTTTCCATCAGCAATTATATTGCAATATTTGACTAAGAAGAACTGGTCTTGGTGCTAACATGTAAAAATTAAAGTAAATAAAACATTATTAATAAATCCAGAGAAAACAAGTAGATAGAAAGTGTGGAAGTCTTTAAGAGCTCAATTTGTACCAAAAAAATTAAATATGTATGAATTAATAAAACTTAATGGCATTAATGTTGTTTACCCATCCCACAAGACTTCGGCCTTCAAGTCTTTGGTCTGTAGTCCTCATTCCAGTTATTAACTGCAATAGGATTACTCCAAAAGAGTAAACATCTATCTTAGTTGACACTTTGCCATATTCTGCATATTCTGGAGCCAAATATCCTAAAGTCCCAACAACCTCTGTCGAATGGATTGAGTCTTGATGTTGACTTCTAGCCAAACCAAAGTCTCCCAGCTATTATAGGCATTGATAAACAAAGAAAACACGTTATGTGATGTTGACTTCATGCCAAACCAAGGTCTCCCAGCTAGTACAAGCATTAATAAACAAAGAAAACAAGTTAAGTGATTATTAGTGAAGAACTAATTCAATGAGCCTAGAGTGGTTATTAGCCTCTATCCCTTAGGTTTTCTGTCTCATTTTCCTCATCACAAGAAGTGATGTTAATAATTTATGGTATGCCAAATATTTTGCAATCAATATCTAACTAATAACACATAAATGCTTTCTTACCAATGCTTGATGATCATGTGTTAAGAGGATATTGTTGGTCCTCATATCTCTGTGTATGATATTATTCTTATGCAAGTATAGCAGTCCTTTTGCAGATCCGATTGCTACTTTAATCCTATCTTCCCATCTTAGCGGAGCTCGACAGTGTTCTGCATAAATTTGGCAGAAGTTAGTCTGTAATAAACCGTATCAAGAGCATCCACATAAACCAAGAATATTCCATGTTGTAGAAAATTGATTCACAGGGACAATATTGCTAGTTTGTAACTCTTTTTCATATCTAATTGGTGTACTTTTCAAAAGGTTTAGATTGATGTTATGGTAATTATATTTTGAAGACTAAACTGTTAGAATTGGCATCTTTGGGGTACCAAAATAACAGGTCACTCTAAACTTAGACTATTAATCTTACGAGATAGGTGCTGATCCAGTGAACCATTGCATACATATTCATAAACAAGAAGCCTTTTGTTTCCTCCAGAACATGATCCCAAGATCTTGACTACATTCTCATGTCTTGCTTTGCTTAATAGATTCACCTCTGACTTAAACTCCTTCTCCCCTTGAAGGCTAGCATATTTGTGTTGCTTAACAGCAATTTTCATTCCATCTAACTGCCCTTTGTATACTGATCCAAATCCACCTTCTGATAGAAAATTCTTCTGGGAAAATCCTTTTGTGGCTTTGTAAAGCTCAGAGCAACTGAAGTCTTTTGACCATCCTGCTTTTGGTCTTTTGTTCTTGCACACTGAACAAACTGGGTTTGCAAACTCCTCTTTCATCTCAAGTTGAGGTGCTTCTGTTTGGCCTATCTCTGTACTCTCAGAATTGTCAAATATTGAATGTTTCCCTGATGTTTGGTGTTTAGTCTTCGGAAAATTTTGCTCCTCTTGGGACTTCAGAGAATGACTGGAAATCAGGGCTTTGGAAATTTGAAGACTTGAAACTCCAGTTTCCATGGGATGCTCACTTGATGATATGGTTCCTGTTTGATTCACCATAGGTTATCTCAATGTATTGTTTATTTGTCAAAAATCATAGATTGATTCTTCTTGATACATCACGTAAGGTATGCAGATTTAGACGAAATCATAGCTTTTCATAACAAGTTATTCCAAGCCTTTCAGTTGGAGTCATTGACTAAATTGGACAATTAGTCTTAAAATGCTCATGAGTCATGACATGGAGTTTCATAGTGTGGGTTATGTGGCTTAGAGAATCCAAAGTTTAATTTGACAAAAAGAAAACATATAAGATTTGGGAAACTTGAGTCTTTTAGTGCATCACCATAAATATTTGTATCATAATCTCTAACAGCAGTAAATATAGTTGGATATCATATAGGCAATAATATTATGGGAAAAGAATATCCTTACTCTTATGAGAAGATGGTTCCTCTGAGCTTCCTGGGATCATTTCCATGTTTCCTACATAATTTGAGCTCTCAGCAAATGATTTTATGTTCTCTGTTAGTTTTGGCTTTTTTAGCATTTGAATGCTATACCGATTCCTTATCCTATAAATGCCACAGGCGAGATTGTCCATGAAGTGCCTCTTATCTTTGTTCATGTGTCTGCATTAAGATGAAATTTTCCCAAGCTGAAGACAGTTTATATCAATAAGAAGTAGTCTTAAGTTTGTAGGTCGCAGCATCATAAAGTTAGTTGTAGTTTGCTTGATCCTGATATGCCATTGCCATTGCCAATATTACGAATGAGGCAATGATAGTTCACATAAAAGTTAATAGAGCAAGGTTAGAAAGATCAAAATCTAGACTAGCTATTCATGGACACTATGATGCCATGTCAAAGATCACCTTAAACTCAAAAGCGTGGCCTACTGAGTGGAGGCCAATGAATCGTTTTGTAACAAAATCCGAACTTTATTGTTTTCAGCTAAATGCCTGATTTCTCAAAACCTTGTAAGCTAATTTTCAATACTTATACAAATCTATCTAACCAGTAGTTAATTGGCTTTTCTTTTACTTGTAAGCAAGTTGCAGGCTAAGATATGGAAGCTGACCTATCAAGTATCAAGCATGTTGCCCTAAATTTATCGACAGCTTTACAAGTAACCTCTGGAGAAGGGTATGCAAGCACTCCTATCTGGAATACTATCTGAAATGTACCACAGCCAAGAGTGATTGCATCAGCCATTACAGTGAAAGACAATCAACTAGAGTCAGTAATCAGGGGAAAAAATAAGTATGATTGGTTAAAGTGGTAAGGAACTCAACAATGTTTAAGAAAATCAAATAGACAGAAAAAACTTCATTAGGAGAGTTTCCCCACACTCGGGACCTATCCTGACTCAAACTTAAATTTATCAATAATTTTGATACCAGATAATTTGTCAAAAATAATGCAGTTTTATAGCTTTTGCTATTATATTCTTCAATAAAAGCATAACTTGTGGAGCTGAGTTGGGGAAAAAAAATTGTTGGTTTTATTTTTACATTGGATGACCTGAATCAAACACTTAAGGAATTTAAGGGAAAGAAGTGATACATGTTGTGTTGTGTTGTGCTGTGCTGCTGTACAAACATTTGTTCCCCTAATGAAAGCTTTGTCATTTGTAATCCCATAAATCTTTTAATAGTGAGAATATTATCATGCTTCCAGGCATAAGAAGAAAAATCATGTTTAAAAGTTATTTCAAACATTTCGAATTCTAGTTTGTATGGCTTTGTTCCCTACTTGTGAAGTTTATGCAATCCCTTTATAATTTAGAGACCTATTTGAAGCCTTAAATACTCTAATAGCGTGATTTTTTCATTGAATTACTTGATACAGGCTATGAAGTTATATCAGAATGAACTCACATTTTTTGCTTCACAATACTCAGAAAGTTTCATGACTCTTGGTCTCTTACGATATTCTTCTTTTGTCTTGCAAAGTTCCTTTTGAAGAATTTTCAGATCTGTTGCAACAAATGATCTTGAATCCATCTTGACGATTTTGTTCCCTAACAAGAAAAAGGAAAAGAACAAGGACTTAGAAAGCCAGCTGTATCAGTAAGTGACGCAGCTTCAGACTCAAGTTGTATTTTTTGATTATTAGAGGCAATCCTATTCGAACCAGGGTTGGGCAAATGTGAGCACTCCTCTCAATGAGAATTCAAATCTTAGTTCATTACATTATGAAAAATTAGTTCTTTTTGTTTGACTCAACTCCATTTTATATAATGGAGATGACTCTAATGGTATTAAATAATAAGTTATTTTCTTTTTAAGGAAAAAAATAAATATAATCAAACAGCAAGACATACCAAATATAGCAAGAATTGTGAGCGCATCTCCAGGTTTTAGAGAAAGCTGTTTCAGAACCTTTTTTATTGCACAGGTGCTCACGTCTTCTGAAGCATCTTGTATCACCACTACCCTCTGAAGCTCTAAAGACATTTGTTTCCCCCTCTTAAAATCTCTGTTTGAAGTATTCCTCTCAAATTTTTCTTTGATACTGACCCCCAATTTCTTATTTAAAACAGGAATGAATGATAATTAGTTAACATTACACTTCAACCATAATGACCTTTTCCTTCACTTTCATTTGCTTTCCCTAAAAGTTTGTGTGTTTCTGATAAATGATCTATTCATGAACAAAGTGAGTCGTAATCACGACCAAAAGGGAGGGGGGAAAAATCAAAGAGAGTCCACGCACGCACACACTTCTGTGTAACTATGCTTCAAAAAGTCTCATAACAAAAAACAAAACAGTGTAGGAAAAGAAGTAAAAGGGGAGTGATGAGAGGATAAGAGCTTCTCAAGAGGTAGATTGCTCATAGCAGTATATTCGGATATTCAATGTGAGGGTATGAAAGTAAGGAGGAGATTTTATGAACAATTTCTAAGAATATTATATTATTTTTGGAGATTCTATTTTAATTTGATATTGTTGGGATCTAAGATGCATTCGATCAATCCTAAGCTTTTAAACGAAGTCTCGGAGGTGGTTTTTTTGGTTGGTAATAGACTTCTAAAATAATAGGATCATTGTCAGTACAGTTAGGCAGATGGTCATCATATTTTGCCAAAAGGAAAAAAACAAAAGAAAAGAAAAGAAAAAGAAGAAAGAAAGAAAGAAAAAAGAAAAAGAAAGAAAGAATTCTTCCGATGGGTAATATGTCTTTATTTTATAATATAGTATCTGATATTTGGTATAATCCAAATTATGATTGAGTATTATTAAATCTAGATAGGGGTTACTCTTCTAAAAATATTTTTTTTTTTACATTTTATCAACTGTTAGGGATAAGATGTTAAGATTTGCCTAGATTGAAAGAAACAAAAATGTTATCAATTGTTTTGGGCAAACCACTAGTTCATTATGATAATTGAAAATATACACACACACATTCAAGCTTCTGGTAATGTAGTCTATGAACATGCTAAATGAAATTGGTGACAACAACAATGAAACAACTTTGGGATTTTTCAGATTTGGATGATTCAAGAAGTTTGGTTGGGCCTCAATTTCTTTTGTCTCTCATATTTATTACTTTTTACCTCAAACTATTCCTCTTAATTGTGCATGCAAATATAAGCAATCAATAGAGGTGGTTTCTAATGCAAATGATTAAAAGAAGGGATACTTTAGGAAAACTAACAAAATTTTTTAAACAACTAAGTAACTCAATAATTTTCTTAATATGTGTGAATCAGTTATCACGAAAATCTTATATACTTGATTTGTATATTTAAATTATTTTTTTCACATCAAGACATGTAGATTTTTTTTATAAATTATCTATTTTATTAAAAAAACTTTTATTATGAATATTTTAAAATTTATTTGTCTTAATTTAATTAGATAAAATTTTTTTTTATTTCATCGCTCGATATCTTCAAAAACTTGGGGGTATTATTACATTTTATCCAAACTAATTCGAACCCTCCCTTGTGTAGGATTGTTATTACCAACGGTGGCCTCACAAGTATATTGAAAATATTTTTGACATATTTATTTAATATGATTGTATATCTTAAAACTTAAATTTGAGAGTCTAAGATAAATTGATTCAACTTTTTTAACCAATTGAACCAAGTGCTTTTCAATTGGATAAAAATATATTAAATATATACTCCCTTCAGGCCTTAGTGTAGGATACCTTTTAGAAGTCTTGTTGGTCCAAAATATAAGGCTTTGTGTAATCTTTATAATTATTTTTCAACTATACCTCTATTTTATTTATTACTCTTTTTTAAAAAATGATGCATTGAAATTAATTATCATTATTAAAGCATTTATATAGAGTATTTAATAAGGATAAATTTGAAAAGATGTAATTTTTTTTTTAAGAAATCAAAGTTTCAACTAACATTTCTTTTAGAATCGTGAATTAATTATCAATGTCCAGATATTTTGGTTCGGAGGGAGTAAAGCTAAATTTCAAAGTCTTGCCCTTTGTTATCTGACTTCTAAATTTAAGATCAAAAGAAGTATATTGTGGCTTATTTTTTGACTGAACTTCAGTATACCAAGTCTTTGACATATGTTAATCTAGTTGGAAATTGAGGACACTTTTTTGAAAGCATATTTCTTATGAAAAATGTAAGAGTAAAAGGATAAAAATACCCACAAAGCGATCAACCAAAGGCACTCAGTATCCTAAAGTAAGAAAAAAGGTAAAAATATCCATAAAATTACATGACTAGATGCAAAAGTGATCAAACCGTTAACTTTAACCTAACACCGTTAACTTTAACCATTAAATGTTGATTATGCATGTCATGTGTCAGTTGAGAATTTTTTTGTCCGTGTCAAAGAAAAAATGATTAACTTCTACTTAGGTATCAGCTAAATAATCAACATTTAAAAAATTTAATGGATTAATCACTTTTGCACTAATTTTAATAATATTATAGGTATTTTTACTCTCATACTCTCATGCTTCTCTTAACATCATGTTATCTTAACTAAGAAAATCCCAAGGACCACTTTTGTCAGGGCAATCTTTAATGTGTTTGGTAATACTTACTTCTAGTTAAAACGTTATTTTGAACAAAATAATCTTAGTCAAAAGATATATAATCACTTTTTTAACTAGTTATTAAACAAGAATAATTCTCCCTCAATGTAAAAAGAGATATTGAGTTAGACAATAATTGAGCCAAGCACATTTTTCATACAATGCTCAAAAACTAAGGACCACTTTTGCATAGTATAAATTTTATATTTTATATTGATTTAAACATGCACAACAATGATAGATTATATTTTGTAAATATTTTTATATTAATTTTATATTATGTATTAATTTAAATTTTTTTAATGTGTTTGGTAATTAGTTATTCTAATCAAAATCACGTTTTTGACCAAAATAATGAGAATAATTTAATTTTAAAGAGACACACATGATACATTCATCAATTTTCAATTCACATGGAGCTTTAATTTTGTTTTCATGGTAACAAACAAGTTGATCAATGATCAGGCTACAAAACAAACAAACAAGTTGACATATGGGATGGCTTGCCATGTCATCGTATGTTTAATAATAATAATAATAATAATAATAATAATAATATTGTCTGCTGACATGGCTGGTATAAGGGAATTTATGCCTCTCAACCTATTTAATTAATAATATGCTTGGACACTACCACTTTAACTGGGACTAATGCAAAGCGCGAAGGGGTGCTTCCACACAATTCCATTGCTCTTTTGAAAATTTTTAAATTTTATTTGTAAAATAAATGTAAAAATTAGTTTTAGGTCCTCCATATTTTAGATGATTTTCAATTTTGCTCCTCTACATGTGTTTTTAGATTTGTTATTATTATATACTGTCTCAAATTATAAAATATTTTTAATTTTTTTAACATTTTAAAATATAAAATATTTTAATAAAATTAAAGTTTCACTAATTATACTTTTTTTAATACTATCCTTTTAATATATTTTCTTTTTATAAATAAAATATTAAATGAAGTGCTATTTTAAAAATAAAGGTATACAATATATTTAATAAAATTTATTAATATTTATAATTTTGTTTAAAAATTGGAAGGGAGAGTATGTTAAATAATCTATAGCTTAAAAATAAGGAAAAACATAATTATGTTCATCAATTTTTATAATTTTATTGAATTTTTTTTAATTTTTATAAATTTTTTCAGTATTTTCATTACTTGTAATTTAAAAAAAAATTGGGTGATATTTATTACTTTAATTTATATAATTTTAATATTTTTAATCTAAAAATATTATAAAATTTAAAGTTAAAATTCAATAAAATTATAAAAATCAATACTTATGTTTTGCCTAAGGTTGTTTTGCATTTTCACTCGGCGAGTTCGTCATCCCCATTTCGTAGCTGAAGCTGAGCAAGGAACTCTCAACTCTCAAGCTTCGTGTTCTTCACGTGAATCTCTCCTCCAATGTCTCTCACTATTAAATTTACTCACCGCTTTCTCTGGATACATCCTTCACGTCCTCATTCCTACGTACTTCTTTTAAGCCTAATTATTACCATTTTTGTTCGCTTCTTATCAATCAGATTGTTTTTTTTTTTTTTGTTTCATTTTCTGTGGATTTCATTTCATGCTCTTCTTCTGACCCTTCTCTTTATATATGCGCTAATTCGGGTTCAAGAGCTTGAATGATAGCGTACTCATGCGCAGTTACTGCGCTAAGCGGAGTAATGCCCATCTGCATCATCACAGCCTCCGTAGATGGCCTTGCTTGGCGAATAGCAGCGACAATGTGAGTAATCTATCACGAAATTCGACTAATTTCTTCTTTCTCCTTTTCTTGTTGCTTTTTCATAATTAACTTTTTATGTGCGGGAGTGATTTTTTAATTCATTAGTTTATTAGAATTTGAATTTTATATTGCAAAATCTGCTGCTTGTTCTTCATGACAGTTTCTGCCGTCAAATGCTTTCTTTCTAGTTCATTTTACTGTCAAATTTGTTCCCTTTTGTTATTTTTCTTACTATCGACGAAATTGGAGGCTATAAGTTTATGTGTATTGGATTGATTAGAGTTTCATATCCTCATTCTTCAATGGTACGATGCCTTGATGGTTAAAGATTTTCATGGAAAATGTATTTTATTGTAAGTTATAATGACATAAACTTCAAATGAATGGTTAAGAGTCTCTTGAAAATGATTGTTTTGTTGACTATAATGACAACGCACAGCCAAACAAAAAAAAAAAAAACAAAAACAAAAACAAAAAACAAAACAAAACAAAAAAGATTTGCAGAATGATAGAGAAAGACTATTTGTCTCAGGAAGTCACTAAAGATAATAGATAAATAGGTTACACTATCCTCTTATAGAAGATCAAAAAATTTAAAGTTTCTGGATTTTTTTTATAAACTTTCTTCCGCATGAAACGTTTTACGAGTGCAATAAATTATGTCTATGACTTTACTTTTTTTTATGACTAACTGGATTATCGTCATATATCTCTTGTTGGTGTAAGGTCAGACACATGAGCTATCAGACGCATGCAAGCATGAAGGTACATGACTACTTATGTTTATTGAAGCATGCAATAATGTAGATCTTTTCATGTTAACTAAATATGAATTCTAATTCCGTATGATGAGCCAGAGTGTTCATTATTTATGTATAGGGCGACTACTTATAGATTATATATTGTTTCATTTTTTTTTTCTCGTAGAATTTTGAATTAAGGACATTATTTTCTGGTCAAACGGTTGTGGATTAAATTTCCAATCAAGTCATTCAGATTTGAGCATCTAGTTAAATTGTAAAAGTTGCCATCTGTCATAATGCATACACTGCACATGCCACCATCGATCACTGGCTATGGAAATCCCTAATCCAATTGTTGGTTTCTCTTATTTTGTGAAAAATGTGAAATTTAGAACTGTGTTGTGAAGTTTGAACACCTTGGAGGGCAATGTGTTATTATATGAAAAAAAAAAAAAACACCTTGGTGGATTTAGTTACTTTCTAGTTTGTTTTTCATCTAGTGCAGGCTGTTTACCTATATACTGAGTTGAATAGAGTTATATTCAAATGTTTGAGTGTGTAACTTGTGACAATTGACTAGGTGTTATGTGCTTAGAAGGAATGTAATAGATTAAATTGTTTCATTGTTTCAACTGGAAGGGAAGAGGGGAAATGGTCAAGTCAATGAGCTCAAATTCATAGCTATATATGGGATTTTATCATTTATTCGTAGCATGGACATCTTGGTCTTCATTTTGATTTGAAGTTTCAAGTATCTTAAGTCATAACCACCACAGGGCATTTTTAGGTTCATCAGAAAGAGAAGAGACAACAGAAGCGGAGTCCCTGACATCCAACAAGTATGTATTACCTGCCCTGTTTTGCTCTTTTAGAAATTGACTAAGGCCAGAAAATTTCTTATCTGCTTTATCTTGTATCTTACATAATAAGTTGATGAGGTGTGATTGTTTCTTGACAAGCAACCTCATGGAGTAGGTTGATGAATAATGATAAAAAAAAAAAAATTAAGGAATGAGCATAACAAGTAGAGAAACAGATGCATCATTTGTTTGGGGGATGGAGAAAATTGCAGGGAATGACAAAGGGAGGGAGGAATGAAGGTCTACTCTTTCCTTTATTCCCAGAGAGGATGCAGAAAGAAGGCTACAATGATACCTAATCAAAACCTTCATCTTTCATTACTAATCAATTAAGTATGGAAATTATGATCGCCCCTTCCCTCTCCCACACTGTTTTCTCATTGTTGACATTAAGAAATTGTGTAAATTGCTGATGGTGCCAACTTTCTTGTTCTGACAGATATTTCTTTGCTTAAACAGCTTTAGCCAGCTCTCATTTGTTTGATATATCAGGATCCTGAAGAAACTGAAGAGATATGGAGTGTCTGGAATCCTTTCCTATGGACTATTGAACACAGCATACTATCTCCCAACATTTCTTTTTGTATGGTATGTGAACACGTGTAAGATTTTTTTTTTTTAAAACTGTAGTATATTGATAATACATATAGTATGGGTGTGCGATATATGGTTGGGCTAATATCGTAAGTAGTCCTAGATTTGGCTAAGGCCCGCCCTTGTTCTGGAGTTATAGCTTAGGTTCTTGGGCTAAGGCATTGAATCAGTTCACATTTGTTAAGAATCTCACTTCTTCTAACTTCTTATCTATCACTTGTTTTTAAGGTGACATGCATTGGGTTATTTTTTTAGCCCTTGAATGCCCTTGGATAAAATGCTATATCCAACATTAACTTGGAATTTGTTGTTTGTTTGTTAGGCTATACGTGGTTCCAGCACCTAAAAGGATGGGTTATCTTGCCGCTGTCGAACGGTAAGAACATCCATATTACCCTATCTCTCATGATTTCTCCTTTTAACTGCTGTCAGTATTAAGGATAATAACTTTTGACCTTTGTCCAGATTTCTCAAAGTGATGGCCATGGTCTGGGCTGGTAGCCAAGTGACAAAACTTGTAAGAGCTGGAGGGTGAGCTGCCTTCTTGAACTCTTTAACATGACTAACTTTGTAATTATCTCTCTTGTGGTCTTTAGTTAGTCTAGAACATTTTTAAATTTTTTTCACTGTTTTTCATATGCTATAACTCCTATTGTTGATGGGAATTTTCTTTCAAATTTTTAGCTGAATGGAAGTGATCATCTAGATTGTTTGAGTAGCAGCATGGAAGTTCTTTTTTGGAAAAAATATGCTTAGATTGTGATTTTAGGTGTTTTCTATTTAGGTTATGTTATGGAATTATGGCATTTGGAGGATGTCTCGTATGGAGTGAATAATGTGACACTGAATTGTAAAGAAGTTCCATGATAGGATTTTTTTAGGGAATTTGATAATCAACTTATAAAGAAACTTTACCTCAGTCTTGTCCTTCCTGATTCGTTGCACATCTTGAAGACCAAAGCTGTGATAAAACCAGTGGATAATGGAGGAAGAGGGATTAGCTCTCTTTGCATTCATTGTTATGGTTGTTGATTTTGTTTGGGGAGAATTACAGCAAGTCTTGTTCTGCATTTTAACAACAATCCATTCTGAATTGGTCCTTGTCCGTGATAAATTCTCTTGAGAGGGGGCTGGCTGTAATTCTCACCTTTGTTTTTGTGGAGTACTCACAATTGGAAAATGCCCTTTTGTAAATTTTGCAGCGCATAAACCTAGGAGGTTACTAGTATAATGACAACCATTTCATGCAATTGACTTTTTTCTTGTGCAGAGCTTTAGCAATGGCCCCTTTTGTAGACAGAGGATTGTCATGGTTTACTATCAAGTTCCAGTTTGAGTCTCAGGGGAAGGTAATCTCCTGAACTACTTTTTCCTCTTGCTCCCTCCCTCTCTCTCTCTCTACAGGGGCACGTGCGCATGTGCGTGTGTTTTGGTTTACTATGAAGTTCCAGTTTGAGTCTCACGCCTTGTTCCTTAACGGTTCCTCAGCAACAGTGCTATGATCAATTTTTAAAATTCTAACCTAACCAATTATCTAGAATTTTTTTTTTTAAATACCTCGCTTCCTCCACGTGTAATAATTTGTTTAAAAAGAATTGATAATAAGTACTTGATATTATACTTAGATATTTTTGTTGGACAGAAACTATTTTGATCCTTGTAGTTAGTGTCATAATCAATTTAAAATCTTCATAGATTTGTTTACAACAATCTAGGTGTTGAAAGGATGACATTGTTTCAATCCTATAGAATATATGATTTTTAAAAGACCCTTGAGGAGACCAAGATTGTGGTACGAAATGCTCTCTGTGAGTATCTAAGTGGATTGATTCTTTCACTTGATAACTAGCCTTTGAGGCATCACCCTAGAGCATCCATCCATTGGTTACATCCCATGTTTTATAGAATATTTATGTGTTCGTTATTCCATCTCGATAGTGAGCTTTTAGATCTCATCACGTTACTGATATAGGATATTCACACACTCTTGTAATGGTGAAATTGAAATGAAATTATACTTTTTGAGTCCTAAAGTATTGATGCAAAGCATATGTGGAGTCCAATTGATAATTAACTAACTTCCACCAACAAATGGCCTAATTGGTAAGAATTTGACTTATATCCTACAAAGTTGTGAGATCGAATCCACTCTTGATGTGAAAATTTTGTTGGTAAGCAATCTCTAAGTAGTTCTATAAATGATCTTTGAGCCTAAAGACATTCTCTGATTCAAGTATGTCCCAACTTAACTCACCTAAGCTTCCATTTTTTTTTTCTGGAAAAAAATAATTACCTCACCTTCCAAGAAGCACAATGAAAGTTTTTGTCTTGTTAAAATCAGTATTATTATATTATACTTGTGCCATTCTATGGCCTAACTAAATGATTGAACAATCTGCATTCTGCAGGCGTTCATGGCAATCGTGGCGTTTTGTTTTGGGTTGGCAATTGTCATATTTTTGGTGATCACATTGCTTTGGGCATGATTTATGAGACATCTGATTAGAGCCAATTAACTTTGTATCACCTGAAAATTTGTATTAAAGCATGTTCAATTATCTCTTGATTCTTCCCCCTTGAAATCTTTGCCAAAATTGCTGAAAATGTTAAGCTCCTTAATTTTTGCCAAGGAGCTTTTTTGGCCCCAATTTGTGAAAAAAAAAAAACTATAATTAATCTCTTGATCTGTTAGTCTCAGCGTGATATATAGGAATTTATGATAGTCCCATAATAGAGTTCTCAATAAAATTTATTAAAAAATATATTATAAATACTGAGTTAGAAATAAAAATTTTAACAACGAAAATTATATTTATAATTTAAATATATTATTTATAATTAGAACTCTTAAATTTATAATTACATAAGTCAATATTTATTATTAATTTTTAAAAAAATTTTACGGGAGACTTAAACTATCAAAAATTTGTAATCAGGATTTCACTCTTGAAATAGTCTTGGCGTAATATATATCTTCATGTTTAATTTAGATGTTGATTAATTTACAAACGCTTTTTATTCTCTTTGTCATAAAATATGATAAGCCAGTTGCTTAAGATTAAAGAGAGATATTTAATCAAAAAATATTAAAGAGGTAGATAAAATAAGGTTTTAGCCAAAAAAAATTTTCTGTATCTACTAGGATCTTTTACTCCGTTACTGCACTATGAAAAAAATGGAGTTGGCTTTTCTTTATTACCCACTCTTTTCACTTCCTCTTCATTTCCCATCTCAATCATCATATCTTTTTTTGAATGATTTTGATTTAATGTTTCATAAAATCAATTTTTTATTTTTAATTATAATCTTAAATCTTGAATTGTAGTTTAGATAAAATTAAGAAAAAATGAATCATTTAGTTCTTGTAGTTTTAACCCAATTGTAGATCAATATATCAACTTTGACTCATTATAATTCAAGTCGTGAAGTTTTGACTCGGTTGTAAATCAGTCTTTAAATTTTGTCTCTTGCAAGTTAGTTCCTGAAGTTTTAACTTCTTAAATATTGATCCCTATATTTTAAAAATTAAAATTATAAAGATTAAAAATATTTTAAAATTTATTACTAATTTTTAAAATTTTAAAATATTTTTAATCTTTATAATTTTAATTTTGAAAATATAGGGATTAACTTCATGAACTAGATTGCAAGAAGTAAAGTTCAAGAACTGATTTACAATTGAGTCAAAACTTTAGGAATTGAGTTATAATGAGTCAAAATTCAGAAACTAGTTTATAACTGAGTTAAAATCACAAGGATCGAATGATTAATTTTTTCTAAAATTAATTATATCTTAAATTTATTTATTTTTTCATAAATTTAATGTTTTAATAATAATTAAAAAATTAATTTTATAAAATATTAAATCAACCATCCAAAAATGAATTTGATGATTGAGATGAGAAATGAATAGGAAGTGGAGAGAAAAAAATTGAAGAGAAGCCAACTCGCCCATTGTGTCCTTTCGTTGATATTTGATAAAATTGGAAGAATACGAAACGTTCCACTTGTTAATGTTAACAAATTAAACTAACATACATAGACCTTTGCAAAAAGATTAGTGCATTATCCACTTTTAATTACGAAGATGCAAAAATTGCTGCATAGCTTTCACGCTGGGCCACTCTAGAAGATGAAGGATCTAGAATTCACAATATTAACAATAAAAAATTTCAAATGTCAATTTCTCATAAGCTATAAAATAAATTATTGTTATTATTAACATCACATTATTATTTTCATTATTACAAATTTTACGTGTCTATTTTACATATCCCTGAATTTGAAAGGGAAGATTAAGGGAACAGAATCAGAAATGCAAAATATTTCTGAAGATCGAGCATGTTCAGAGTTCGATGACGAAGTAGAATCTGGCTTCTCTCACAATCGTGTTGGACTAAATTAACAAGCAGATAGAACTTCTCAATCCAAAATTTAGCTTGTACATGTAGAGTCTGCATTCTAGTAGTACTGTCAACACGGGAGCTCCAGATTACAGAACATTGTAGGATTTGACACCTTTTTTTTTTTTTAACCGGAAGTAGGATTTGCATCTGAATGTAAGATAGAAGTGAATTAATTGATTTTTGGCTACAACATAATCCTCTAACTTTATATAAAATTTCAATTTAATCTTTTAATTTTATAAAATATCCTTTCAATTTTTTAATCCTAACACCATTAATTTCAATTACACTTATAATATTTTATCAATATTTAAAAGTTTATTGTATAAATTTTTTATTGATGAATAATGATAGGATTCAAAGACTAAAAAAATACTTTAACCTTAAGCTAGTCAGACAAATAAAGACAGACCTGGTGTTGACAATATGTTCAAGAGAGTAGGGCAGACATGATAATAAGACAATATGAAAAACTATGATAACGTCATTCATTTCTACAGGAAATTAAGTTCTTGTTTCCAGTTAGAGTCATAAAAGATTGTCAAAATACTTTGTGAAGTCGGATGTTCGTCATGAGAGCTGTGCCTATGTTCCTACCTTAACATCAAACCCAGCCCCCATCTGAGTTTCTTTTCTTGTTACCGGCCGCCATCAGAACAACCTTGACCAGAAGAATGAGCACTAACCCAGCCGCTGCTTTTGTTGTCATCATTACCTCCGCGTCCCCAGCCGCCGCCGCTAGAGTGACTGGTTCCAGCATTGCCCCGTTGCCCACCAAGGCTTTTGCTATCATCATTACCTCCACCTCCCCAACCAGCACCACCACTGCCACTAGAGTGATTGGTTCCAGCATTGCCCCATTGGCCACCATCACTTTTGTTGTCATCACCACCTCCACCTCCACCTCTCCAGCCGCCGCCGCCGCCGCTTCGACTAGAGTGATTGGTTCCAGTGTTGCCCCATTGTCCACCATTGCTTTTGTTGTCATTAACACCTCTGCCTCCCCAGCCACCACCGCTAGAGCGATTGGTTCCAGCATTGCCCCATTGTCCACCAAGGCTTTTGTTGTCATCATTACCTCCACCTCCCCATCCGCCTCCGCCACTGCTAGAGTGATTGGTTCCAGCATTGCCCCATCGTCCACCATCGCTTTTGTTTTCATTACCACTTCTGCCTACCCAGCCGCTGCCACTAGAGTGATTGGTTCCAGTGTTGCCCCATTGTCCACCAAGGCTTTTGTTGTCATCATTACCTCCGCCTCCCCAACCACCACTGCCGCCTCCACCACTGGTTCCAGCATTGCCCCATTGTCCACCAAGGCTTTTCTTGTCATCATTACCTCTGCCTCCCCAACCGCCACCGCCACTGCCACCACTGGTTCCAGCATTGCCCCATTGTCCACCAAAGCTCTTGTTGTCATTATTACCTTTGCCTCCCCAGCCGCCACCACCACCACCACTGCCACTAGGGTAATTGGTTCCAGCATTGCTCCATTGTCCACTATCACTTTTGTTGTCATTACCACCCCTGCTTCCCCAGCCATCATCACCACCTTTATTCCATGCCCTTCCTCTTCCCTGTCCTTGGCCTTGTCCCCAACCACCACCTTCATTGTTATTACCTTCTCCCACATCATCATTACCCCAACTCTTTCCTTTGCTACCTCCCCAACCACCACCAGAGTTGTTTTCATTGCGTTCTGGGCCGCTGCCAAGAATACTCTCACTCCAACTCTTCCCTTTATTATTTCCCCAATCCGAACTCCATCCACCACCATTATAGCTGTCATCATTACCACCTTCATGTCCACATCCTTGGCCGTCACCTCGGCCCCCTCTGCCTCTCCTTCCCCTTTCCCTTCCCCTTCCTGAAGAATTGGCATCAGTCCAGCCGCCGCCGCCGCCGCCGCCATGATCATTTCCAGTATCACCCCACCCGCCACCACTATAGTTGTCATTATTACCTTCACGTCCACGTCCACGCCCGCGTCCTCGGCCTCTTCTTCCCCTTCCTCTGTCCCCTCGCCCCTGTTCCCAACCACCATCATTGAAGGCACCATGATTGTTATCAGCAGGATTCATCTCACTCTCATAATTACTCTGCTGCCAGGTGGCTCCTCCGTCATTGCCTCCACCAGAACCACTTTCACCCCAACTCTTCCCTGTGTTACCCTTCCAACTAGAAGACTTAGTATTAGCCCAACCGCCGCCATTGTTGTTGTCAGTTTCAGTTCCAGCATTACCCCATCCACCACTGTAGCTTTTGTTATTGCATTCATCACCTTGGTTGCTTTTGTTAGACCATCCATTACTACCAGTAGTGTGGTCATTTGAAGCACTGCCCCATAAACTATCGGTCATTTCAGATTCACGTTTTCCATCATAACCTTGGCTCTGACCCCATGCATTTTCATCCCTACCAGCATTTTGCATTCCACTTTCACTGCATCCGCGTCCGCGTCCGCGACCAAAGCCACGTCCACGTCCACGGCCACGTCCGCGGCCACGGCCATCTCCCCCATTATTGTCTGAGAGGCATAAATGAAATAAGATAAATTAAAAATGCAGATTCATAGATACAAAGAAAGGAGTAAGCGGCCATTGAGGAGGAATTTTAATCTAGATTCTGGTTTCAAAGTATTTTGATCTATCCATGGAAATTGAAATTCGAGCTCAATCTATAATATACTGACAATAGGAAAGCAGTATTATATTGTAAATAAGTATTTTGAACCTTGCACAGTAACATGTAAATTTATTCCCAATGCTGAAAAATACATACATTTAACGATTAATGATTTAAGATGATATGATTGCAATGACTTAAGATGACAGGAGCTACGATGACAATTTTCAGATGAAGAGACAACCTACAGAGATGAGAACTACTAAGATGCCCATTTATCTAATGTTATCGACATGCAAAAATAATTCTTTGAAACAATTGCCTCATACTTCTTGAATGACAAGAATTTCTCAACCTTAGGTGGAGGAACCTATTCATCTCTGTTTTTTTTTTTTTTGGGCGAAAGAGGAACCTATTCAACTCACTTTTAAGTTTAAATTCAAAGCTTGCTGAGATCAACCTGACGTCAATCATCCCCCAATTTGTAAAACTTATGACATCGTACATATTGAGTTGTGCACAGCTACTGTGACATTCCCTATTTTTTTTTTTTTTATGTGCATGCATATGTAAATATTTGTAACACGATTGATATGCATAAAAACTCATGGAGTGACTTATAAATGATCCAAAGATTTCAAAATGAATATAAAGGCTAAGTCAAAGAGGCGTAAAAGCTAAATTGTAAATTTTCATGTATTATATTGAAAGAAAAACTTTAGTTTTGTAAATTGACTAACTTATGTAGATTGAAAACGAATTAAAAAAGGGACCAAACGATTACGTATTCATGCCATTTAATGAGGATTTCATAGCTTTAACACATCATAATGCACATTACTTTATTTTCCGTTAATCATAATACTTGACACATTTATTTACCCTCAAAATTCTTTCACTTGACACGTAATACTTCCCATGCCTTGACTCATTTATTTTCAAAGCTTCATTCTGTACATGATAGATCATGAATTAGTAACTGCATTCAACCTCCAAAAAAAATCCCAATTGTAGTTTTAGCGGCCAACTTGCTTTTTTCAAATTGTTTTTCATAAGAGCCAGTTCATCAAAATTTTAGAAAGAATAAAGAATTTGGTTGGAATAAGTTTCCGATTATTTGTATTACCTTGACTTTCAAAATACGAACATGAGAAAAAATCAAATATTTTATATTTTTTAGTGTATATATTTTTGACTAGATTTCTGTTTCATATTCATTCTTTAAATTCTTTCACTTGACACATAATACTTCCCATGCCTTGACTCATTTATTTTCATAGCTTTGAGGGCAAATAAATGTGTCAAGTATTATGATTAACGGAAAATAAAGTAACGTGCATTATGATGTGTCAAAGCCATGAAATCAACATTAAATGGCACGAAACCAAGCTGCTCCTATTTAATTTCATTTGGCTGAGCAAAACAAAACTTAATTTGGCACTGTTAGCATTTCATTTTGGTGCACATAAAAAGAACCATGTCAGAAGCAAGTATGAGGGTGGCAAGTAAATGGTGAGGTGTTGAGCCATGGGAAAGTAAATCAAATGCCACCATATTGAGTTGTTTTCCAACTGAATTTCATTTGACTGAATCAAGACGGCATGATATTTCATTTGAATTTCATTTAGCTGCCATATTAGGTGCTAAGCAGAATCCATGTGCCAAGAGCAAATTCAATGGTGGCAAATGAACAGTAACGTGCTGATAAAAATTTAGTTCTAAAAAATTACAGCTTTTAGATCAAATAACTCAATTAAGAAATTAAGATAATCCAGTATATACCTGTGGACTTCTCCCATGAACCATCTATGATCGGTTTTCTTCCTGGTAAAATACTGTCATTGATATGATCCTGGAAGTATGACACCAGCTGCTCGATGTTATCAAATAATTGCTTCCTAAATTTGAATCCTTTAGGATGAATACCAATAAACTCATGACGCAGAGTTGTACTTTTAATGTAAGTCAAGATGAAAGTGCCAGGATGCTCAAATGAAATTGCAAAAGCATATACTATCCTTTTTGGATATTCTTCCTTCTCCTTTTTCAGTAACTCGTCAACCTCAGCTTTTGAACCCTTAAATTTTTTGTGATTCAGCATCGCTTTCAGATTAACCACCAATGGATTGACAAAGCGTTCCACAACCTATAAACATCCCAGGGAAAATAATGATGTAAGAAGTCGAGACAAATTCAAAAGTGTTAATTAAGAAGAACAAATGCTTAATACAAAACAACAACAACAACAACAACAAGCCTTTATCCCACTAGGTGGGGTCGGCTACATGGATTGCAAGACGCCATTGTGCTCTATCATTTATTAAGCTTTTAGAAATATTATTAATTAAGAGATCACGTTCAACAACTTCCAAGAGTGTTCTCTTAGGCCTTCCTCTACCTCTCTTAATCGGACTCAAAGTTATATGTTCCACTCTTCTCACTGGTGCCTCCCTTGGTCTTCTTTGTACATGCCCAAACCATCTCAACCGATTTTCTACCATTTTTTCCTCAATAGGTGCCACCCTCACTTTTTCACGTATGTGCTCATTTCGAATTTTATCTTTACGTGTATGTCCGCACATCCATCGTAACATTCTCATCTCTGCTACTCCAACTTTATGCTCTTGCTGTCCCGTTAGAGCCCAGCATTCACTACTATATAACATTGCCGGTCTGATAGCAGTACGATAAAACTTTCCTTTAAGTTTATTAGGCACCTTACGGTCACAAATAACTCCTTTAGCTTTTCTCCAATTAAACCACCCAGCTTGAATTCTATGTGAAATATCTCCACTGATTTCGCCATCATTTTGGATAATGGCTCCCAAATATCTAAACTTTTCCACTTGAGGTATAATTTGATCTCCCAATTTTACTTCCAAATTATTTTCGAATAGTCCTTTATCAAATTTACAATATAAATATTCCGTCTTACTTCTACTCAGACGAAAACCTTTCGACTCCAATGTCCTCCTCCATAACTCAAGTTTGCAATTAACCTCTTCTCTTGTCTCTGCTATAAGAACTATATCATCCGCGAAGAGCATACATTTCGGGATTTCCTCTTGAATATGTTCCGTCAAAACATTTAAAATCAAGTTGAACAAATAAGGACTCAGAGATGATCCCTGATGTAGCCCAATCTTTATAGGAAAATCCTTTGTTTGACCACTAGGCGTTCTTATACTAGTTTTTACCCCCTCATACATATCTTGTATGGCTTTAATATAAGCAATCCGTACTCCCTTTTTTTCCAACGCTTTCCAAAGCACTTCTCTTGGTATACGGTCATAAGCTTTTTCCAAATCAATAAAAACCATGTGTAGATCTTTATCTTTACAACGATACTTTTCCATTAATCCCCTTAGTAGATAAATCGCCTCTGTAGTTGATCTACCTGGCATAAAACCAAATTGATTCTCAGAAATACTTGTCTCCAATCTCAACCTATGCTCAATTACTTTCTCCCACAATTTCATTGTGTGGCTCATGAGTTTAATCCCTCTATAAATGCTTAATACAACTAGTGAAAATTGAATTTCCTCCCAGGGCATTGTCACCAAACGGAGAAAAATAATTATTTTTCCCAAGTCAGTGTCCAAAAGCCACTAGAACTTGAAATCGTGAATAATTTGCTTTATTGGATACAGTATAAAAGAACTCTAAGGTTGTACATGAATTAGTTCGATGCTAGAAACTCAAACCAAACTGATCTCTACTGAATCTAAAATTAGGAAACCCAAATAACCCATAAGAAATTCTGAAATTGGACCATTGATTGCAATTTAGTTTGTTTTTAACTCCTGCTTTACTGTTTTTAAAGTTTGTTAGTATTTTGATATCAATTATAATGCATTTAATAAAAATACATACCAAGATAATACATATCAAAACAGCTATAAATAAGTGATAACCAATAGTTCAACAAAACAATTGCAATAATTGTCTGATGGGGAGAAGGGGTGGAGAGGGTGTAAGGGTGAACATGTAGTGGAGTGAAAGGTGAGATGTAAGAGCATGTCCAATGTATAAAGTTGTGTTAGAATATTCGATAAGGTTGCAAGTGCAAACTCGGAGTAACATGTCACTGAAGTTTGTATATGGGAGCTAGTGTGTTAGTCTCAGTTTTATTCCACACAGGTGACTTATCACTTGGCAGTTTGGTTGGTTGGTTCCCTGAACACTTCTAACAAAAACAGAACCAAGAGTCTGATCCATGAGATAAGTCTGAAACAGATCAGCAACTTCATTTATCATAACACACAAAGAACAGCATATAATATAATGAATCCCAGATATTTCCTGAAATATTAAGGAAGTTGACCTTGTCTATGTCCTCAAATATTTCTTCTCCTATCCTTAATGTCTTCCCAAGTGCAAGCATGCTTTTCATATCTGGAGCTTTTCCACCTTCAACAATGTCTTTGTGCACACAAAGTCCATCAAAAATTTTAAGAGATAAGGTTAATTTCCACAGACAACTACCGCTTGGGTGAAAAATATAGTGGCCAACAGCTTTATCTGCAAGGAACTACAAAACAGAAAAAAATTAAGACACCGCCAGTCAAAATCTAAAAACATTCTAACATAGAAAACAACTGACCTAAGACATTGAGCAAAACGTAGATAACTAACCAAACTATTAACTATTAAACACCAAAAAAAATGTACCTCTTTCGCTAGATCAGCAGTTATATTTTGAAAATGGGGATGAGAAATCATCCTGGACTTGAAATGTTTATTTACAAGCTCCTCCTTGTTTATTTCCCCTGATTGACTCGGTAAAATTTTTCCTTCACAGTAATAAGGATCCATGTCTTGGAAACTTTGCTCACCATCACTCTTCAACTCACTTGGTTTACATGTCAAATGCACCCGGTATCTGTTCTTGTCAATTAATTTGATCTTGCAATTAAGCACAGCACCTTCACACAATTTATCCGTTAAAAATATATCATCAGTTTCATCTGAAAAATCTTCCTTAAGCAATACTGCAGCCAATCCAGAGTCAAGTATGCAAAATGCTTGCTTTGACTGCACATTACGAACTGTTGCCTGAACTCTCTTCCCCTCAATAGGTACATCCCCAGTTTCTCTAGTCATCATCAAGAACTCCTCATCCTGAGTAGGTTCCCTATAAGGTATCCGGGGATCTTTAAATCCATCAAGAAATTCTTCCTTTATATCATAGAGAGTCTCTCTTTTACATTCTCCTGTTTCTACTTCCAGTCTAGCTGCATAATCATTCACATCAAAAGTTTGTAGCAGGTTAGGTTCATCCTGCAAAATTTCAATTGCATTCACTTGGGTAGCATCAGAATCTGGATTATTGTGTCTATATACAGCTCTTGCGAATTCCTCAGCAAGATGATAAGACTCAGGATGAACTCTTGTACGATCCAGAATGTTAGCAACGGTATCAGCAAAGATTGGTTCATTACATGACACCTTTAAAAAGCCAACTGCATTCCAGAAAATCCTCATTGAGTTCAGACTACATTTACTCAAATACTTCCTATCTCCCAGAGTTGTTCCAAGTAATTCTCTACACAGAATGTCAGCTTTTTTGGGTCCAAGACCAGAAACAAATTGCAATGGAGCAGAAAGCCAATTATGGCCGATAACCAAATTTACATCCACGCCTACTTGGTTGGTGATATCTACCATGACCCATTCAATTATCTCTAACTTATCATCACGTGTTAGAAATTGCTCCAAAGGATTCAGCTTCCAAGATAAAAGCTCCTTTTTGAACCCACAGAGTGTTGCAACCATTGCCAATGGATTTAGAAGGTAACGTCCAAGAGCCACTGCCCTCTTCACAATGCCTATATCATCTCAAGAACGGAAAAACCATGACCAAGGAAACATGTTATTTAAAAAAAAAAAATAAAGAGAGTAAAGAAATGAAATCATAAGAAAAGAAAACGATCAATTGCCTTGTTGTCTGGGAAGCTGGTCCTCAGAAATTTCCGAATCTTCATAAAGGCGAGGCAAGCTTTCATCCCCTAAAACTATTGTTAGTCCTTTCATCTCCTGACTGACATCTTCAGGATTTTCCCCCCGCATCACTGAAATAATCTGATTGGAAAAAAAAAATTAATATTTCCATGAATCATAAGGCGTACTGACCATAAACATGCATATATAAGTAACACTAACAACAGAAAACTTTCATCTGTTTTCACCAAAAAAGCTGCTAACTTATTAATATTTTTTTACAAAGAATAGCTAGTAGATTCCATATGTGATTGAGAAACGCATACAATTTTGAAAACAGAAATTAAAATTTATGAAGACAGTTAAAAAACAAAGAAAAGATTGAGACCCCAATGAAACATACACATTTCAAGAAAAAAGAACCAGGTCCAACAACCATCAAATACTTGTTATAGACACTATGAACTAAATCTACTTTAATCTAGATGAAGACACCTCAAATGTTCCGTCACATGTCCGCAATCAGCATCAAATCTCATGTCTACAGCAATACTCATGCCTCATAGGAATTAGGATTGAATTTTTTTTTTTAATTCAGCTTCTCTAAACTTCGGTTATTGCTAACAGTAGGTTCATTGACCTATAAATTTGGAGTTGACAACACAGGCACCAGGTTAGCATGTAACTATAGCAAATATAACTTTATAGGACAAGTTGTCTAAAATTAATTAAAAGAATTTCCCGAACATATGTTGTGGAATTACAGATCGATTTGAATTGCTAATATTTTGGAAGCAGAAAACAATATTGAGCCTTCAACTCAGAAAAGGAACAGACATTGGAAGTGATAAATTTGATATTGGAAGTACTAGAAAGAGAAGGTACAGAATGAAAGTCGCTGCATTTAAGTCTCCAGTGTAAATTATTTATAATTGCATAATTGATCCCTAACTACTTATAGGTCAGAAACATCATTATTAATTATACAGAGTCAGGAAGAGAATATGTTATGCTTCTTCTGGCAGCATCCACTTATCAAGTTTTACATAAACACAACATGACAATGATCAGGAGGAAAAGCAAATTTTCAAACAGAATCCAAGGGATCTCATTGGTAGACTAGAGGTAAGAAAATCTTTATCATTCCAAATGAAAAACTGATCGATTTTTAAGTAAAAACTATATTGTAGAATATATATTATCAGGAGAACTGATGAGATAGGAAAAGTGGACCAAATGGAGTTAACGAATTAGCTTACCTCGTTAATGTCATCTCTCAACCGTATACAGGATGCATTAGCTCCGATAACAATTACTTGTGGTTGATGATTTGTTAGGAACTTAAGAAGTCGCTGTTGATCATTTTTCCTCCGCTGCTGATCATTTATATTCTGTGATCGTAGAGTAAGTGACCCAGCATGGATCACATCAACCAATTCGCCTTTAGAATCCAACATCACAAATGCAGTGCCCGGCTTTCCAATTCCCCAACAACAGGCCATGACTTTGGAAGCACCACCAGCACCCTTCTCTTGTGCAGTGGCATTGCCCCTGCATTGATATGGTGCCACACAGACTCTGTTCCATAATTCCCTCCCATACTCCATTATTAACCAGTTTTTGGCCTTAGCAGTCAATAATTCTCGTGCTTCCTTCTCCATAGATGGCAGAAGAAAATTTGAAATAGCATCCTGCACAATTGACTTACGCTGTTCATTCCAAAGCTGAGCAGACGTACGTTCACTGTGGTTGAGATAAACATCATTGCAAGCATTTATTAATTCAGATAGAACACGATCAGGCAACCTTATTTTAACTTGAAGAAGCTCCTCTTTCTCAGCATTTTGAATGACAAACCACTGGGCATCCTTGAACTTTGTGAGGGGTTTGTCCTGTAGCCACTTGACACTTGCTAATTGATGATGTTTATCTATTGTTCTATTTCCTTTCAATGTAGGGCCAGTTGAAAGTAGAGCACTATTCATATATATGCTGCGAACATATTTCCTCAATGACATCTCACTGCTGATCTCCACTGCAGCCTAGAGAAAGAAAATTATCTATTAGTAAAGTAAGCTAGATTGACTCCAGGGTTATGCAGAACCAAATTGATAGCAGACCATGTGCCTAGCGCCTTCAAGCACAAATTCTGGAGTTTCAAATGTTGCACGCTTGTATATCGAAGCTAACTCCTCAGGAGATTCCTCAGGATCCTCATGATTCTCCATTCCCTGTTGTGGAATAATCTCAGTTACTGCAAAGCGCGCACATGCACAAAAACAGAGATGCACAAGATAAATGGCAAAAGGTTACCACTTTCTCAGGAGTAATTAGCAACCCAAATTTCTCGGAGCTCCCAAATTTTCTTGCAAGCAACCATAGACCTGCCACACTGCATTTAGAATATAAAGACTCCTTCACAGGCCTTTTATAACCGACATCCAAGAACCCTTCAACCGGAGGAAAATGTAAATTAAACTTCAGTTCGATATCATCAATCTCTCTATCTGATTCTGCTGACTTGAGCATATTGGTGATAGTTTCAGAAAGCTGCTGGTTGAAAATGGCTTTTTCATCAGAGAGAGCCGTTTGGCATCCTTCATGAAAACGATTGTTATAGGATGTCATGAGAACACTCTTTCGCTTCTGAAGAAGCAACCATTTTTTATCCAATTCCCTGATTATCCAAAGTACCTACACCCATTAAAAAAAGAAAAAGTTTCCCATCAATAGCATAGGCATTAATTTATCCAATGAATTACTTTGTTATTTCCACAACCTACCTTTCGTCCTGGACAATACTACCTAATACCCATAACTGAGACATTGAGGTGAACTCAATGTTTAGGCCATAAAATCCAATAATAAAACACATGATGTTAATGATCACCTTGTGCCATTTCAGCTGAGGCTTTCTCTCAATATCTTCTACTGTTCTCCCTGCTTCATCCTGCTCTGGATCTTCCAGAAGACTGAGGCACTGTTCCTTCCGGTACATTGCAATAAATGGTATCTAAAACATAAAAAAAGAACGTCAAAAAATTAAGGACCTCTATTCACAGAGATAACCAAAACTGTAATTAAAAACCACACTACCACTTACGTCATATTTCTTCACATGATTCAATTCCAAAAACCTCACAATATCTTCCCTCTTTATTCTAGCACGCAGTCTGCATGATTCATCCTCTTCTCGTTTCTCACTAAACAATGGATTTGAATCAAGTTGACTAAGAATCCAAGAACTTTCTTCTTCTATACTCTTTATGTCACACGGAATTGATCCCATCATGTCCTCAAATACCTGTTTGAAAATCTATTAGCTGATTAAAATTAAATCGCAACAGTATGGTTACAATTAACAAGTTGAAACTAGAATAAATTTGAAACCAGGACCTGCATCCTCTCAGGTATGTCTATATCATCTAAAGAGTTACACTTTCCAGTTACATTCACTTCTGTCAGAACCAGTGACTCAGACTTGTAACACTCATCAGTCTCGACGGATGCAAATGGAACTTCCTTGCAATGTTCTGGTAGTGGAACACCTGTGCCAAAAGTATATTTGGCTTCATTTAGCTGTAACGACGACTTCTTGGATTCACTAAGCTTCCCTTGTCTGAGTTATACCGTGAAGATAGTGAGTAAATATTTAAATTTAAATTATTAGTAAATTCAACCGCATTGATGTTAACTACAACATACCTGAACGTATCTTTCTCCCCATACGCATCCTCTTCATCCACTATGAAATCTTCCATGTCATCCTCTGAATCATCAGATACATGCTGGTCATCTTCAACATTATCATCAAAAAGTGATCCTGGAAAACCAAACATTTTATGACTAGTCAACAAAAGAATGGCGCCAAGAACTCAAGCAAAAAGTAAAACCGTCAGTGAAAAGCTATCACAGATCATCATTGGAAATTTGCCCCAAAAAAAGGGGGAGAGGCAACATACTTAAGAATTCCGAAGACCGTCCCTTTTTCTCACTTTCTGTGCCAGCCTTTTTAAGCCTCTTAAACTGTTCATTGCCCTAGGACAAAATCAATGAATCATAAAGAAGCAATTTGTTGCAAACACACAGAGCAAGAAATCAAAACAAAGCAAATGCAAATGCTTACAAATTCTTCCTGATTAATGCCCAAGTTTTTGTTTTCACGAATTAGCTCAAGATCATCATCATCAAGAACAATGCAATTTGATGGTTTTCTGAAATAGTTAGCGAAGAGCAATCAGTGTCGAGTAACATATATAGAATTGCATTGCAGGGTAAGAAGGGAAATGAACCGCTTCTTCTTTTTCGGCTCTTGCGTTTCTTGTGGATTGTCTTCCTCCTCTTCTTCATCAAAACCAACGATAAATCCATCATCCTCAAAGTTATCCAAATCATCCTCTGCGTCACCAAGTGAGGGAAAAAAGAAGTCATTAGATGATTTTTAAAAAAAAAAAAAAGTTAAGTGTAATAAGTTCTCCGGGGCTTATCAGTACACGATATACACAGACTAAGGTCGGAAAAAAAAAACGAAGAAACCGAAAAAAGCTACAAAGCGATAGCTTGAAAGCAGAAACTAAAAGATTGAGAGAGCTGAGGGAGGAAAGAAATAAAACGAAGAGTTGACTGCAAAACCAAAATATAAGCTACCTTAAAAATGAATCATGCAAAATATAATCCCATGATAATACACAGTAACGTTATGATTTAACTTATCACGCCTCACCGCGACATCAAGCAATAGGTCAAAATATCCCGCAATTTTGCAGCCTTAAGATATCGCCAGAAAATCCCGCCGACGCATGCAATGAAAAAGAGAAGCCTCTCATAATTCCATATTAATCTCAAATTTCGGGGAAAATGCTTTATTGAGTTTCTTAAAGTTAAGCTTGAACTGAAAAAAAGCATTTTGAAATTAACAACGGCGACTTCCTTAATCCTGTAAAAACCAAAAAAACAAAAACAAAAAGGGAATGTCCACTAATGTTACATCAAAAGACTTACTGCGCATTATAGAGAGCCAAAGGTAAAACCAAGGACGAAAGAAAGGAAGAGGAACAACGAAAAGAGGAATGAAGCTCAAGTTTAAAGTTCAGGATTAAATATTTGCACAAGAGGGCGCTGATTTTTAGTGCATTACCATCTTCTAATTCTTCTTCGTCACCCTCGTCGTCGTCTTCCACTGTGATAGCTTGTTCTTTCATTTTCCCTTTCTGTAGAACTCTCTCTGCAAGATGTAAACCCGAATGAACGATCAAAACCCTGAAAAATGCAATCCGATCAAAAATACACATGACAAGAGAAGGTTCATTGTGATAAATTCGACCTCGTTCTTCGACGGAAAGCGATTTTCTTCGCCTTCCCATGGCTGTTTCAGCGAGCAGAAACCACTAAGCCCTGAAGAGTACTGAACAACGAAAATGCGTGGGCGGAAATAGTGGGTAGCGACTGGAGATCAAGCGAAGCGACCAGCGCAAAATGCAAAACAGAAAAAGTGAGTAGATTACAGCAGGAGAAGGGGGAAAAATAGTTGTATAAAAAAAAAGAAAAATAAAAATAGGAACGAATTTGATGATATGCCCTTTGGCATCTGAGGAATTTACGGGAATGCCACTGTCCCCTTGTTTAATCTTTTTCCGCCCTTTCCACGGCGCCATGTCACGTTTAGTGTTGGAGAGATCGGGATTCCTTGGTTTACGTGGCGTGGTCTCAGGGACACAGTTGGGAGCTACTTGCAAGGGTAAAAGGCAAAAATAGTAGAAGAGGCTGGAAAAGTCAGCTCAAGTAAATTTAAAAAATTTTAAGATAAAATTTAAAAATTTAAAATATTTTTTTTACCCAGGACTTGTTTGGGACTTTAAAATAAATTTAAAAAAATTCAAACCAAACTTAAACTCGAGTAAACTTAGTTTGAATACCAAAATTTCTTATTTATTATTAATAAAATAATATAAAAATTGAAAATATTAATTTTTTAAATAAAAATTAAAATTAGATAAAAAAATAAAAAATATTTAATAATTTGAGTATTCAAGCTGACCCGAATAAGTTCAAAAGCTAAAGGACTTAAAGTCAAGTTTGGCTATATAATCTTTTTTTTATATGGTAGAATACTTTTATGCTCAATTTAAAAAAATTCAATTCAAATTGAGTCCAACTCAAATAAGTTTAACTTGCCCGAATTATCGACTGTAAAAAAATATAAATATTTTTTTAAAAAACACTCAATATCTTTAACTAAATAGGGTGCAAAAGTATTCTTAAACTTGCTTTAATGAGTGCAATAATCACCATTTTATTAAACTTGACTAATGTTCATTAACGTTGACCACTAAAACAAGGAGAAGCAAATGTAAGACACAAAAATACATATAAACTTTTTAATTATTTTACATCTAATCCTATTTTGAATAATATCATTCAAATTTTAATCAGTTAAGTTAATTAATATTTAAATAAAAGAACATCCCAATATAAATTCACACCATATTAACTAATGTTTACCTCAATTTCAAGCAAACTTCAATATGTAAAAGCTTTTGTATTATAAATTTAATCAAAACACACACTATATATCCTTTAAAAGTCAATTTGAATATTTAGCTTATGAATAATGTTCTGATCTAAAAATATTTTACTTCTTTCTCCATGATTAAATCAATCATTACTTGTATAGTGGGTAAACAAGCATGTAAGTAACGAGATTAATAACTTTTTTAGTTTAATAAAAATTTAGATGAATTTAGAGCAAAAAAAATAGATGAATTAAATTTCAAATATTTACTAATATAATCTTCATGTTATGAACGCGATTTAAACTTACATCTATGTGAAAATGTGGACAAGCCATTGACTCCTGTAAATCTAACAAAGTCAGCCATAAATAGCTTTTCACATGACAATGGTTTTTCTTTCCACATCTTCAACTCCAATTCACCACCTTCCCTCCACTTTTTATCTAGATCACTTTGATTAAATTTAAATAATTTTAATTTAAAATTTTATTTAAAAAATATTACTAAACTATGATTGATAAGGGATACACTTGTATTTGAGTATTTGACTTTCATCCCCTTTTCTCCAGTCAATTAAAGCAATTTCTTGCCCATCGATTTCTTGATTGTTTATATGTTTGTTTATGATTGATATATTTGGCCTACCTTAGTACATCCAAATTTACTCTAAAATCTCACATGAACTTATCATTACTAGAGTTATCAATAAAAGTTAGCAAACTCTTATAGGCCTAATCCTTGAGGGCTCAAGCCCATAGACTAGCATGTCTCAAATTGCTCATATTTTTTTAAGTTCCATCCTTGTCGAAAGAGCTTAGAATCGGGCTTGCATAACTTTTTTGTAAATTTATAATTATGTTAGTACATAATTAAAAAACTTGTATGATTTTTATATATTAATTCAAAAATAAAAATAATCCAAACAATTTCAACCATATTATTTTGCAATATTAACAATTTCCAACAATTTCAGCAATATGCTAACCAGAAAAAAGAGACATATAGGGCATAAAAGGGCTTGGCCTTTTAAAGAGCCTATAAGGCCCATTGCTACAAGAGTTCTCCTAGGCAAAAATCGCCCATTTTTCAAAGCACCGCCCTCAAAGAATACAAGACCTAAATGTGTAGCTTGAAGGAATTCACCCTTGTTCACGACACTAATCGTAACAAGAAGTCCAAGGCAATCATCATTGGCTTACCAATAATCTCCACAAGAACACTTCCCATCCTTAAAATGATGAAACCTACGCATGTCACGCACAATAATTTCCCTCCCAGTCACAAGTGAAATGTACTTACTTGCGTTATGGCAATCACCACAGACTCTCAGATTCTTCCTTATGTGTATTGTTGTGCCTGGCCTTGTGTTTAGAAGTCCAAATGCTATGGCAAGCCTCTCACTATGACTATTAAGCAATTGCTCCTTCACATCTTCTTCTACATCATGAATAGAGTTTGTGTCTGCCACATAACCAGCGGCTTTTATCTCATCTCCTAGAGTCTCAAGAAAATCATAGATTCTTTTGGATTGTGGGTGATTGGTACTTCCAGAGTAGAAAGTGTGAACTTCATTTCTCAGTTCCACCAAACTGCAGCCTGGAGTTTTCTCAATCCCTTGCTTCTCCATGGCCGTCCTTACCTTGGCCACTTTGTCCCACATGGAAGCGGAGGCATACATGTTCGCGAGCAAGACATGGTACCCGCCATCGTTTGGGTTTTGCTCGAAAATTTTGTCAGCAACTTTCTCCCCTAGGTCTACATTTTTATGGATCCCGCAAGCACCAAGCATGGCACCTAGAACATTGATTCCTGGGTCTGTAGGCATCTTGCGAATGAAGTTCCAAGCGTCATCGAGCCGTCCAGATCGTCCTAGGAGATCAACCATGGCACCATAGTGATCCATTGAAGGCTCTAGGCCATATTCTTCCTTCATGATTTCAAAGTAATCAAGGCCCTCTTCCACAAAACCTGAATGGCTGCAAGCTGAGATAACAGTCAGAAATGTAGTGTCATTTGGTCTAATAGAGCCCCTCTGCATTTCACTGAATAGATCCAAAGCTTCTTTTCCAAGGCCATGTGTTCCATACCCATCAATCATTGCATTCCACGTTATCACATGTCGCTCTTCCATCACATCAAAAAGTTTTCTCGCTGTTTCGATGGCTCCACATTTCGCATACATGTCTACAAGAGCAGTGGCAACAAAGACATTCTTGTCCATACAAGTTCTTATAACAAGGCCATGGATCCACTTAGCTTGGCGTGTAACTGATAAATCTGCAAGAGCAGTAATGACACTCACAAATGTAAAGGAATCTGGTTTTATATCATGAGATTGCATCTTACAGAACAAGTTTAAAGCTTCATTTACACAACCATTTTGAGCATAACTTAATAACATGGCATTCCAAGTGACTTGTGTTTTCTCCTGCATACCATCAAATATTGTGGCTGCAATATCGACTCTATGACACTTTGAGTACATGGATATTAAAGAGTTCATAACTGACACATTAGTATTGAATTTTAGTTCATTTAATAATTTATGAACAAATTTCCCACTTTCAAGATCATTTAAATCAGCACAGGCATGTAAAGCTCCCATTATGGTAACATTTGTAGGTTCCACCCCCTCATTCAACATCTCCAGAAAAGTTGCAAATGCTTCTTCAGATTCACCATTTTGTCCATATCCATCAATCATGGAATTCCATGAAACAACAGTCTTACTATTCATTCCCTCAAAAATCAACCTTGCATCCCTCACTGACCCGCACTTGAAATACATATCCACAAGCGCCGTTGAGAGGTTAACAAAAGATCCAAACCCAGATCTCAAAGCATAGCCATGAATTGACTTTCCAATCCTCAAAGACTTGATGTCTGCAACAGCAGGCAAAACACTAACCAATGTGATGGAGTCAGGCTTCTGACCTCCCTCTTGCATTTCTGAAACTAACTTTATAGCTGCCTTGGCCAAGCCATTCTGTGCAAACCCAGAAATGACTGTATTCCAAGAAACCAAGTCCCTCTGCGGCATTCTCTCGAACATCTTGTATGCTTCATTAATCTGTCTACATTTTGCATACAAATTCACAACCGCAGTCATGGCAAACAAGTTCGATTCATGCCCACAAGTTATTAACTGCCCATGAATCTCTTTACCCCTCTTGAGGTCCAATTTATCACCACACAATTGCAACAAATAGGTGAAATCATAAACAACCGGCCTAACATCATCCGATTTCATACTATGATAAAAAGACAAAGCATCGCCTAAAGTTGAGTTTTTAGCGTACCCTTTGAGCATAGTGTGGTAAAGCACATCGATTTTGTCTTCAATGGGCTCGAAAACACGAGCAGCCTCACTGATGCTGCCATAGTTACAGAACAAACTTACAAGCTTGGTCTGGAAGAGGTGTTCATGGTAGAAGCCATTCTTGATGATGAGAGGTAACATTTGGTGGAGTTCTTGAATGGAAGTGCAGAGTTCTAAGAGGATTGAAGAGGGGTGTCTGTAGACATGAGAAGGAATGTAAATTCTCTCGTAAAGATTATTATTATTATTATGGGATGTGGCAGAAGGCACGGAGGATTGAGATGAAGGAAATGAAATTTTTTTGGAAATGGGTGGAGGTGGAGGAAGAAGAGTCAATAGCTTCGAGCTCATTCTTCGCTGTTATGTCTCTCACTCGAGATTCATTCTCCAATTCGCAAGTGCCTTCTTCAAATTCATAGTTCTTCCCACTTCCCACGGATTGAGATTTTTTGCGAAGAAGACAAATGAAGAATTATGGCTTGTTTACTGGCTTCTGTTTGTTTTTCATCCGGAAGCTATAAATTCAAATAAAACTTTATAAAAATTTTATACTACAATGCAAAGCTCTGAAAATCAAATCATTTATTGAATCGGTCAAACTAACAGATTATAAATTAGTAATTTAATTTAAATTAAAACGAGAGTCAATTTGAATGATAAACTAATTATGATTAAAATAATACTTTTTCTATCTCAAATTATAAGACACTTTTAAATAAAATTTTAAATATCAATAAATTTTTTTAAATACACTTAACAATCTTATTTTTTTAAAATAAAAATTTAAACTTTCAAAAATACCTATAATTTAATATATTGAAAAAAAAGTATGAAAATTAATTATAGAGAGAAAAAAAGGTAATATTAAAATTGTTACATTTAATGAAATCTTAATCTTCTCAAAATATTTTATATTTTAAGACAAAAAAATTCCTTCAAGAATGTCATATAATTTAAAAAGGAGGAGTACAATTTAAATAAAAAGATATTAATTATAAAAATATTTAACTAATTTAAAATTAATTTCTAATACAAAATACAAATACAACAATAATTATAGAATTACAACCATTAAAAAGTTTAACAATAATAAAATATAACTTTTTAAATATTTATTTTTACAATTATAATTTACAGCCCTTCAATCATTAAAAAGTTTAAAACTAATCACTAAAATTATCAACAATGACAATCATAATTTATAAATGTTAAACAATAATCAAACAAATGAACAATAGCAAATAATGAAAGATTAAAACAATTAAGACACAATTAATTTAAAAGAATATTAAATCTTTTAAGTTCGAACTTACAATTAAAGCCCTGTATTCAAAATTCAAACTACAGACAGTGAAATTTAGTTTAGCCCTTTGTTGCCTTGCTTTTTAAATTTTCAAGCTGAATTTTTTTACTTTTTATTTAGTTTTTACAATTTTAAAAAAATAAAACCAAGAAAATTAAAAAGTGACCCGACTGACCAGCAACTCGGCTATCGGGTTATCCCGAGTTGACCCTAGGTCAGCCGGGTTACACCGAGTCAATGGCTGGCCAATTTAAGTGGAAATCTAAATCGAAAAAGAGACCAAATTATCGGTTCACAAGCTAAACTGGTTGATTCAGTTTGAATTTTCATACAGTGCTACAATGAGATTTGAATAGAATTATGGATCAAATCTCACTAAATACCTCTTGCTTGCGCTACTGACACAGTGATGATGGTAGCTATATTTGAGTAAATTATCTTAAATTCTTATAATCACTGATTAAATTTCATTGAAGGGAAAAATATGTTTAGTTGTTATATTTGATTCATATTTTATTATTCAAAAAATATGGTTCTCAATACTTTTTGTATTTTATATTGACATGTAATTAAATCTAACAATGAAAGAAGCACAAATGATAAATTATGTTCATTAATAGAAAAAAAATTAAAAGTTTAAAACTTATAATAAAATGTCAATCCAGGTCAGGCTTTCACACACCGCATAGCATGACAGTTTAGCTTGCTATAATTTTATATTTAATATGGCTTCAGAATGATGTTCATGATGTCTAAAAAATTGATGAATAATAAAGGAGGGTGCTTTAATTCTTAAATGATAGCTTAAATAAAATAAAATGATAATTTTAATGTAAAAACAAATGATAAATTTCAAATAAAAAAATTATATGTGAAGATGGAAGGACCCTAATTTGGTTAGACCTTTAATTTATGAATCTTCACTTATAATTTTTTATTTAAAAAAATTAAGTCTATAATAAATTGTTATCATTCATGAATTAACATATACAAATTATGTTTCGTGTTATTTCGTTTAGTCTTTATTATAAGTCACTTATAAGTAATTCACATAAATAAAAGCATTAATTACATTGTTAAAATTATCTAAAAATTGCTTTATTTTTATTTTTATCTCCTATAAATATCATAAATTTTAAAAATAAAACACCTCATCAGAAATTGAAAAGAAAAACATATTTAGAATAAACCAATATATAATAACAACAACAAGCCTTTATCTCACTAGATGAGGTCAGTTACATGAATTGTAAGATGTCATTGTACTCTATCATTTACTAAGCTTTTAGAAATATTATTAATTAAGAGAGCGTTCAACAACTTTCAAGAGTATTCTTTTATGCCTTCATTTACCTCTTTTAACAGGGCTCAAAGTTATATGTTCTACTATTCTCACTGGTGCCTTCCACGATCTTTTATGTATATGCCCAAACCATCTTAAATGATTTTCTATCAATTTTTTCTCAATAGGTGTTACCCTTACTTTTTTGCGTGTATGCTCATTTTAAATTTTATTTTTACGTGTATGTCCACACATCCATCATAACATTTTCATATCTGCCACTTCAACTTTATGCTCTTGTTGTCCCGTTAAAGCCCAACATTCACTATTATATAACATAGCTGGTCTGATAACAGTACAATAAAACTTTCCTTTAAGTTTATTAGGCACTTTACGGTTACAAATAATTCCTTTAGCTTTTTTTCAATTAAAACACCTAACTTGAATTCTATGTGAAATATCTCCACTAATTTTGCCATCATTTTGAATAATGACTTATAAATATCTAAACTTTTTCACTTGAGGTATAATTTAATTTTTTAATTTCATTTCCAAATTGCTGTCAACTAGTTTTTTTACCAAATTTATATAATATAAATATTTCCTCTTATTTCTACTTAGATGAAAACCTTTCGACTCCAATGTCCTCCTCCATAATTTAAGTTTATAATTAATCTCTTCTCTTATCTTTGCCATAAGAACTATATCATTCGCAAAGAGCATACATTTAAAATTTTTCTCTCGAATATGTTTCATCAAAAACATTTAGGATCAAGTTAAATAGATAAGGATTCAGATTATTCTTAATATAGTATAATCTTATAAAAAAAAAATCTTTTGTTTGATCACTAAATATTCTTATATTAGTTTTTACCCCCTCATATATATCTTCTATAACTTTAATATAAGCAATCCGTACTCCTTTCTTTTCCAAAGCTTTCCAAAGCACTTCTCTTGGTATACAATTATAAACTTTTTCCAAATCAATAAAAATCATGTGTAAATCTTTATCTTTACAACGATACTTTTCCATTAATCCCTTCAGTAAATAAATTGCCTTTGTAATCGATCTACCTAACATAAAACCAAACTAATTCTTAGAAATACTTATCTCTAATCTTAACCTATGCTCAATTACTTTCTTCTACAATTTCATTGTGTGGCCAATTAACACTATATAAACCCTTATATTTAGGATCACCAAATTTTTCTAAAAGACAACTTATATCTACCGAGGGAGCAATAGAGTAATATTTTACAGTGACAGTGATCCAAGTGCCAACTGCCAAGTTTGAAGAGAATGGTATAGTGCATAAATTCCTTAGTAAAAAAGGACCAAGAAGCCAGGTAGTTAACCCCCATGCTCCGTTTATCTATTTAAATATGAACAGTGTCCTATGATGGCAATAAAATACATACACCCTACATTTACATTAAAAGAAACCAGAATATTATTACCTAACATCATAAATTTATATACAAGAGTCCTTAAAAACATGGCCTTATGCTGAAAGAACCCATGTCAATTAAAAAAAATGGGCAAAAACAAAACTGAAGTACATCAGAGCTCTTCTTTTCTCCTGCAAGCAACACATACAAAATCAGGTAAGAACCCCACAAATTAACCAAACAAAGGTGCAAGACTCGCTTTTAATCACAATTCCACAAGAAATGTTTCCATAACAACAATGAATATATATACATACATACATGCAAAAGTCTAATGTCATTTGCAGCATAAAACATAACATGCAAAGAACTGAAGCAAAGGCAGTATCCTGAGAGTAATGTTACAATACAAGGAGTGGCAGATTTTGTTAGCTAAAGTAGTTATGCGGGAAATTACTTTAAGATTTGGTTTAAAATTGCAATACTTATATTAATTACAATTATTCTCAACAGACTGCCAGAATAATAATCCCCAAATCATAATTCTAAGGAAGAATAGGACTGCAATATTAAATTCAGTGTTTAATTTATCAAGTAGAAAAGGAATTTTTAAGTTAAAAACGCTCCTTGAGTCCACCAAGTCCATATGGGTATGAGAGATTGGTGATAAACATGAGCCACAAATAAGCACATTGAAAGGAGAACTAGAAGCAGAATATTGACCATTTTTAAAAATGACAAGTTGACTTGGGTTGATGAAGCTAGAGCTATTGATGAGAAGCCTACTCATTTGTTCTCTATTTTTGGCTATACTCCCATTGGATTAGATCATCATTCACCATCCACGCAAGTAGTTTTAGTGGGTTAAAGAATCTCACAAATTCTCACTATAGTAATCAAGAAAAATGCAGTAACCATATTAACAATGTTAGCAGAAAACCAGAAACTGTGTAATGATGAAAGTGTAAAGTCTCACCGATTCACGGCATTGCTACCCAGTAGAGCTGCAGATTGAGCAAGTTCAAATATCTTTTCAAAATTATGCTGCCCAATTGCTTTTTTATCAAATATGGCATCTGATAGAACTACTGATGATGCTCCTTGCCTAATATATTCCCCAATTGAATCTACAACCATTTAGAAAAATCATATACATTATACACTCATGGTGCATGACAACAAATTGATTACTAATTAAGATGCATGTGTGCGTTCCTATTCATATATAGATATAAGTCAAAATATTGTACAGAAAACTCTTTCTAAAAGGAACAACTATAGTTTGCAGGAAGCAATTCTTATGGGTTTACTAACTGCCCAATACTACAACTTCTAGAAAGAAAATATAAAAAGAAGAAATAATGGACAGATAATGTCAAAGACAGCCAAGTATATTCAGGTTATATTCCCTTTCACTGGCTATTTAGTAAGTATAGTGGCACTGTGATCATAAGTATGCTCTGGCTTGAGGAACATTCTGAAGATTCATCTCCATCGTCACCACCCTCTGGGCAGACAGTCAACTAATAATGACAAAAAAATCCTTTGTAAAGGAAGCTATGAACTGACATGCTTATTATTAACTTTCGTTTCCTGACAAGTTACAAATATATACAAGCATTGTTATCTACGATTGATGTCTAACCAATTGAATTAAGTCAGAAGTAACCTGGTTTGGAAAATAACTGCCAACAAAAGTAACTGCAGAAAGTACCTAATTCATCATTAAAACAAAAATGCAAAAGTACCTATTGTTATTCCCTGAGAAGCAACCAAAGGGATTTGAGCGAAGGGCTTCTTGAGTGCTGAGATATACCGAACTCCTCCAAGTGCAGAAACTGGATAAACCTATTCCACAAGGTAAGTGTGAGATTCATGGAATGATTATATTAAAATATATGATAAATAAGATTCCTGTCAATCAACAAGGGAATAGCATCGTGAGATAAAAATCTTCACATGAATTGTTCATATTTTACATATGACTAAAGTATAAAACAAATATGCATGCCTTGTGTTTTTATCACAACATGCTTCAGCCTAGGAGAAAACTAAGATAATGAAAATACCCACCTTGACTATTTTGGCACCAGCTTCATAAGCAGACAATATCTGCATTACATACACTGATAGTTAATGAGAGGTACATAGAATGCTCAATTCAAGCAAATTGTGAGCATTAATGATGCAGGAATAAATCATGAAGAGGTTCTTAAAATGCTTGAATGCTGATTCTCACTTCAGTTGGAGTCATTGCACCAGGAATGTATAAACTCTCACAACATCGAACATAATCCATGATGTCCTGAGAGAGGGGGAAAAAAAGCTTCAGTAGCTTATCAAGCATCCTGGTATGTTCATTTACATCAAGCTTTCAAATGAACAATGGTCAGCAATCTCCAAACATTCAAATCTAACAATAGCATGTAGTTCCATGTCTGAGTATATACATAATAAAATTTAAGACCTTCACAATTGCAGGACTCATGAGAAATTTGGCTCCAGCATTTATTGCAGTTTTTGCATCCTCAACTCTAAGAACAGTCCCAACCTATGTGCAGAGAAAGAAATCTGATTGGAGAAGAATAACAATCTCAAGTACATAATGTTGAAAATTTTTTATAGTCTTGATCATCTACATACAAAATCAAATAACAAGGATACCTACAAAACCAAAGGATGCACATCAATTTGGAAAATGTTAGGTTTATGAAGTACAATCAACCAAAATTTCCCATCTTATCAATGTTTTTTCCCAATTTCAAGAGAACCCAATGTTCTTATGCAGTTTCAAGGTAGAACTTAATCACACGTTTGCAGGGTTTAGGATGACTTATTGAAATTACTTAGAAAGCTAAGTAGAACAGAAAGAGGAACTAAAGAAAATAAAGAAAAAAATTAAATATATTTTGTCATGAAAATCATAGCAACATACCTTGATATAATAAATAGTAATGATAATCTATTAAGGTTTGATCTTTACTGATAAACAATGTAGGATCTACTCAGGAATACTCAAAATAACCTTACTGATAATTCATGATTTACTACATAATTCTAATAGCCGAATAACATACAGATTCCCAATACCACTTACACAGTTAAAAAGTAAAACGTGTGAGAATTATACCTACTCATGCTGGACTACTAGGTTTAACCTTTCTCCTTAATCTTAACGGATGATATGACTTCAACATTAATTTTATCAATTCACATGAATCATTCATGAAGCACTAGCGATTATATATCAACTTTCAACCAATGTGTTTATCAGGTCGCTCCCTGTAGACAAACCCTTTGAAATGACAAATGAGAGAACAAAAAGATAGTTTTTAAGCATTTGTAGACTTAATACACCTTCAAAAAAAAAAATTGATGGCATGTATGAAACGAGAAACAAGGATGGAAGCATACTCCTAGAGCCATTGCAGGATGCTCCTTTACTAGCTGCCGTAAAACCTACGGATTCAGACCTCAAACAGAGCACATTAACTTATAAGCTCAGTGCAAGTGAGGTAAAATAACCTAAAAAGATTGGGCAAACACCTCGAATACACCTGGGGTGGACATTACAACCTCCAGCTGCTTGTGCAGAGGAAAGAAAATATGATGAGCAACCAATCATTGAAATTTAAAAGCAAGAGAAGAGCACAGCATAAATAATGAAAATTTAAACAGGGAAAAAAAAAAGAAAATTTGGTTATACTCTTAGTTGATTCTCAAAATGTCAGCCAAGAAGAATCATTTTATTGTCTCGTGAAGCATTTCAACATCCATAATTTTCATTATATATATATATATTCAGCAATTTGTAGCTAAACTTGTAACTCAAAACTCTGAAGTAGTTCATATCTAGGGAAATGCCACAAGGGACAGTGACTTCCTACTTTAAAACCACTACAGAAGATTCATGTATTAACATCAACTTTGAAAGTTAAAACTACAGTAATACTTTCAGATAGATCAAGCCCATTTTTTGCTGTTAAAAATGACTTGGAGGAAAGAAAATCAGAAGAAAACTCACGACTGAAATGCCTCCTGCTATTGCAGCATGTGAAGCTTCCAAGGCCACTTCTGCGCTACATGGCAGTTGAAAATATATAGAATAGACTGTAAGGTAAGCCATGGAAGAAAAGTGCCATGATGAGATATCAACACACACATCATTTTACAAAAACAAGTTAAAAACAGTGAAATACGATTTCAACCAGACGAACGAGACCAAATCGGAAGGAATTAAGAACTCCTCACCAAAAGCAATCAGAATTAATGAAAAAAAAAACCCAAAACATAAAGAAAAAGGTATAGATATACTCCATGCATCAAAACTCAAAAATAGAAACCAAAAAATGCCGCCCACCAAAGACCAAATTAAAGGGAACAAGAGGAACCAAAAACAGAAAACTGATTATAAGAAGTTAAAATTCTATCTAAAACCAAAACAAAATCACGTTAAAGAACTGAAAATGTGGAAATGGTATAACAGAGACATACCTACTTGCCCGAAGACAAGCTATGACACCAGAATTCTTGATCTGAGTAAGGGTTCTGTCAACCGGAGATTGGGTAAGCTTAGGCTGAGGACTAGGGCATGGTGGCGGAGAAGACAAACCCTTGACAAGCCTTGATGAATCAGAAGGCCATCGACCGTACAAGCTTAGAGCTGAAGCGCTCATTCCTACTGTCATTTCCTCTCTCTCGTCGCAGACAAGAGCCACCTTTTTAGCGGGAGACATCTTTATCTCCCTAATATCTCTAATTTATAAAACAATTATTAATTAATTTGACTTTTCTTTTTGAAGTTTTCATTTTATTTAAAATAATATTTCAAAATTTTATTCAAATATTTAAATATACTAAAACTAAATTCTGGCAAAACAAATATCAAATGTATCGCCTATTTTCGGACAAATTGTGGGTATAAGAATTTGTCCATCATCCGAGATCAAATTTTATGATTAATATAAAAGTTGGCTAAGCTGTTAAAGTATGGAGTACATTCAATCATTTAATTTTATAGAACATTTTATACTAGTTTTTTAAATTTATAAAATATTTTTTAATTTTAATTCTATTAGTTTTATCCTAATATATTTTTTCATTGAACTTTTAAAATAAAATATTTTTAAATGTTGACATATTAAGTTTTATTTTTTAAAAATAATACTGATTGATATAAAAAATAATCATTTAAAATAAATAATGTTAGGGTTAAAGAACTAAAATGATACTTTATAAAATTAAAGGATTAAATTAAAACTGAAACTTTATATAAAATTACAATACTAAAAGTATAATTTAACCCTATTGGTGAGTGATATCTTTTTTTTTTAAATGTGATAGTAAATTTTTTTAACTTATCCCTATTTAATTGCAAGAAACTAGGACTATTAGCATTTTTTTATTTCTATAACACATTATTATACATATTAATTTAGTGAAGGATAAAACTAGAAAATTATACAATTTTTTATAAATTTAAAACTAGATTTTTCATCTTGATGCACAGAACATTAATTTCTATTTAAATTGAGGGAAATAAAATAGAGATATAATTTTAATAAGATTTAATTTTAAAAAAGATGAACAGGTGAAATTATAAAATTTTAACAAAAATTATAGGAGAAATATAATAATATTTATATAGAAAAAATTATAATTATATAAATAATTACAAATAAATAACTATAACAATAATTATAATTTTTTGTATTTCTCATGCAATACATGTAAACTAATTGAAAAGGTAGATTATGTTAACATATTTATTGTGTAAAATTTATTATTCTATGCACATAAATAATCACTTGTTTTATTTCAAGATTCCCGGCCAGCATATTAAAAATATAAATAAAAACTTACAAAAGGCTAAAAGCATAGCTATCATTTATGTTTTTTATTAGAAGCCTCACACCTTTTTTTTTTTTTATAACTCTGTCCAACATTTTCACCTTCTGCCAATTGTTTAAAAACAAAAAAAAAAAAAAAGAAGCACATTTAAGAATTTTTTTTATAAAAAAATTGCATCAAAGTGGTCCAGTTGAAAAAGAAAAGTCCAATAAAATACACGTGTATATACCTATATTATTATTATTATTATTAGTGATTAGTGCAATAAAAGCACGTAAGTAACTGATTTAATTCACCATAGATCAGCAGTAAATTTTCAACCATGTTTACAAAGGATTAATATAAAGTTAGATTAGATGAAGATAAGATAAGATAAAGATATCATCAACTACCGCTCCTTATAAAATTAGTTAATTAGTTAATAGTTTTTTTTTTTGGGTAAAAAGTTAATTTTGTTATATAAGTAACAAAATTTTATATTTATAAAATTATATAAAATTTTGTTATATAATTTTGTTAATAGGGTGTATTTTTAATTTCAAAACTTTATATTTAAATTATATTAAAATTATAAAATATGTGAATAAATATTTATTAAATTAAAATGATACGGAATTAAATTACATTCTCCGAATCGGCGATCGGGCGTCGTTCTTCACAGCTTCTGGTAAAGAGGAAATTTCTTCTCTAGTGTTAGTTAGTGAAGACATTTTTTGTTTTGTTTTGTTTTGATTTTTGTTTTTTTCGGAACTTGTGATTCTGTTTCTTTCTACCGAAGTGATTTTGCAGAATCGTTATTCTGGATAGAACTTGTTATCTGATTTGTGATTTATTTGTATGTCACGTTGAATTGGTAAGTTTAGGAGACGGTAAATTTCTGAATGGAAATTCTGGAAAGTTGTATTCTGTATGCTTGTTTCGAATTCGAAACTCTTTGCCTACGACTACCTCTACTTACTATTTATGAAACTGAAATTGGGTTAATTTTTGTTCTTCGTTGGATATTGATATTGGATTAGTAGCGACTTTTCTCAAACTCTCTCGATTCAAATGTTCGTCACACCATTTTAATGAAAGGAAAACTAATTTTTGGAATTCACCATCAAAGGCAGAGAATTTGAGCCGTCTGGTTTACTGCTGCAAGCCTCTATTGTATAATTCTCGTGATTTCTTCTTGAATTTAAATTCCGTTGGTGATGTATAATCTTTGATTTGGATTTTGAGCTTGAAGAAGACTACTGCGAAGTATCTTCCTTTTTTCTGATCTGGAATAATCTATTGCGGGCTTTGTTTGTTCCTCGTCTTAGGATGGAGCCTAAACAGCTTGACCCAAAGCACTCTGGAGAGTTACTGAAGTAATCCTTGAACTTATGCTTTTAACATTTAGTTTATATTTTTTCCTTTCCTTTGTTTTTTAATCTAATGGTTTTGATCTTGTCACAACAGGCATTTGGACAAGCAGAACGAGTTCCTTATGGAATCCTATAGATTAATGTTTCACGACCTGCAAAAACTTCAGGTATTTCCATCTTTCCAAAATTTTGCTTTCTTTTGATTCTCCGGTTGATTAGGGCTTCTAACTTTGCATTATTTTCAATATCTACCTGCCATACCCATTGCCCTGCCATCAAAGGAGGAGAAAAGAGTTTTCTCTATTTTGTTGAAGCTTGATCGCTATTTATTCGGATTAGACTTTTTGAAGCGATGGTACTTTTTATTTCCCAGTTAAATAGATTTTTTAGTTATCAATTTAGGGGCTTTGTGAATTAGATAGGGTAGGAATATGATTTTGCTATAGGCTTTAGATGTAATTGCAAATTGTAAGAGACAAGATAACATGAACTATTTTATTTTTGTGCTGTGGACTATGATACTTTTTTCCTACAGTAAATTGGTTATTTTAGACATAGGTAGCTCTTAATGTTTACACCTTGCCTTAACTACTAATAGTTCAGAACTCTAGTTTTAATCACTGAAGCTTTTTATTATTTTATTTATTTCCTTGATGAAAGAAAATTTTATTGGCTTCTTCTCTGATTTACCATCTCCTTGTTGTACTTGTATTTCAATTTCGGCTGTTTGTTGGGAAGCCATGCATGTCATCATGTTCTTTTTTGGTGGCCAGCAGCTACTGACATTCATTTATATTGAGTGGAGAAAATGAAGTATACATGAATGATAACATTTTTACGTTGGGAATTCAGTAACTCTGTTGCTTGGCTGGTTCATACCCTTGAATGTCATGGTTTATTCTTTACTTGATTGTTATTTCCTTTAACCTTTGTTGGGCTCATCAGACACATCTTTTTTCCCCATCCCTTTCCTATTTAATGCCATTAGAAAATATTAAAAGTATAGGGAGTTATATTGTTCATAAGTGAATAGTATTTGCACGGAAACCTGTTAGAGATAAATTTAGTGTATTGGAATTGTTTTGGCATGGTCTGTTTTAAACACACTACATAAACTCGTTATCATAAACTAGTATCCTTAGCTGCTGGAGGTCTTCTTATATAAGGTGGAAGAAGAAATGCTTATGCGCAAGCTTCATGAAGTCATGTCTCCTCGTGATCTTACTGAAAAGGTCTGTTCATTTTTCCCCATCTTTTTAATCAATTTTCAAGATGATTGATATATGAAATTATAGAACATACTGTACTCTAATTTGTTGTTAACATTTGGAATCTTAGTTTTATAATGGTGCTGTTTTTGAGTATGCTTATTAGCATTGATGTTTTACATAGTACTTTTGAGTTTTTCCTTATAGCCATATTTTGCTTAACAGTCTGTTATGAACAACAAGGCTGACAACATGGAAATAGCCGATGGAGATGACACAAAGGACAATCATGTGGAAAATGAGCAAGACAGAACAAGCAAAATGGCCAATGGAGGTGACACAAAGGACAAGCACGTGGAAAATGAGCAAAATAGAACAAGCAAAATAGCTGATGGAGATGACACGATGGACAAGCATGTGGAAAATGAGCAAAATAGCATGAGCGTAATAGCTCGTGGAGATGACACGATGGACAGTCATGTGGAAAATGAACAAAGTAGAATGAGCAAAATAGCTGATGGAGATGACACAATGGACAAGCATGTGGAAAATGAGCAAAATAGCATGAGCGTAATAGCTCGTGGAGATGACACGATGGACAGTCATGTGGAAAATGAACAAAGTAGAATGAGCAAAATAGCTGATGGAGATGACACAATGGACAAGCATGTGGAAAATGAGCAAAATAGAATGAGTAGAATAGCCAATGGAGATGACACAATGGGCAAGCATGTGGAAGATGAGCAAAATAGAACACGGCGAAGCACACGTGAGCGAAAGAAGACATGGAAACTAAGGGCCAGTGATGAATAGTGCATATAATAGTGTGATGAGAGATAGATAGTGTGAAAAAGAATTGTGAAGGTCTCACCCTGAATCCTTCCTCTTTTCTGTAACCCCATTCCCTGTGTTCTTTCTTTAATTCATTCCCTGTGTTCTTTCTTTAATTTTCTTACTCTCTTCTTTCTGTTGAGACAACGCTTTCTTTCTTACTCTCTTCTTGCGGTGTAATAGAAGTTCTGGATCATAGTGTCTAGGGGGGCTTATCAGGGTGAAGGCATATCTCTAAATCCAAATGCTTGCCTTCAAACTTAGAGAGCACTTATAAAAATATTTGCATCACCTTCTAACAAGGTCCTTACATTAGTAGTGTGATTTAAACTTACAAATTTGTGGGTTATAAATCAAATCTTTACTAATTGAGTCAACTTTTGTTGGCTTAGAGTCTATTTTTCTATTTTGATGGGAAAATATAAATCAGTTAAAGTTAAATATACCAGTTATTTTTCCAGGTTGGGAAGGAAGCATTTGTGTAAGAAATAGCCTTGTCAATATTTAGCAACTAATGAAGGAAATGAAGATGCTCCTTGAGGTGAGGGGTCTCTACTTCTCTTCTCTGTGAGTTTTGAAGCTGTCAGCAACTTTCACACAAAGCCTGTTGATGTCTGGAAAAAGTACTGATCTTTTAGGACACGAGTTCTGCCTTGTGATTTACTATTTATCCTTTCTATGGGGCCAGTATTTTGCCCTCTTTATTTCTTCTTTTCTTTTTTCATTTGTGGGTTCGATTTACAGTTTAGTTTGCTACTGTAAATTATTTTTTTTTAAAAAAAATCAATGTTATATATATATATATATATATATATGGGGTAAAATGACTAAAATACAAAGGTCCTTGATGCAGTCCATGGAGAAAATGCAAATTATAAGGTTTATCAGGCAGTTGGTCAAAAAAAAAAAAGGTTTATCAGGCATAATTGGGATCACCCACTTAACTGTTAGTAAGTAACATAAATTTTTTCAATCAATAAATATTTACATATGATAAGGTTTTTATAAAATTTATAAAGAGCCACTCTATTTACAAACTGTTAATAGGATTCGCTACCCTTTTTCCATTTTATATTCCTTTGATCTTTTGTACATTTTTCCAACAAAATCTAAATATTAAAAAATTGGAGATGGTCTTTGGGGGAAAAAAAATTTAAAATGCTATATCATCACAATTTTTTTTTTTACTTTTTATCTTTCTCTTATTACGTGAGATCTCTATAACATAACCATAAACTACATTTTTAAAATTTTCGGATTAGAACAATACATCTGCAGATGTAGAGCACATAGGAGAAAAAGATAATTTCTTCCATCAAGATTCGAGTGCATTTTTTGCATTAAAAAAAAAAAAGACTATGCTATCAATCAAAGTTAAATCTGACAAAGGAGGTTAATTCCTTATGATATGATGACCTAATATTTAAATTTCTATTGAAAGAGATACACCTGCTTGACCATGATAAAGATTCAAATTTCATGGAACATAAATGTTGAATATTTGGTTCCCCTGTACATGTAAGTGTCCAAAACTTTCACCCATATCAACTGTCACCTTCAAAGATTATTTTTGTATCACTTTAATATCTACGGGTATGAGTTTATTCTAATTTCATGATTACAGAAGTGCAAATGTAACTGCACTATCTTGAGTGTATTATAACGATACAGAGAATCTGAAAGGTAGTTCACACTATGTCATCTGCACCGAACTAGCATGAGCTTTTAATGAAGAAAAAAGAAACACAGTTCAGAGGCACAGTCCATTATGCTGCCTTATGCTTAATTGACCTACAACAATTTCTTGTATCATCACCATATGAAAGATTAAGTTCATGTTGGTGACTAATAAGCATGTTCATGCTAAGTTCCTTCAACATTCTCCCACCCTCCATATTTGGAACTAAAGGTTCCACCACCAAGCTTCTGTGCATAATCAAATATTGCTTCTCTGACACATCTTTCCCATGACATTGCTATGTCCTTAATCAACAAGGGATGTGTCAGGCTTTGAAGAGAACTCTGGAGCTTGAGTTTCGCTTTTGTCAACAGATCATCGTCCGATTCGCCTCTGTCCAAACCAAAAGAGTAACAGGTGAAGGGGAAGTTGAAGATGAAACAAACTCCAAGAGAGACTTGAGAGAACACAATCATAATAAATAATAATAATCCTTCATCAACTTGGCATAAGCTTTGTCTGAGAGGGGGAATGGATCTGGTGTATTTCTTTCTATCATGTTTCCCTGTGCATTTCTTATTTTGTTATTAATTAACACACCATATCAGTATCACGCATCACTTCTCTAAACTTCTTTTTTGATACTAGCATTTGCTTTATAAGGCGTTCCTTGGTATTGTTAGACAGCACTGCAATAAGGCTGAATGCTGGCCTTGTTATGTGAAAGCCCAATCCATGTAGTGAAGTGACAGGGTGTCTGTTACTGTACAGAGAAGTAAATAAAATATTTAAATTTTAAATGATAGGAAAATACAGCCTGAATCTCAAACCTGGATTCTGTTGGCATTTCATCTAAAAGAATTGGAGAGAAAATTGGATAGCTTGTAGGAATAAGCAACCGAAGCGGTTTGATCATTGACTGCATGATTAAGATCTGAGGTCAAAAGGGAATGATAGAAACATTTAAAAGAAAAGTAATTCAAAGTAGAAGATAAAAAACTTACCCTTAGATTGAGAACAAGGTGTGGCGTAGGTTCCAAACTCACAGTTACCCCTGTGAAATACAATTCCACAATTAATCCATCACCTTGCTCGGCAGCTCCTGCAGCCACACTTGGAATGATGTCTGCTTCATTTATAACAACCTCACTGTCCAATAATAACTTCTTCACCTCCGTTATTTCTTCTAGAAGAGCATGTTTTCCCTGCACGTATTGCATATTCTTAATTAAGAAGAAAAAACTAAAACATTCTCACCTACACTTGATTTTTATTATGGAAACTAATTTTCAGGAGCAAGCACATTTTTAACATCAGCAAGAGAGGCAATGTTGCAATGAGATTTTTTGGCAGTTACTGCTAAGTAGATAGTGAAATAATGAGATTTTACACCGTTCAAATTATATACTGTAAGCTCTAATCGTTGGATTGATTGTAAATTGATTTGTGACTTGCAAAATGTCACAACATCACAAATTTTAGGCGAAGCATTAGGGATGATTACAAGTTTTTTGGGATTCTTATAAAGGGATTAGCTCTTAAGGGAATCTCAATTATTACAGAATTGAATGGATGTGTGTGTGTGTGTGTGTGTGGTTGGGGTATATTGTTTAGTAGCTTGCATCATGACAAAAAGACCAGAAAGTAGATTTATTACCCCATTCATAGGCCATTTGACCTGAGGTCTGACTGAATTTAAGTCAGATTCATCAGCATCAGTCAATAGATTAAACGATTCAGATGTACTTGCGAATAATGAATCAGTATGTATGGGCATTGCATCATGGCAGCTTCTAATCTTAGTTTCTCTCGTTAGAAAATCACCAAATTTTGAGTATCCTGATTGTGAATCTGCACCAAGATCTAATACCGAATTTGAGCGAATCACATTCTCTGGCCTCTCGAATGGTGCTGACGATATATCAGAGAAACAGATTACATCTCTAATTTCACTAATAGATTCACTTAATGACTTGTGTGACATGGATGACACCTGAAAATTTATCATAATCATATCACTTGGTATCATCTACAATAAATTTCTATGCATAAATTAAATAATAATAAAAAAAAAGAGCAAGCACATTGTATGTTTTAGAACTAACCACTTTAACCAAGCGCTGGATTGCAGGACTAGATTGATCAGAAGTGGCTGCAGATAATGGAGTTTCATGCTTCTGTGAAATGCTGTATTCCTTGGCCACTTGCTGCGTCAACGACTCTGGGTTATCTTGTTCTGACTTAGCTGATTTCACCTGCTGGTTCATCTTGTTTTGATTGGGAATTTGCTTTGACAAATGAGAACTCTGTAGGCTCGTTGATGGCAGTGTTAGCTGCATTTCAGATAAATCGTCTTTAGAGACTCCAGATTGTGATGGGACAGCCTGTTGTATTGAACACTTGTCATCGAGACGTGGAACGAGACTCATGTGTAATAGAGTCGCACGGATTTGCGTTTCCATATCATCCAGTTTCGACTTGAAATCAGGGCTAATCTGGCTTTTAGTCACATTTAAGAACGCAAAAGTTTCCTCTAGGATCTTCTTTAACCTTGTGTGTGATGGTATACAAGCTGCTTTCAATGTCGTATTCTGAGGAGAAGAATGATTCTGGAGAAAATCAATGTGTCACAATATATTGACCCTTATATGAAGGCAATGATGAGCGAACTGTCTAGAGTAATGGTATAAAGAGATCATCTACCTGCAGAAGATCGACAACTATTTCACGGTAGAACTTATGAAGTTCGGAGAAATGCATGCTCTTCAACATTTGAACCTGCAATAAGAAACTATGAAAAGCTATAGTGCACCACTATCTTGTTCTCAAAACTGACCAACACATTATTCTCAAATTTAATCACAAAACTAGAGGCAGCAAGTATTGAACATTACTGCCTGCCTCAAGCTGTGGTACTCGCACCAAAAGCCACTTGACTATGAAGTCTCATCGCTGCATTAATGCCTTGCTAGCTATTTATAATTCTAACATAACGAACCTAGTGGACTCCCTATAGCTTATTTAATAAACGATGATTGACTTCCACAACCATATAATAATAATAAAGAGAAAAACATGTTTCATGTGTTAAAAGGTTAGACACACTGAAATGGTACTTTCTTTCATACCTGTGTTAGGCCACGGTCCATAAGGTGTACCGGAGAAGGCCAAGACAAGTACAAGAGAGAATGAAATAGCAAAACTGACAAGTACAAGATGTGAAGGGCCTCAGGAGGAAAACGGCTAGAAAAGAGAGAGAAGTGATAAAGAAAAACAAAAACAAAAAACAGCTGGCTTGAGAGAGAAAGAGCAAAGGAGGATTTGGACAGAAGAGTTCCTGGCATCCTGAATTGCCAGCTAAGGTATTCTTGCTTATCGTTTTTCATTACTCTGCCAAAGCTTTATTGCATTTCCCTGCTATGCTCTTGTCCTTTTAACTTGGGCCGCCGGTTAGGAAGTTGATTCCTAACACTATATTCCAAGATCACATCAATAGTAATAGAAAAAGCATAGAGACATGTTTTTAAAACAGTAGAACATCTAGTAAGATAAGACTTGTCGTTATTATTGTTTAGTTATCAAATTGGTTTGTATCTCCTTTTCCTAATTAGAACAGTTATTATTTGAATTTGAATCTTTCGGTTATTTTAGGATTACATGGGTTAAGAATGTAAGCATCCTTCCCATTTTATGTACATGACTATTCCATTTATAAGACATGATTCAATTAAGAAAAATATTGAGCTTCGTCATGGTATAAGAGCCCCAGAGAGATCGACCTAATCAAGATAGTTAAGTGTTAAACTATTGAGAGGATATCATATTAAAAATAACCATAAAGTTTCAATAACTGAGTAAAAAAATTCCTGGAATCTTTTAAAATATCCAGACAAATAAATCCACTCTAACTGTTGGTATTAGAGTGCAAGAATTTTGTCAAAATTTTATTTTGGGAGTTTCAAAAGGATATCCATTCATGATTGTAATATCAATATGGGAAATGCTCCTCCCCATAAGGAATACCAAGAGGGCTAGGAATGGTTCCTATATAATGCACAGGATTGTCACCTTAAAGGTTGACTCTTATTCCAAAGCCTTTCACCATATTGACACACATTCATATAGGGGAGAAGTAACAATGAGATTGCATATTCAATCCCACTACACCAGGATTAAGTGAAGTCTTACTTATCAATAATTTTTTTCTAATCACAATCAATCAGACTATCGCAGATGCCAAAACTGAAACATGGAAATGAAGAAAAACAACGTTGGACATTACCCTTTTATAGAGCACCTCCTGCCCATCTACATCTGCAACTCTCTTATTTGATCCTAGACATAACCATGAGCATATTAAGTCAGGTTAGGTTAAATCGTGGGCGGGGGGATTACTTAATTCATACTTGGGAATAAATGCAAATCATTAAAAAGGGAGACCAAAGAAGCTAGTACAAGCCAAGAACCCGTTTTTACTTTCAATAAATTCCCTATAGAGTTGAAGAATCAACTAAAAGCTGCCTATATAACATAACCTCCATAAGATTTGTCTAGTGAACGTAGAAATGGCAACTTGCAAACACACTAACCATCCCTAGAAGTTGAACGAGCAGCATGAATGCATTTACTCCAGTAATCAAGTAATAAAAAAAAATGGGAAAATGTCACAATCATGACATTAACATTGTTGTTGTTGTTGTTGTTATTTTTGAAGTAGGGACTAAAGTGTTAATAATTTCCTTACAAGGGATCCAAATGCCATTCTCCCTAAAATCATTTAACATGGTTACTAAAAGGGTTAGGTCTGGATTATAAAATAAAATTATTGGTCCACCAACAACCAATATTGCATTATGCCCTTGTTTGCTACAGAAGCTTTCAACAATGACAAATTCCCGGCTGGGCTTCTAATGCTTTCACATGTTTCACATCTAGAATCAGCAAACACAGGTTGGGCTCAGAGTTTGGGCGCCAACTAAAACTAATGGAATAGGGGATTAAATCCTAATTTATGAAAGAACAACATATTCATGAATCCCCACTCTAAAAAAAAAGAAAAGAAAAAAAAAAGAAAAGCAGCATTAGAATATTTCCGAAAGAAAAGATGTTGCTATTTCAATACCCGAAGATGATGCGGCTTCACTTATATTAGAAGAGGTAGCCAAATGTTTGGGTCCAAGAACCTGAGACGATGCCTCTATTGACATTATCCTCTTTTTTATCTTTAAAATGTAATCAGCCTTAAATTAACGCCACAGCAAAAATGTTATTAATCCTCAAATTTGTTATGACAAAATAACTCAAACGACTTGATTGAAGATACCTCATCTTTGGCAGAGGCATTTTCATTTTCTTCTAATTTTTCCGCCAAATCCAAAGCTTCAGATGTATTATATGGCCATGGATAGTTCACAATTATAGCATTTGCACTGCAAAATAATATATTACATGTATATCAAGTTAGCTTAGAGAACATAATGAAAGTTAACAGGTTCTATGACAATAAAATTTTTTAAGATAAAATGAAGCAAATCATTAATAATTAGTAAATTGAATATTATTAGAAAAAAAAACACTTTAATTGAACTTCCAAACTATCAAAGCACGAAGCAATAGAACAAGAAGTCATCCTAAAACAGCTGAAGCACATTTTTTTTTTTGGGGGGGGGGGTGTGGCTCCATATTGAACTCAAAAGAATAGCACAATCAATTTGCAAATCATTAAAGAAACCAGCCTAAAGATAAAATGAGTTGAAACTCACAGAAGAGACAGGAAACAAATCTGCCTAACGAGGACTCCAGTGCTGTATGATACCTGGATAATCTTGAATTGCATTTGAGACTGAGTTGAGCCAAATGCACAAGCAACAACAACAACAACAAGCCTTTATCCCACTAGGTGGGGTCGGCTACATGGATTGCAAGACGCCATTGTGCTCTATCATTTATTAGCCAAATGCACAAGGCCTTGCAAAAAATACCTCATTTCTAGGATATCTTATAATCACTAAGCCATGGGAATTGTATAAATACATGAACATCTCTTTTCTAAGATAAAGAGAAGAGTTCTATCTTGTCTCAAACACTTGAGGATTTTATCTTCTTTCCTTTATAAATAGAGGTTGAAAGCTTAGAAGGAAAAGTTTTCCAACATCCACAAGTGGAGAGAAATTACTCTAGAAAGCAGTTCTTCTGGAGAAATCTGACCGAGCCTTGAAGGAGTTTGTGAAACATGATACATTCTGCTGTTAAAGATGAAGCTTTTAAAGGACTCAGAGAACCAGACACTTCTCCTTTGAAGTTCTCAAGGTGAACTCCCTATTTTCAATAGCAAATACAAATCCCAGAATTTTAAAGTCCTTATTTTGTTTTCTTATCATGTTTCTGAGTCATTTCTGAATCTCAAAGTTTTCAATTCACTTATGGAATTGAAGGTTCTCTATCAAGTTGTAGTTTGTTGAGTTCAACTAAAATGAAGAAGTATACCTATTATTTGGCCACAAAAATTGCACCAACTGCTATTTCTATTCTTCCCATTGTTAAGTGGGACTAATATTACTTATAATTAATAGTTAGTTCTTAGTTGATAATCCATTAGTTTACTAGAAAGACCACCTCCGTTCTTTTGCCAAAATTTCTATTTCTTCCTAGTTTCTCACAAACATATTTTAGTTTTATCAAATGCTCTTCAAGAAGAAGTCGCAGTAGTGCTAATCAGATCTCTACTTTAGTTTCGGCTCCTCTATTGATTCTCTTGATGATACAGTAGTTCCTAAGTTATTAACCTTAGCCTAGGCTGATGATGGTCAGATAAAGGCATGGAGGAGAGAAGCTTGCTTTCCACCATAATAAGACATTGGACTTACTCCATCAACGTTCATGTAAACTATTTTTGGGTTATAAATTGGAGAATGCAATGAAAAAGAATCGTGAAAGTTGTTGCTAAGCTGAAATTTTTCTTGGTGGACCAATGGTACAACTAATATATGACTTCTTCAACCCTGTGGCCAAATTGACATGACTCTTTATATCTTTTGCTACAACTAATATAAGATCAGGATAGTTATCGCTTAGCTGAAAATTTACCTGGTGGGCAAGAATACATTTTTTTCCAATGGATATTTTGCAAGATATATGATACCAAGGACAATAAGCTGAAAACTTGCTTGGTGGGGAACAAGTTTTTCAACTAAATAAAGTGCTTTAATTGTATGATACTGAGGACTAAAGTTGGGAATACTAAACTATATGGACTGGGATGGCTTGAATTCTCACCTCTACTAAAGGTTTAAGAGGCCAAGAAAAGGACGGGGCTTGTGAGGTTCAGGATAGATTGGTCACTCAACCATCTTCATTAAAGCATCCAAGAACCCTGCATTGGATACATTGTTATTCAAGATACCTGGAGGCATACAAGATACCTGGAGGCATAGGATATGGAGAAATTCAATAAGATGGGGATATGAGACATTCAGTTATCTGGGGAATTAGAATAACTCCTCATAAAACTGAACGATACAGTCACTTGATCATAGAATTCTTTCTCAATGCCTTTTGAACTAATATTTAGTAGTAAGCACTGATCCAAATAGTGAAATAATTGAAAATAACTTTTTTCAAGAATAAAGATACCGTGAAAAGAATAAGACATCCCTGTCATGAGAAAGTTATGGCCCTTGTTTAAAGTGGTGGCAATTGACAAAGCGTAGAAATCCATAAATGTTTGGTGGTGGTGATTATGGAGGGTAATCTATGCAATGGAAGTACGGATAATTAAGGGTAGCGTACTATAGTCCTCATTCTCAATCCGATCCAAAATGAGCAAGTCAACAATTCCCATCACCATTGGATTCTTAGATCCTGAAGCCTTGACCATTCACCAAGAATAATTCTCAGGCTGTGACTCATTTGCAAAAAATTTTTTCAAATAAAATTACAAAAAAATGTTTCAAACAACTAATAATATAATTCAAAACCCATAGAATGCTACTTGGATGATACCTTTTAGTGTCTTTTTATAATATATCATATTGAAATGTATTTTCAAACATAAATAAATATGCATGCATCGCAAGTCTAGAGGAGGGTGGGTATCATAATATCAAAAGGGGCAAGAAAAAGAACCCAAAAAATACCCATAAAAATCCCCATATTAAGACCTAATGTGATAAATTTTGCAGACATCAATGGAGCATGGATTTTTTGCCCATCCCAAAGTGGAAGAGAAAGAGGTAGACTGTGGTTACACAGTAAGGAGGTTGTATATAATTTCATGGCTCAAACTAGCAAAGCGAAACTGAAGTAAAAAGAAGAACTACAATTGAAGCCTTGTATTTGTAAAATCATTTCATTTTTTTTAATTTTCTCATTTACTTGCATGTGACTGTGGTAGAACAAAGTTTATTATAATGTGTTGTTCAATGATAGTATAATTATTATTTACTATAATGTTTAAATGTTGACATTTAGCGATGCACGGGGGTAGTAGAGGCTAGTTACCTTAATACAGAGAACCAGGGTTTCACACAAGGATAATTCATTATGCTAGATGTTTAAGTTGATACAAAAATGATTTCACCATTTTGCCTTAACTTTAAACATGATGTCATTTTATTAATAAAATTAAACATAAATGATTCTACAAGTAAAAATTGATTAAAACTAATTGATATCATGATAATTGACTGAGTAATTATTTGATAACAAGATAACAATGTGACATACATGACTATGATAATTTAAAATAATATGAGCAATTCCAAAAACATTTTGGCAAAGGTATGCTTCTTACATTTCCTTCACAATCTTTTTACGAAACTCTACAGATTTCCCTCTATTGGTCTCATTGTTGGCGATGCCCTTACCGGCTCTTTAGCTGTAACTGTCCATCCAGTATGCAAGATACTCAAGGTGTCCCTAAAATTCATAAAATAAAATCTTTTTTATTCTCTGCAAGATGGTTATTTGAAATGAAAGTATGAGATTGAACCATCTGATAAAATCAGGATCAAATAACTCATGAAATTTAATTGACATTAGAAATGGCCTCTTCTTTACTAATTGACCTTTGTTGAAATCTGCAAAGCCATTATATTATAATATAATATAGAAAAAAATTACAAATGTCGCCTCCAATCAGGCAACACTTGGAAATGAGTATGAAAGGGAATGGTTCATACTTATTCGAAGCTACAAAATAATGCAGCCAGAGAAAGTACTGTTTTTTTTTTGGCAAGATTTTGTCAGTATCATCATTTCTCAAAGCACAAATTAATATGCTTTAACACTATGTCTATAACAATAAAGCATCTTGCAAGGGAGACAAGCGACAACATTGGTGCTAAGATTAGCCAAAAGGTTGGGCAAAAAAAAGAGCCAACTTACAAACAAAACCATCTGAACTTGATAAAACAAATAAATAAACAATGTCGAGGCTCATTCGTAGTCTTGGGTACCCAAAAAGATAAAAGTAAGCTACCCTCCAAACCCAAGACCGATTCTTTCAATTTTGAGTGCATTACAAGATGGCACAACTCATGACACATTTAACTTTTTGGTCCAACTCATGAAAAGAACAATGTCCCTTCCCTTCTCCTTCAATCACCTAACAAACAAACTGATATCACCGAACCAACAACAAAATAATAGAATTTCGAAACCCATTAATCGTACTGTACAAAATACTAAACCTACTCTATCATACCGTGTCTGAATTAAGCAGCAAGACACAGAATGGCTTGCGTGAATCCACATTTAAGTTCAGACGCACGTAGATGATCAAGAAGCAATTATCAAACCCTTTCTATCACACGCTTCGAATATATGAAATGAAAGACCTCGAGCTTAAACAGAACAGAACTTAAATAATTCAATCAAGAACCTAAGCAAAACCGCAAAGAAAACCATCACTCACGCACACTCAAAGATAAGCCAAGCGAGAAGCGAGAAACTCTAAATTGAGAAAAGTACACACCAAATACGAAGCCAAGAAGTCGAGCATATTAGCAATACAGAAAATGATCGGTGCTTAAGCCTGCTTTTCGCGCCACTGCAAGATACTTGAGGACCAAGAAACGCGGGGGGAAGGCGAGACGTTTTATAGTTGCAGTTCAGAATACGGTGTGTGCGTGACCACGATCGCATTCGCGTGAGGGCTAGTGTGAACGTAGTTTGACTTTACAGTGTGAGGACAGCGGGCCCGAAAATATTGGTGACGAAGGTAAGAAAAATTAAATTTGAGAAAAAATTACAGTGTAATTCCAAACAAAAAAATTAATTATTTTTTAATTTTATTTACAAGTTAAAATTTAATAGTCACATCAAATTTTAATATGTACAATAGGTAATTAATTTTTTTATATATATTTATACTAATTTTTCCTAAAATTTAATGGTCTCCTCCATTTAAGAAATATTTTTTATAAATTATCAAAAAAATTTATGGAATTTTTAATAATTAATATACAAGGTCATTGGTAAGGGTGATGGGCATAAAAAAAAAGATCCAGAGTTCAAACCCTTATAATGTAATAAAAAATTAAAATTAGCTTAGTGTGTGTGCATCTTTATTTTTCATTTTTATTTGCTTATTAAATATTTGATGAAGTTAAACCTTTAAGAAGTATAATTTCTTACTATAAATTAATTTATATTCTTTTAAAAAATTAATTAATTTAGATTCAAATTATATGAGTCTCTGAATGATTTTTTCTAAAAAAATCTCCAGTATATTTTTTTTATTCGAAAGACTCAAAATTGAAACCTGATTTAATAAAAAATAAAAAAATATAAGAAAAACCCATATCTTGATTTTTTAAAAAAATTATATAAAAATTTCATAATAAAAATTTTAGATAATATTGATTAATCTCAACTTATATGCAAAATGCAACTTATATGTATTTGTTTATATATTTTTTTTAATATTTCGATCTCAACCTCAACTTTAATTAACCCCTCTTGCTCAGAAAGGATGATGAGATGGCATATTAAGTCGGTAATATAATAATTATTCCTAGGCCCAACAAAACATACATATATAATGATTAATGAAAATGGCATGATTAAAAAAAATTATTTTGCTAGAAAGGTTTTGTGGATATGTTAAGAAAAAGCAACAACTAGATGTAAACTTGGGCTAGAAAAGATTCACTTATCAGTCAGCAGGCAACATGTTAAAAGATTTTATTTCAAATTTAATCAACACATGATCTTTCTAAGATTTTATATGAGTTTTATAAATTAAAAAAAATGTTTCGGATTGCATATTAGTAAACTAAACACCAAATATGACTTTCAAAAATCAAATAAATAATATTTAATAATTCATTTGGTAATGTTTTTATATTAAAAAAATACTACATGGAATGGAATGGACAAAAAAAGTGAGTTTGTACAATCCCACAAAAGGCTTGCAGTTTTTCTTAAATAATAATAATAATAATAATAATAATGGACATTCCACATGTCATTCTTTGTGTAATGAAATTCATTTCAATTTTAAAGACTTAGAAATGTTTATAGTTAATTGGACTCTCATGAGATACCATACTTTAACTCAACATCTATTTTATGTTATTTGGACATGGTTTATACTACTTGAACTTAATATACTCATTTAAAAGAGTAGAAGAATATGATCTCAATCAAAACATTATTCGAAAAATGTCAATGAGAATATTAAATGAGCATGGAGAAGAAAAATGTTGGTGCTTAAATTACAAAAGAAGATGAAGTAGAAGTGATATCATCATACCTTTATATGTTGTTGTAATTAAGTCTCGGAAACTAACCGCGGCAATAACCACCTATGGTTTCTCCGATTCTTATATAACAAAAGTAAACTTATATAACAAAAATAAAGGCTGAAAACGGAAATGAACAACTGTGTACGATCATCATGAATGAAAAGTCAACATGTGTTGAGTCAAAAAAAAAAAAGCCCAATTAAATTTATCACTATCAACTATTTAATCAATATGAAATATGAAATTTATAATCTATCATATACAAAAAATAAATTGTTTTATTTCATTACATATATATATATATATATATTGAGAAAATGCAAGATCTATATACCATTTATTTTTTTTTATCATTCTTACTAAATCATGAATGACAATGTAACACTTTAATGAGGGGAAAGGGGGAGGGAAATGTGAGGAAAAAATAACATTTTCTCCTACTTGGCTACTGCAAGAAAAGTGGAGGGAAGAAAAAAGTATAAAGAAAATAATAGATAGGACTCGCATGTTTTTGCCTCCAATGTTTTTTTCCAAATATGGAGAGATTTTGCAGAGAAATTTTTATTTTCAAATTTTCCTATCAATTTTTCATTGTTACCTCTTGCTTTCCTTTTTTTTTTTTTGACGTGATATTTATAGTATAGTTGCATTTTAATCATAAATTTTTGTTAAACAAACAGTATATTTAATTTTTAAACTAATTAAACAAATACTAATTCTAAATTTTTAAGTTAATTTTCAGTTAAGTACTTTATATTTAGTTGTAGTTTCAAATTTTAATATTATTATATATTTATAATTTAATAAATAAAATTTTAAATTGGATAAAATAATTTTTTGTCAATATGAAATAAAATAATTTTTAATAATACTTTTGTTCAGTTAATAATATATAATAATTTTTATTATATATAATATGTTAAAATATTTAATTTTATTATATAAATATTTTTATAAATAATAAGATTATTATTGTCTATATAAAATTAACTTTTCTCTCCTCCTAGTTTTCTCTCACTCTATCAAGCACAATGAGAGAAAATTGCATCCCTCTCATTTTCTCTCCTCTTATTTTTTTTTTTCTCCTTTATAGTTTCTTCTATGAGCCAAGCATAACATAAGAGTAAAAATGTATATGACATCATATGAAAGATATATCCTTAAAATTACTAGTAGGAGAGAACATAGTCTGAATATTAGGAAATGACAATATTCATAAATAGTTTTATATGATTTCTTTTTAATCCTTCTTATCAAACAATGCATGATTAGGTTGAGTGAAACTTGATAGGAAAACATGTAGATACACAAAGCCATTATAAAAAGTATACCTTTAAAATGGCTTGGAAAAAAGTAAACTAAATATTAAGGAAACATGACATCCATGCACCATTTTATTGTCATTTTAATTCTTGTTATCAAACAATGCCTGGACACATAAATGAGCTAAAAATGTACGTCCATGCAGTTCATGTAAAAAAAAAAAAAATCTTACTAAACATTCATGAACTATTTTTTTTTTTCATTTTAATCTTTCTATTAATCCATAAACGAGCTAATTAAGTAACACTTTTATGTGGAAAAATGTACATGAACCTGGTAAAAGTAAAAAAAAAAAACATTTTAAATCATTTGGATAATTGAGAAAATATATGCATGTACATGAAAAATGTTTAAAATATACTTATATACCTTCTAAATACCTTAGAGAAAATATAGCTCATCAAATTATTAAAAAAAAGGCTTTTGGCAAAAAAAAATCTAACAAAATGCATATCCATTTAAAAATTTTCTAATCCTTCTTACCAAATCACAATGCATAAACGAACTAAATAACAATTTTATTTTAAAAAATAGTAATTAATAAATATTAAAGACAATAAATTAACAAAAAAATTATATATAATTATCTTTATTTTTTTAAAATTTCCACCCTTACAGTAAGTTGTTTTCTGGGTCCGCCTATGGTGCGATTTATCCTCTTTGTGTGGGTTGGTTAAAACAATTTTCAATATATTTATTTAATTCTTTAAATTTTCGCATTAAAATCTATTTAGTATCATATCTTATAGAGTTTAGATTATTTTTCTTCTCATATATATATATATTGAAAATTTATCCCAAGAATGCCAATCAGTATGGTTGATGAGGAGTTTGTGCCCCCTCTTTTTTTATAAGAGCTTAAAATGTAGACTGTCCCAACAAAAGGGAATCAAATTAAACTAGTGAGAATCTTACTTAGGAACTCAAGAATACAAAAAATTATATCTAGAACTCAATAGAGTCTAAAAACGCAATTAATGTTTGAGGGCTTTTTTTGTAAATTTTGTTGTAAACAAAAAAATGCATTTGCCTTTATTTCAATAGAATGCCTATACATATGTAACATAATATTTATAAATTCTCAATACAATATTCATGAATACACAACACACATAATAAACATAGTTTAATTTGAAGTGAAATGTATAAGCAAACAAATAATGAATAACATAATGTCCATCAATTTTCAACAAAGTGAACATGTATAGACTTGTAATATTTGTACAACATAAAGTCTATAATGAATAACATATTTTCATTAAAATAACATATTTTAAATTAATGTCCACCAGATGTGTTGTGTATTTATGAATATTATATTGAGGATTCATGAAAATCGTATTGTGCATTCATGAACATTTTATTGAGACAAAGCAAATGCATCTTTTCATCCACAATAAAAATTTGCAAGAAAAACCTCAAGCTTGCAGTGCATTTTCAAATTCTATGGCGCCTTAAATGTAAATTTTTGTCTTTTGAGAGCCCTAAGTGAGATTCTCTCATTAAACTATCTAATTACTTTTTATTACATACTATTTGATGTAACAAATTTGAAATTTATGATATATATGTGAATATGAGAGAGAAGAAATTCAATGCGACTTTAAAGTTAAAGCACAAATGAGGATAGGCTCATTAATGACAATTCAGATACAACTTTAAATAAAAGTGTGCATACATGATGCCGTTGATGAAATCAAATGTTCATGCACAATTTTTAAAGTTCGTTTTTTCCTTCCTACTATGGAACAATACATGAATGAGATGAGTAACATCGGAAAAAAATGTGCATGTATCATCTTAAAAAAAAAAAACTTTTTCAAGACCTTAGAGAGAATAATGTATCCCAAATTATGATTCACTTAACATTTTTTTTAATCCTTTGTCCAAAACAATGCATAAGCTATTGTCAAATAACACTTTATTAGGAAACATGTTCTATAAACAAGCCAATGTAAAAATATATATCATTAAAATCATTTTGAGAAAATATAATCCAAGTATTGAGAAAAGCCAATATCCATCACCATTTTGTTAATCCTTCTTTCTAAGCAGCAATTTAGGGGGGAAAATGTAAGTACACAAACACTGCCTGTACCACAGTCTAGGTCTTTGAAGAAGAGTGTCATGTTTTCACAATATTGGGTTATGCATCCTAATGTATCATATTAATTGTTAAGAATGCATGCTATAATACTAGCAGTCTATGATATATTTGTTTAAACTAAGTGTTGCCTTAATAATTGGGATTTCGAATCTACAATTTTGGGTGAAGGATTTAGTGTTTATCACATGAAAGCACTCGAGTTGTGATATATTTCTCCTTTGTGCATGGATTCAAGACTTCTGGAAGAACTTGGTAAGTTTTCTTGTGATACTTTCACATCATTTGTTATATCCATTATTGCTGGTTGAAACCTTTGGTCTTGCTAGTAGTGATGGTGTCTATTCTCTAGCTACGTGGACATATTTTTTGTTATGGCATGAAAATGATTGTTTTGGATATATGGATTTTGCTGATTCTCATGGAATTGGCTATTGTATTATTGTATTTGAAGTATACTAAACTGGTGGCAGAGCCACGACTCAGGTGGGTGCAATATTTAGAACTCAGGACAAGGGTACAAAGTAATACAACTTAGGGTTAAATAGGTAAACATTTCAAGGGCATAAATGCAAAATACTAAAATTTATACACTGAATTTTTAATATTCCCCAAAGGGAAGGGTAAATTTACCTCAACCTCAATGACTCTATTGTATTTAACCTTTGGATTCTTTTTAGATCACTTATGGATCTAGAAAGCTTAATTATGTCTTGATTAAAACTATATTAAATCTTAACTAATCAAAATCAAGTTAAGATAGTTTGTATTTTATGGCAATAACTTATTTAATAATAGTTCTCTTCATTCCTATCACTCAAACTTGTAACATTATTTAAGGTGATCATGGAACAAGCCACTCAAATGAATTAAACCATCTAATTCTTCTTAATTAAACTATCCAAGATGTATATGAGAGAAGAAACTCGATGACTCAAAACACAAAGCAAACAAATTAAATTATCATTGCCAAAGTTTTTAAACAAACATAAATTAAAAAGGAAATATAGTTAACCATGACAACAGTTTTTTCCCCTTTTGGGACAATAAACTATCACAACTTTAGACACTATTTTAAAGCTTAAGCGAAAGATCAAGACCAGAAGAATCAAGATCATCACCATGATCATTCACTCCGGAAGATTCTCCAGGAGTTTCATGCTTCAGTGAACTGCTGCATCCCATTGCCATTTGCTGCATTAGCTTCTTTGGATTTTCTGGTTCAGAGACAACTGATTTTCGCTTGCGATTCCCGTTGTCTTGATGAGGAACTTGCTCAGACAAACAAGGACTCCGCGGGCTCATTAATGGCAGTTCAGTTAAATTCTCTTGAGCGACTCTAGACTGTGAAGGGACAGCCTGCTGCACAGAGAGTTCATAAGCAGAATATGGTCCTTGATGATGACGATGTGAAGAAACATTTCTTGGTCGCAGAATGGAAATGACTCGCTGTTCCATGTCATCCAGTCTCTCCTTGAAATCAGGGCCAATCTGGCCATTGGTCGCATATAAGCGCAGTGAAATGTTCTCCAAAATACTCATCAACAGATTGCATTTCACTATATGAGCTGTCATCAAATTTGGGGGAGCAGAGAAACGCTGGAGAAAATCGATGTGATGATAATTGATTAATATTGACATTAGTATCGATATAAAATTTGAGTAAGTTGTCCAGAAAAGTCAGCAATGATAGAAAATTAAACCTGCCCAAGTAAAATAGCTGCTAGGTTGCACCAGTTAGGAAATATGGCGTAGTACATCCTATATAGCCTTTGAACCTGTAATAAGGATATGAGAAAAGCTGCAGTTCAACACTACCTTGTTCTGAAAACTGACTAACAGATTATGCTCAAATTTAATCACAAAACTACAGGTAGCAGGGATTGAGCTTTAGCTTTTACCTATTACTATTTTGCTATTGTAAATACTTTCGTAGAAAAGCAAAAGAAAAGAAAATGCAATCATTAGGATCACTTCCCAGGAGGGAAGTCCTCCCTGGTTTAGAAATTTGGATCCTATCAAGTTTTAAGTCTGAAGTTTGTGAAAGTCTATGCAAAGCATTACTCTTTGTTTTTATTCTTACATGTAAGAAGCAATTTAGATATAACACAAAGTACTAGTAACTTGTGTAGAACTTCACCAACCTTAAAATCAAACTTCAAAGTATATATCCGAATTCCTCAGCGCAAATAGAAGGAAAAAAAGACTGGGAGACAATTTTTCTTTTAAGGATTTGGGTCCAACAAAATTGAAAGTGGAGAGTTGCGGTAAAATTTATTAAATTAAGACACAAAAGGAAAAAATATGTCACCAAAGATTGAAGCAAACTCAACCAGAGCAACTATTGCGTGCATATTCTACTATAGGCTATTCCCCCACTCAAGAGGTATAATGTTACCATTCCATCACTTGCAAAGCTTGTATATATTTTGGTGAGGCACTAAGAGTATCCTCCGCTGCCAACAAAGGCTAATAAACCACAGAGTATTTAGTGTAAAAGGCAAACCTCTCTCAACTAGGTTTACTTCACACACAAAGATTGCGAATCAAACCCCCCAACCACTTAAATGACAGTCCCAACTCACGCTAATTTAAATCGGTGCAAAATATATATATATATATATATATATTAACTTATATATATATATATATATATTGTTTAGAGGATTGCATGCTTTATTCATGATGACAGACTTGAATACATATACCAGAAAAAGTAACAACGGGATTGCTAACCTAATCCCAATAAATTAAGAATAAATTTAAAAAGAAAAGGAAATAAGTAAACTAGATCCTAAGAGAAACATATCAAGACAATATAGGTTTCATATTTACAATTTTAAATTTTTGTAATCATTATTCTTTTAAGAAATTATAGTTAGAAAATTACATTATACAATGCACCTACGTGTAAGTCTTACTAAACAATAAAATTATGCTGATCATAACCAAACTACAAGAGATACCAAAAACAAAACATGGAAATGAAGAAAAACAATGTCAGGCATTACCCTGTGACAGATTGTCTCCGGCCAATCCATATTTGCAAATGTCTCATCTGCTGCTAGATGTAAACAAGGCCATTCACTCAACTGAGGTTAAATCAAATCCAACCGGGGGGGGGGGGTAATTATATTCATACTTGGGAATAAATTATGCAAAAAATTAAAAAGGGATAGTAAAGAAGCAAGTACAAGTCAGGAAACCGTTTCTAATTGCTATAAATTCCGTTTAGACTTGAAGCAACTAACCCTCTCTAGAAGCTGAATGACTACTGAAATGGCCAGGATCTGAGTGATCAAATTAACAATGAAGTCTGGATGATAAAGTAAATTTATTGGTCCACCAAATACCAATATCACAGCAAGCCTTTATTGATCTTAGAAGCTTCCAAATATGATAACTTTCCAATTTAACTCCTAATGCTTTCACATTTCCCAGCTAAAACTAGTGGAATAGGGATTGAATCTTAATTATGAAAGTAGAACATGATCATGAACCCACACTCCCAAAAAATAAAAATACAGCATTTGAAAATGCCCTGGTAGATAGACAGAAAAGAAAGATGTAGTTATTTCAATACCTGAAGATGAGGCCAGCGAAGGTCTAAGTCCACAGATCTCAGACGATGTGTCAATTGATGTTATCCATCTTGCCATGTTTGAATTATAATCATCCTTAAATTAATACCAAAACAAAAATAAAATTTAATGAGTTGAATTCAAATTTATCATGACAAAACCTAAAAAAACTCACATACAACTTGATTGAAGATACCTTATTGTTTGCAGAGGTATACACCTCTTTCTCAAAACCTTCTACCCAGGCCATCACATCAGCTATACCATATATCACATTACGAGGAGAACTCGCAAGAACAGCATATGTTCTGTAAAATCATGAATACATGAACATGATACCGAGTTAAAAGAACTGAATAGAAGTTAACAGGTTCCATACCAGAAAAAAAAATTTGTAAGGTAAAATGAAGCAAATCGATAGAAACTTGAATAATATTAGAGAAAAAATTGCACATTAATTAAACTTCCAAACTATCCAAATGCTCAACCAAAAGGATAAATTTTATAAAAGTAAGAAAGCACAAAGCATTAGATCAAGCAATCATCCGAAAACACAGCTAAAGCACAATTATAAAAAGAAAAAAGAAAATTCCTCTGTAATGAACTCAAAAGAATAATACAATTAATTTGCAAATCATTAGAGAAACCTGCCTAAGGATAAAATGAGCTGAAGCTCAAGAAAGAGACAGGAAGGCAACTCTTCCTAAAAAAATCCGAATGGTTTAAATATCTAGATACTGTTGGATTGCAATTGAGTTGAGCTAAATGCACAAGGCCTTGCAAAAATATCTCATTTCTAGGATGAAAATAAGCATTTTTTATCACCAAGCCCTGGGAATTTTATAAATAAACAAACATCTCTTTTCAAAGATAAATAGTTCTATCTTGTTATAAGCTCTTGAGGATATCATCATCGTTCCTTTATAAATAGAGGTTGAAAGCTTAGAAAGAAAAAAATATTCCTAGAAGATCCACAATGCGACATATATGACAATGATATTTTGAAAAATATTTTGGCAAAGGTGTGCTACTTACACTTCCCTTACAATCATTACACGAAACCTTATAGATTTCCAACCAGCAGACTCACTGTTGTTGGCTATGCCATGACTAGTGCTTGACCTGGAATTATCCATCCAGAATGCAGGATAATTTGTCCCTAAAATACAAAAAATATGAGAGAATTGCAACATAGTCCTAATGCAGTGCAGATGTATTCTTTGCTGGATGCTTATTTGAAAAGCAACTATAACATGGAACCATATAATATAATAAAAATCAGGACTAAATAACTCATCAAATTTGATACCATAAGTTGACATTAGAAACTGATATTTTCTTTACGGATTTACCTTTGTTGATATCTACAAAACCTTTTTAACATATTATTAAAAAATAGGAAAAAATTACAGCTGTTGGCTCAGATCAGGCAACAACTTGGAAATCAGAACTATAAAAAGCCAATGACTCATATTTACTCGAAGTCACAAAACAAACTAACTATAGAAAGTACTTTTCTGCAAGCTTCTCTCAGTATCATCACTTCTCAAACCAAAATATGTTTCAACAAAGCATCTTGCAAAGCAGATAAATGACGGCATCGGTGCTAAGAATATCTAGAAGAAGAACTAACCTATACACAAGGAAAGAACAATGTTCCATCCCCGAACCAACAAAAACAATCAAATTCCTCAACCCATTAATCGTACATTACAAAATACCAAACCCTTTCTATCATTCGGTGCCGTAATGTGTGAATTCATGTTCAGGTTCATGCGCACGTAGATGATCAAGAAGCAATTAGCAATCGAGTCCTTAATTCCATGCAGTCGAACGAAGTTCGATTGCGATTTCATCAAGTGCCGCCTCACCCACTTAGAATAAATTAGATGAAAGACTGAGATCTTAAACAGAGCAAAACTTAAACTCAATCAAGAAACTAAGCAAAACCACGAAGAAAAACCATCACACAGACTCAAAGACAAGCGAAGCGGGAAGCGGGAAGCTCAAAATGAGAAAATTACACACAAAAACGAAGCCATGAAGTTGAGCATCAGTAATGGAGCGAATAATCAGTGCTTGAGCATCCGTTTCGCGCTACTACATGAGAACTTGAGGGCCAAGAAACGCACGTAGAAAAATTGAAGCTTTTATAGCTTGCGCGAACACAGTTTGACTTTATAGTGCGGGGACAATGGGCCTGAGGTGCTTGGTGACAAAGGTCAAAAACAAAAATAAATAAATTTACTTATAATTATAAATTATATTATAATTATTTAAATAATTCGAGTAACTATGTTGATGAGAATGGGTAGAAAACAAAGTTCAAATCTTCTATTGTAATTTAAAAAAAGTAGGGTTGATATCAGTGAACTAGTTGGTTTTTTCGTTCTTTTTCGATAAGCAGTGAACTGGTTGATTTTCAATTATGTAGCATGTGCTGATTTTTACATATTCATTTTTCATCTTTATTTGTTTGGTTAATATTTTTTTGAACTTAATTTTTTAGAATTATTTAATAACTGGCACTAAAAGTTTAGATTCAAATTATATTAAACTCCAAATGAGATTTGAAAAAGAAAAAGATCTTCCAATATGATTTTTACTTATTTAACCTTGAATAAGGAAAAAAAGACTCGACCTTGAATCGTTATTTAACCATAGAAGTTTGGGGAAAAAAGAAAAAGAATATGTCATAATAAAAGGTAAGAAAGTAAAGTCCATGTTAATGTAAAATCTATATCTGGCCAAAAAAATATAAAATTTAAAAAAATATTAATCTTTTAGTCCTTATAATTTTGACTTAGTTGTAATTTAATCTCTAAATTTTAACTCATTATAACTCAATTTTTAAAGTTTTGACTCAAATGTAAATCAATTCTTGTATTTTGCCTCTTGTAATTTAGTCCATGAAGTTTCAACCTCTTAAATATTAGTTTTTATATTTTAAGAAAATAATATTATAAAGATTATAAATATTTTAAAATTTATTACTAATATTTTAAATTATTAAATCCTTTTAAGCTTTATAAATATTAAAAGTTTAAAATATTTTTAATTTTATTTTTTAAAACATAAGGATAAATATTTAAGAGATTAAAACTTCAGGAACTAAATTACAAGAGATAAAATTCAAGAACTGATTTATAATCGAGTTAAAAATTCAAAAATTAAGTTATAGCAACTCAAAGTTAAGGAATTGAATTACAGTTTGGTCAAAAATACAAGGACTAAATGATTAATTTTTTTTATAATAATCATGCAACATATTTCTCAAGTTCTATGCAAAAATGTTCAAAACTCATCTAGTTTTCTCAATGTATTTGATGAGACTCTCCCAATATGGAGAGGTTGATATGATGGCATAAGTTGGAAATATAATGATTATTCGTTTGGCCAATGAAATATAATAAAACACACACAATATTACTGAAAGAAAATTACATGAGTATAGTAAGAACTAGATGAAAAAGCTGTGACCTCCCAAAAACGAAAACAACAATATAGAGAAGTATATTAAAAGGCCCAGGCTTGTGAAATTGAAAAGTTTGGATATATGATTTAGCAATATTCATCTTTGCCTACAACAAACACAAAGACAAAGGTGATGGTGAAGAATAACAAACACAATGGTACAGGAGAGAAGATGAAACCATGGTGGTACCTTGCCTTCACCTAGTCATGGGAGGATTGTGAGAAAGAGAGAGACCAAAGGAAGGTTCTAGACTTGGCATGGTTAGGCTATATTAAAGATACATACATATGTGTGTGTGATGTGAGACCAAAGCAAACTAGTTTTTAGGTTAGTCCAAAATCTAATCTAACTCAAGTGTCTCTAACTTAGTTCTATTTGGTCAATCTTTTCATGAGGTGCTTCTAGTTAGATTGGCTGAGTTTAATGTGCAATCCAAAAAAGATTTAGGGCATATTTGATTTCTATTCTCATTTTTTATTTTTTAAAAATGTTTTGTAATATAGTTTTTAAAATTACTTTACAAAACAAAGTAAAAATCCGATTGGTCATATTAATTTAAACATAGTTTTAGAGTTAAAAAAATAGACTGATAATAATAGTTATAGGTGGTTAATGATAGTTGTTTATGATAAAAATTGATCAAAATAACTGTAATTTTTAATAATTAAATATAATTTATTTTAGAAACAAGAAAAATAAATTGAAAATAATTTAAATTTGTTTTTATTTTAAAAAAACAAAAAAAATTAAAAACAATTAAATAAAAAATGCTTATCGAAAAAAAATTATTTTTTATTTTCAAAAACCAAAAACAGTTTTTAAAAACTAAAAAAAAAAAAAACAGACTCTCAAAAGATTTTTTATAGAATTGAGATTAGGAATATGAATAGGAAAGAAAGTAGGACTAGAATTTTAAAGAATGTTTAGCTTGACAACGAAATTTGGTACAATTTTTATTTAATATATGCTTCATAATATTAAAATGACTAAAACATCCTATACTTAAATGCACCTTTTGGTGAAAATTAGGAGTTTTGCTTGTGAAAGTTTTAAAATAGATTTTGGCCCCCACTTCATGTTTTATTTTCAATGCAGCCCTTCTATTCAGTGGCTTGTGGTTCTGTCCCCACACTACCTTCAACCCTTCAGTCTACTCCATGATCAGCCAAAATCAAAGATCAAAACAAGGCCCGTTAAAATCACAAAACCAAAATCATTGGGAAAAAAAAATCCTAGATCCATAATCAGAGATGGAGGAGATAATGATAATATGAATGTAATAGATATTGCACATATATATTGATAATTGTGTGATACAATCCATTTCAATTTATATCATCTCTACAATCAAAGCCTGAGAATATTTCCTTAAACCCCCAATGGGATACCATATAATGACTCAAAATCAAATTTATACCATTTGAATTTGATTTTACATTACTACTTGTACATAATATACTTTAAGATTATATACTTAAGCTAGTGCATACCAAGCATAAATTTATCATTGTGAAATAGTATGCTAAAATATAATCATCACTTTAACTCTTTCAATGGAATTGAAGCATGCAATTCCCTTCAAAATGAGTTAAATTACAAGAGAAAAATACATGGATGTAATATCGCACCTTTGGTTGCCATTGTAGTTGAGTCTCAAAAACTTACAACAATAATCATTGATAGTCTCTATAGATCTTATATAGCAAAAATCATGGCCGGAAAAAGAAATTAGTAACCATCACCCTAAATGACCAAAAGGAAGAAAATGTTTCCTAAAGCTATCAAAATGGTCCAAGCCAACCGTTTGTAATCAGATTGAATTAAAAGTCAACTCGTGTCTAGGAAAAAACATTAGACTAAAGTATACATTTAATCTTTTAATTTTATATGTTTTATTTTAATCTCTTAATTTTATAAAGTATCTTTTTAATAATTTAATTTTAATATTTTTAATTTTATCCCAACAAATTTATACATTAAACTTTTAAATATTGATAAAATATTCTTAGATGTTCACATATTAAGTTTAATTTTTTAAAAATAATAATGATTGACATAAAAAATAATCATTTGAAACTAATGATATTAAGGTTAAAAAATTAAAAAGATACTTTACAAAGTTAAAAGATCAAATTCAAATGCTATATAAAGTTAAAGAACTAAAAGTATACTTTAGCAAAAAAAAAAAAACTATTACAAGGTCAAAATATTAAAAAATTAATGAAAAGTAACATTCATGCACCATTTTATTGTCTTTTTTATTCTTCTGATAAAACAGTGCATGAATAAGCATGGTATAACTCTGGGTGAAAATGTATATACACGAATTTTATTGATATTTAAGGAAGGTTCATGCACCGTTTTTCTTTTAATTTTAATCTTTGTACCAAACAATGCATGAACAAGCTGACATTCATATTATGAGAAAAAATGTATATGAACATAGAAAATGTATAAAGTTAAATCTTTGGAACATTTGGAGGGATCATTCAAAAAATGGATGAACATCCATGATACAACTTTAAATAAAAATATAAATATAAACAAGGTTATTAAAGAAATCCAATGCTCCCACACCATTTTTAACTTCATTTTATTTTTTCCTACCTAGCAATACATGAACAAGATGAGTAACACTTTATGTGAAAATGTCATTAAAAAACACTTTATGAGAAAAGATGTACATGTACATATACATGACAAATGTTAAAAATATACTTTTAAAATATCTGAAAAGGAACATAGCCTTAACTAGAATGTATCATCCATTTTCTATTTTTTTTTCAAATCCTTCATATCATTAAAAAAATAACTTTTGACAATGATTCATCATGATTAAAAAAAAATCACCACTTAAGATTCACTTTAAGCGATAACACAATGTCATCACCAAAATGATCATGAAAAGTATACTTTTGACGACGACAGAAAAAATCTCCACAACTTAAGCTTTTTTTTTTTGGGCTCAAGATTCAAGTTTAAATATTTTGTCTATGGATGATAACAATTATTAGATATTTTAGAACATCTATGTGATTTTTTTTAATTTTTATTTGCACTTAAAATGTGAAATTTGGATGGTTAAAGTATACATTTAATCCTTTAATTTTATAAAATATTTTATTTTAATAATTCAACTTTATAAAGTGTCTTTTTTGTCCTTAAACCCTAACACTGTTAGTTTTATCTTAATAAATTTTTACATTAAACTTTTAAATATTAACAAAACATTCTCACATGTTAACTTATTAAGTTTAACTTTTTCAAAACAATAATGATTGATACAAAAAAAAATGATCATCTAAAACTAACAATTTAGGATTAAAAGACTGAAAAGATGCTTTACAAAATTAAAGAATCAAACTAAAACTTTATATAAAGTTAGAAGACTAAGATTATACTTTAGCCAATTTGGATTTTAAATTTTTTTAAATATTTCATAATTAAGTTGGGTTTTACAAAAATTGAAAATAAAAAATACAAACTTCAATGCTAGACCCTAAGCCTCAATAATTTGAGCCAAACCTTGAAAAAATGACATATTTAAAGGAAACAAGGCTTTTGGGCTCAAACCTTGATGAGCTTAACTCGTAAAGATTGAACCAGTCCATTTCCTAGCTCTAGACAACATTAATGCAACATTATTATTTTTTTTCATTTTAATCCTTTGTCAAGTGCATTGTAAGTGGGGTGTAAATTATTGTAAAAACACATTCTCATAATCAATTATAGAGATGGTAGTCCACTTATTAAGAAAGAAACAAAAGTGAAAGAGTTAATTGATCTATATGTTTAAAAATGCTTAGGATTATAAACTCATTTTTAATATAATATTTTCCTTTAACTTTTGAAAATAATGCAATCTAACTTTTATTATCAACAAAAGTTAACTTTAACTATTGATTGACCAAAAATAATAGAAAAGGGCCTCAAAAATTACCCAAAAAAGGATCAATAAAATTGTCTTGGCCTTTTTTTGTAATTATTTTGGAGTCATTGTTTGTAATTTTTGTATCCTTTATTGTAATTTTTGAGGTATTTTTTTTATTTTTTTGTCAACTAAAATCAAAGTTAATTTTTTTAATGATAGCAGTTAATGACTCATTTACCTAAGAATTAATCAATTAATCAAAATTATTAATTTATCAATTAAGCTTTTTAATATTAAAAAGTAACTATAATTTGGTTTTCACTACATTTATTAAATAAGTTTTCTTACTGGTAATTAATTAATATTTACTAAGCACCTTATATTATTGAAGGTAGCCATGGAACAAACCATTAGGACCCAAACTACATTTTTTCTAACTTATTAATTCTTATTACTAAAATCAAAGTATATAATAAAGTGAAAACCAAAATGCATGAAAGAACAAACTCGATGGACAAACAAAATTAAGGCTATATTTGGTAAGTGGAATCATAAGCCTGGAAAAGAAATTGAGGTTGAAATCATAAAACACTGATGTTTGGTACATGTGAATTTGAATTTTCAAAAATCCTGATTCAAGGAAAAAAAGTTAAATTGGATTCTTTGGCGGGAGCTATGAAATTGGAGCAATTCTATGAAATTATATTTTTTGAAGATAATTTTATCCTCATATAAAAATTGAAAAGATGACTATGCCTTTGCTTATTTGTGATTAATACTAGAAGAATCGAGCATGTAGGCGGTTGTGATAGGGACAATTCAAAATGCACAGTTCTTGCGCTTTCATTCCTTGTTCTCTCAAATATATATATATATATATATATATTGTAATATAATATATGTGTGTGTTTATATAATTTATATATTTATAATATTTATTTTATAAAATATTTTACTTATTTTTAATATCTATCATCTATATAATATTTCATTTATATATTAAATAATACATGAGAAATTAAATCACAATTAAGCTTTTAATACATTTTTAATTTTGATTTTAATTTTTAGGAGTATTTTTGTCTTTTAAGTATAATTCTATTTCCATGTCTTATATACCAAACAAAAATAATACAAGAACTCCATTTATTTTTTCTAACATAGCAAACGTATTTTTAAAATTTAATTCTATTTCAATTTTAATTTCAATTTCAATTCCATCAAAAACTATTCATACCAAACGTCGCCTAAATTGTATTGCCAAAATTCTTCAACAAAAAAAATTTAAAAATTAAATATAGTTAACCATAACAAAGATTTTGTTTTTTTTGGACAATAAACAATCACAAATTAAAACACTAAGTAACTTAGAGCTTAAGCGACAAATCAAGACCTGAAGAATCAAGATCATCATCATCTTTCTCTCTGGAAGCTTCTTCGGATATAAACTTGGTATGTTGATCACTAGTAGCAGCAGTACCAACAATGGTAGTAGTAGTCGTTGAAGAAGATGAATTATTCCCACACTGATTATGAGTAGTTAGAGGACTAATATTACTAACTTCTTCAATCCTCAAAGTTCCTGAACTTGCCCTAATTCCAAACCTATCCAGGGATTGCTGATCATGCCTAAACTTAAAACTAGGGTAATTATAAGAAGGCTTATGAATCATGGAATCCATTCTAACCCCAAGTGGCTTATTATTATAAGTCATCGAAGAGTTATAATTAATTAGAGGGTTCGGGTAATTGCCACAATAAGGAGAATAATAGTGAGGACCTAAAAGACCAAAATGATTATTTTCAGAAACGACAATCTCTGCTTGTCGTCGTTTTGCAATTGCACGCTCTTGTTTGTGTGCGTTTTGATGGCCTCCTAGAGCTTGTGAGGATGAAAACTCTCTTCTGCAGAAGTTGCAGCAAAAAGTCCTTTGTGTAGTGATGTTCTCGTGTTCATGATCATGATCATGATCATGAACATGAACAAGATGGTGATCAGCAAGATTATGAACATGTTCATGATGATCTTTTCCTTTGGTGTTAATAATGCTTGTTTTAGACGAAGAACCTATGATGTTCACTTCAGATTTGAAGAAATCCAGCTCAGTCTTTGACTTACGAACAGAATTATCATCGTCATCATCAGAAATCTTCATATGAAATACATATCAAGCAACATAAAAGAAATTAAATCAGTTAATCAAATAGTGAAGATATGTGGTAATGTGAACTCAAAATTGTTCTTTTGGTTCTATATATCTCTATGCTAATATAATGCATCAGTTGAGAGATAAAGATAGACAGATAAGATAAGTGGGCCTTCACATGTTGAGTATCGTCTATTCACCTTATACATAGAAACTAAGCCAGGATTTAATATAAGAAAAAGGAAGTATTGAGAGTAACAAATTTTAAATTTTGAAAGAAATTAAAATAATAATAATAATAATAATAATAATAAATGTTTTAAAAAATTATAAAAATATTTAGTACATGGTAACTTTCAACCAAAAATAATGCCATAAAATAAATATTATTCATACAAATATTTTTTTTTAAACAAAAAAAAAACATACGTTTTGGTTGAGCTAGGCAAGGTTAACTCTTACCCAATGTTTAACCTAATGCATGTGCTTGAATGACTCGAGCAAGGCCAAGCTTACTAGAGTCTTGGGCAATATAAACAACCCTAGCTTTTATAAATTTTGGAGCAAGAAGCATAGAACATTTATCTAATGCTAAGAAAAATTTAAAAACTTAAAAGGAGCCATAGCCCGTTCTGGTCTCCTTTCCCTCCACCCTTGACTATAAGTCTACACAAAAATGAAATTAGGTTAGTTTTTTAGTTCCTTGCTTTATTTTTGAAATAACTTTGGGATTTTATTCATATTTTTTAAATCTTTAAACTATTAAAACATTAAACATTAATGGCTTTTTTATGGAATTAATAAAACTAATCACTAACTTAAAAATGAACATGTTATGGAAGGTTTGGACTCTATTTTTCTCATTCTTAGACTACAGACACGCTCAAATCCTCTACAAATTAAATTTGCATTTTTATATATTCAAATAGAGTAAGAGCACGATTTGAAACCTATATAATATATCTGTGTGTGGGTGTGCGTATATATAGTGGCAGAAGTAATGACTGATTACAGAATATTAAAAAGGTGGTAAAAATAATAGACGATAAGTTTAAAGAAAAGAGAGAAAATAATTAAGACAAAACTCAAGAACTTTTTTGTGCTAGTTTTTCTATGAATATATGATTATAAAAAATTTAATCTGACTTCAAGAAAAAAGTTTCACGTAATATATAAAGAGGATTCCAATTGGACTGTGTGATATTCACTGATGCTTCAAACCTTTGTGACAGTAACATATAAAAGTGATTTAAAAATCCCTCTTGTCAGAAAATACGAGTTATTGAAACTCTCAATTTTATCATTAACACAACCTTAAAAATAACAAAACATAAAAAAACAAACAAACAAAAAAAATTATTTGAAAAATAAAAAAAATTCTATATATATAAATTCACTCACTTGAATGCAAATTATTTTTAAAAATTGTTTTGAAATGTAGTTTTTAAAATTATTTTTTAAAACAAAACAAAAATAAAATTTATTTGGTTGTGTTAATTTTTTTAAAAAAATAGAATTAAAAATCGGCTAATAGTTATGGTCATCAACGGTTAATAATGATAACTTATAATGATCATTAATAAATATAACTATAATTTTCAATCATTAAATATAATATATTTTAAAAAACAAGAAAATTAAAATTAAAATAAATTTAAGATATTTCTGTTTTTTATTTTTAAAAATTTTAAAAAAATTACATTCAAAATATTTATCATAACAAATTTTTTAATTTTTTTAAAACAAAAAAATGTTTTTAAAAATAGAAACCAAACAAGCCTGAAACTCTCAATTTTCTGTCTAACACATAACCTTAAAATTAACAAAACAAAAACAAACTAACTAACAAAAGAATTATTAAAAAATACAAAATTTAAAGCTATATATGTATATATATTCACTCACTTGAATCATCTTCATCTTCTGGTTTTTGATCACTTCATCTTTGGAATCTTCTCCTTTGGACCCTCCTAAGATGCTTGAGATTTCAGAGGGAGAAAGCTCCTCACCATTTGCAGCCATGGGAGCGAAACACAAAACAACTTAAAAAGAATCTCAGAGAGAATGAGATATAAATTAATCAAGATGAAAGAATATATGTATGTATATATATTTTCAATTAGAGACACCTATAGTTAATGCAACATAATCTTTAAAGAATTGGAAAGAAATCTGCTTTTAATAATATTGAGGTTATATGATTTTCATTAGAAATATTGAATGATTTATTTGATAATCAAGCTTCCTCAAATTTAAACACACATTCTATAAATATTTATATAAATAATATTAAATGATAATTAATTATTGTCATAGTCAAATCTTTCATAAAGAACATGAAAGTTTGGTGTTAGTGCATCACGGCTTTTATGTAGTTTGTTTGTATAGTATGATTTCAACCAGCTACACGTAAAATAAGAAACCAGGAAAAAATTAATTACTTGTTTAAATAAATTAATTATTTGATCCTTTCTTTGAACTTAGTCTCTTGAAGATAAGAACTATATCAAAGGGATGAAAGAAAGGGAAAACTTATATAATTAACTTTATATACTTAAAATACATATTTTAAAGGAAAAATCATATCCAGCCCCCTCTCAAAGAAATTAATTACAGATAAAAACTAACAAGTCTCATTTGAACAAAAAAAAATAAGTCGTGTTCTCATTTTAACAACAATATATTCCGCATTGATCCTTATCTATGATTAATTCTCTTAAGAGAGGGTTGGATGTGATTTTTCCTATTTTTAATTGAATCAAGACATGTGTATCTTTTATAAACTATTTAATCTACAATTGTTATTAATATTATTAATATATTAAAATTTACATATTTTAATTTAATTAAATAAAAATATATTAAGTATATAAGGCTAAGCATATAGCTATTGCGAGGAAAGAAACAATTTTGGCTTGATTTGTGGCTTTATTTATGGAAATGAACTGAGTGTAATTGATAAATTTTTAGTCTAACCTTGTTAGAAAGATCTATATAAAATCAAGTGCATTTTACACTGGATTTTATTTTGATCTCTTAATTTTATAAAATATATTTTTTAGTTTTTTAACCCTAATTAACACTATTAGTTTCATAAAAAAGAATTCTACACTGAACTTTTAAATATTAAAAAATATTTTTAAATATTGATATATTAAGTTTAATTTTTTTAAAAAATGACAATGATTAACATTAAAAATAATTTATTTTGAAACTAAAAAGAAAAGATACTTTATATAATTAGAAGATAAGCTGAAATATTATATAAAATTAGAGGACCAAAATTAAACTTGAACATTTTCTTTTCATACAAGAGAAAAGAACAACAATTAGACCATAGGATCTAACATATTCCTACATATTCAAATCAAGTCACATTAGATTTTTGCAGTTAAGGGATGGATTGGTCCATCAATTTTTTATTATGCCACATCATCTCTTAAGTGGAGCGTCACGACTCTATTTTGAATCAAGGCTTAAATTCAAATAGATGTTTTGAGATCTTTTCAATCAAAGTAGACTATGAATATGAATCTTGCATTTACACGTAACAGAGCCCTTGATTAATATTTCAATTTATTGCTTTAATTCCATCTTATAACAAAGGATATTTTATATTTTAGATTATCTGTAATTTAATACTTTATATATTTTAATATGATTGTTAATTTTATATTTTTCATGTTCAATGTAATTAATTATATGAATGCTAGTCATATCACTTTTACTATTTACAGTATTGTAATTATTAATTTCATCATCTCATAAATCATTATGTACGTGTATGTGAGCATATATTGGTAATGTATTCTGATAAGTTTATGGTTTTAAAATATTTTTTTTAAAAAAAATTGCAACTCTAAATGGAGTAGATGCTAATAATTTTAAATTTACATGGAACTTGCTCTTGTAATAAAGGTTTTCAAAACTCTCCTCAAGCTCAATATGTTTATGAGAAAATTAATTATTACTGTAAATAAAACATTAAAGATTATAGTAATGATCAACCATAATATTATGAGTACATAGAATCTCTCAGTGGAGACTTTGTTCCATTCCATGTCTCGCTTATTCATTGCAATGTACTAATTATATTCACATTCAATCATCTTTTGATAAGTGATATCATTTTTAATTTATCTATCTACATTTTCATATATTTAGAAAGTTTCAAATTTTAACACTTGGCAAGAACTTATGCAAAATATATTGTCATTGTTATTAGACTTGTTGTTGTAATTTTGAGAAGAAGGAAAAATCACAACTTCATTTTATCATTTGATACACAATTTCATGTAATTTCATTGAATCTCACCTCTGTTTATGTAAGTCGCACTCATTCCTCTTTTCTTGTCTCTTATAAACTTGGAAGAATGTCAATGATGCAAGAGGTCCCTAGATCAAATCTCCAAGTGGTACAGAAAAACTATTATTAGATGCACGTGGGTGGGGTGTTGTGTGCGTGTGTGGGGTGTGAGTGTGTATGGACCCCCCTTCCCTCTAGGGAAGAGTTAGACAAGATAGTCAAAAAGAAAGAATAAATATCAATGAAGAATTTTTAAAAGAATTTAATATCTTATAAAGATTTCTAACAAGTAAAAATTAATAAATTAATAAGTGAAAATTTTGTTTAACAAGTATCCAATCTATTTAAGTTTTTGTCAAGTATTAAATTCTTTTAGGGATCCTTCATTCATATTCTATTTATAAACTTTATCACAAAATATTTCAAAAACCCATCTTTAATGATAATAAATTCCCCTTATAGGTAGATTTGAGAAATGGGCAAAATAAGGCTTGTAACATCCTAAAATTTAATCTCAAGATTAAATTAAATAATTAAGTGGTTAAATTAATTAATCAAGGTAGTTCGGAGTTATTACCAGAGTTTGGATGGCCACATTACTAGAAAAAAATCAATTTAGTGAGACATGAATCCTTTGCTAAATGGACTTTAGCAAGGGATTTCGTCCCTCGTTAATTTCGTTGTGAAAAGATAACCTCACTAAATTTGGCGACAAAATACATTCCCTCCCTAAACATGTATCTATTAAAAAATGACCACCTAATGCCACATCACTAGTGCCTTATGACTAGCCATGTTGGGTTAGTTTATGTCATGTCACCTATCATCTCATGTCTCGTCACCCACTAAGTATGCAACAATTTATGTTTACACTAGCCAAAACTTGAACCATTCACCTCTTACTTTTCTCAAATCTTATGTTTTTCTTCTTTGCCAATTAAACTAAAGTGCTCCTGCAATTATTTTATGATAAATTAAATATATGTTATTTAACTACAAAAATATATCAAATAATATATTATAAATATATACATACACTTCCTCCGTTCAAAAATGTAAGACATTTTTAATCGAATCTCACTTATCAATTGTCTTTAAACTAACAATACCTTTTCATATTTATCTCTATTTAATAAAGTGTTTGACCTTAAAAAAATATAAAGTAATCTATTTAATAAGGGCACTTTTGAAAAAAAAAAGAAGCAATGATTATATCTGAAAAGATTAAAAATTTTTTATATTTTTTAACATCCAACTCATCCAAAAATGCTTACATTTTTAAATGGAGTGAGTATATTATATTTTATTTTTAAATATTAATACATTAAAAAAATTTATTTGTATTTATATAACTCATTGTATTATATTTTTAATAAAAATATTATTTTTTAAAGAAAATAAAATTAAAATAAAGAAAATATTAAACATTAAATAATTTTATTATGAACTTTTTAAAATTTTTAAATCTAATTTTTATTTTTAAATGAAAATAATTAAATATATAATAAATTAAAACTCATTTTCAAAAGTTGATTTTTTTTATAATAATTAGCTAGGACCATAATCCCTTACTTATTATATAATTTTAGAGAGGGATAATAGTCCCTTGCTACTTATCTTATTTTAGAGAGAGATTGTTAGTCCCTCATTATTTTCCTCATTAATTATCTTATTGTAGAGAATAAATGGCATTCCCTCTCTAATTTTAAATCTAGCTATGAAATCAACTTTCCTTGCTAACTTGGCTTTCTAAGAAACAATAGACAATCTCTCACTAAATTTTCTCACTAATTCACATTTTTCTAATAGTAACATTTAAGCCTATTGGACCTTCTAATGGGTTTGGAATAGGGCTTAAAAGGCTATTGGGCCAAATTAGGCTTAGATATTGGGCTTAAGTGAAACTTTTTGTTTTGGGTTTTTCACTGCGGCGAGGAGTGTAATTTTCCTTATCAAGCATGGCAAAAATTTTAAAATCATATAGTAAGATTAGTTTTAATGTAAGAGATTTCTAAGGGTTTTGGATGAGAGAAATTGAGGAGCTCTACTAGGGTTTTGGTCGGGTGAACCTTGGAAGCATTTTTTTAAGCATTCAAGGCTTTGGGTAAGCTTCCTAATCCTATATATTCTCTTCTTCTTAGAATTTCTGCAAGTTTTGGGGGTTGTCATAGTAACATCTAAACCTAAGCTTGAGTTTCAACAATTCCATGGATGTAAATAGAGTTTATAATTATTATTTAATGCTTCTACACCTTAGTTTTGGTTAATGACAGTGTTAAATGTCATTAAGGGGGTTTTAGAGTTAACCCTAATCATAAATAATCAAATTTTAAGCCTAATAGGAGTTAAATAAACTAATGAAAATTAGTTTTAGGGTTGGATATGCTTCATCATGCTTAGTGAGAAATTAAGCCTTAATCACAAGTTAAGATTTAATTAATGACGATTAGTCATTAATGTTGTTTTGTGAATTTGGTTGTAAACTAATTATGCTAAGAGCTTATGTTCGAAGTAGCTCCCTCAGGAAATCCAAACTTAACTCTTAGGGTAGTAGCATAAAAGTATAGGTAATTGAGAATTTAACTATTATATGTCATTATGTTTGTGATTGTATTAAATTGTTACATAATTAATATCATGTAATGAGTAGCATGGATTTGTTGTCAGCCTATGAACTACGATTGATTGTTAATTGATAACTATTCTTAATGGAGATTAAATGATTGATAGCTCTATTTAATTGTATGCTATGTGTTATGAGACATGAACTGTAAGCCTAGACTAGCAGTGAATTATTATTTTCAATATGATGGAATGCATGCCTGGATTGGCTGAATTGTGATTAACATGGATATGAGGTATTGAGTGAAATCATAATTATATGAATCGTGATAACATGTGAATTATATTATTGACGAGAATGTGCATCTATTAAGATATGCATGAGATCATTTACATTTATTGATATAGACTTGCGTGAGCATAAGAGGAGGGAGTTCACCCTAAAGTTGTAAATGATTATATTGGTAAAATTCACATAGTGTAGCTTCTACTGAGTTTGCGCATAATGAATTAGCATATTTCATTACTAATATGTTTATTATTACCAATAACCTACAAATGTGGCATGGGTCGAATATGATGTTTAGTATAACCGATCTTGGATTGAACGGCATAGGATGATATCTTGAAGTGTGTATGTAGGGAATCCATGGTCCAAGAATGAGTGTGGGAGCTTTTAGTTGGGCAATTCCTCACAATTAGAGAGTGGAGTTAATCCAATCATATAGGTTAGTTCTAGATCAATTAATAGTTTATGGGTTTGGTCAAATGATATGAGAATAAATATGAGGTGGTTGCTTTGATTGTGAGGTGTAAGCTCATAAGATTAAACTGCAATTGACTCTAAATTATAGCAGTTTAGGGTTTAACCCTCAAAGAATTATCAAATTGTAAAATATTATAAAAGAAATTTCTTAAAATTCTTTCAAAGGAATCACAATCTTAACAATTCAAATCTCAAACATGATTTAATAATTTCAAATTAGAGCTTTGAAAGTAAAGTGGAAACTTGAAAATTAATTGGGACCTAAAATAATGGGTTTTAAAACTCAAAAATAGATTTTGTGTAGAAAGTGTCACGTGTGCCGCGGCTTACGGCTTGTGTGCCGTAGTGTGTCTTCTTTGTGCCTTGTGTCACATCGTATTGCGTGAAATTTAACTGTATTAATACTGTCATTTGACAACACAAAGAGTAAACTTTCGATGTGTCCCAAATCTCTATCTAACGTCCGATTAAAGTTATTTTGGTGTCTACACGAAGCTTTCTCCTAACTCTAGCCAATGACATCAATTTCACACTCAAACTCATTTTTTTTATAAAAAGTTGGACACCAAAATCAATTATTATCACTTTTCACAAAATTTTATAAGTGAGGTGTCCTAACTCAATCACATGTGCTAATAGCTCACACCAACCATCCAACTATATTCAATCAACTCTTGTGGACTCGTGCAATACACCATACACAATCAAAAATGTTTATCTCATAAAATCACCATTCAACTCTAATTTTCACAAAATATAAAGGGGAAGCAAAATGTTACACAAAATCAACAATTTCATTCTAAATTTCTCAAAATACATATGTTTCTACTTGTACAAGTATTTTGGCCCTATCCACCGGTTCACAACCAAAACTCACTAACCTAAGGCATAAAATACATTAGTTATACACAAAATTATGCAAGTGGTGCATAAAACATGTCAAATAATCCTAGCTGGCAATTACATTAACAAATACACATGAAAGTAATAAAAGATAGGCATATAGAGGATTATTCCACAATCCTAGACCTTTATATATTTTTCTCGACTTGAATCCGATGAGCTAGGTCCTGAAAATATTGAGAATTAAGTGGTGAGTACAATCACTCAGTAATTAAGTTTCACTTAACCCATATAATTACATATTAATTGTAAATAGATGTAATTAAGCAAATAAGCACAGATAACACATAACACTCAGCCATAATTCACAAAATTAACAATCATGTGACTGGGCTTGCCACAAAATACTTTATCATGTTATTTAGCAAAGACATAACATAGGGTTGCAAAAATAACAACTATGCACCTTCAACACATGTCGGACTAACAAACTAACAATCATGTGGCCAGACTTATATGCATGATCATATACCAACCTTATATCCTCCTATTATCTTCGATACAGAATCGGTGGCTATCACATGGTTATGTCCTTCACAGACTAACCCAACCTTTTACTTGTGAAGAGCTACGGGGCCAAGGTGAACTCACTCACTTATGTAATCCAGTTTCTCCTAATAGTAATAACCATGGGGTGTTGTACCTCTAATTTAGCCTCCTCATAAACTGATGGAGACTAGTTAGGTTCGAGTCCCCTCATAGAACAAGTAAGACAGTCCCGAATCAACTATGGGACAAGGGCTACCTTTCGATTCCAATAGTCAGTGTCAAGGCTAGTTCTCAATTTTAACGGTCAATATCAATACCACATAGATTTAAATCAATCTACTCCTCTCCCTAAGCAAACTCCCGTCAATGATCATGTTATACACATTTCTCACATAATATGCATTTTAATAATTAATTCATAATACATGAACTCACATAACTCAAATATTCCACAATTCAATATATAATTTATCACAATTCTTCACCCATAGTAATAAATCATTTTACAATCAAATAATTTGCCTATATGCATCATTAATTTAACTCATAATTCACATTTCACAAACACAATTAACATTCAAATATAAAGATTAAGTTTTTCCCAATTATCTCAAACCTTTAAGAGGTCAAAAGTTTACTCCTCACTATATCACATTCCCAAAACTTCAACAAGCTCGAATAGTGTCAAAAACGAACCTCACTACATCCATGCCACAAAAATATCATCATTGTTTAACTCTTGAAGCTTTTTCAACATATAACTTCACACATTTTATTTTTACCAACTCATAATCACTACCCATTCATACCCAATGGATTCATTAAATTTTATTAATATACCTTATCATTAACAACACCTTAAACCATTATTAATGCACATAAACCTCTCCCAACTATCATATTTATAATAATTTTTAGATAATAAATGCTTCCATAGACCAACCATTTTCAAAATTATCAATGTGGTATTTTAATTCATTAAACAACTCTCATTATACTTATTTTAACCAATGAAATCGGACCCATACTCCTATAGACCGAAAATCCATCTCCTAAGTCAAACCCTACCATAAATCATTATAAATAAGGGAGAGAATGGAAGAAGAAGGCACCATAAACTTACTTTAGGTGTTTAAAAGCTTCAAAACACCAATGATGAAAGCCAATGATGTGCCCTAACAGAGCCTAAGTCAAGCTCTTCATTTTCCTCCCCTTATCTTCTTCTGTTTTCGCATGCATGCAATTGATATATCAAAATTTTGGCCGTGCGCCACAACACACGTTGCCTTTCGCCGCGGAGCATGGCACAGAAGAGTTTGTTATTTAAATTTGTCTCTACGTACCACGGCAGACCAACCACGCGCCACGACATATAGCACAAAGAATAATTCTTCACTTTCTCTTCCTCTTTCCTTGCTTAGGTGGCCCGCCATCAATTTAGACCTACTTCTAGGGCTGAAATCACAACAATTGTGCTAAGTTAAGCTCCTCGAGCCACACACCTTATTAACTCACTAATTACTCTCATTAGGTTAATAAACTAGGGTTAAATTTTTTCAAATGTTACATGAGGCATTGAAATGTGAATAAGAATATTTATTGTATGGACTAAGTTATATATTATACACTACCTGGTTGATTGTAACTGCTACACTTTAATATGCTTTGATTATATTCTTGGTTACTAATATTATTTAATCTCACTCCTATTATTCAATATTTTTCCAAGTGATGATAAGGCTAAAGAAAAAGGAAGAGGCATCGACGTCGAAAACCTACTTGTGAAGTTTCTAGTTTCAATTTATCTGTAATTGGACTTATGGTTTGCCAACACTAGGATTTATGCATACTTTATATATGTGAATTATGATAATAGTAATATGGATGTTTTATTTAGCATATAGTATATGATTGGGAATGTATGTGAGGGGAGAAACTTGATTTTGTGCATGAAGCATAAATATTGTTTGGATACAAAGTGTTCTATAATTCTCATTTGGTATCAAAATTGAGTTACAATTGTTGCCAATAGTTAGATATTTTAATTACCCATGTTTGGACTTTTAGATTTTCTTAATTAGAGCTTCGAGTGATTAATTATGAGGGTTTGAAGTTTAAATTATGCATGTTCTTTGCATTGATAACATAGGGTTTACCATGATGAACAATTGGCCACAAAAAGTAGTGTTGTGGGTCAAGGTGAGTTGGTCTTTGTGTCTTGCGTCACAGCAAACATGTCACAAGCTACGGCGAGTGCATCAAATTTCAATTAGCTGCAATAAATTGGCAAAGTTCTTCCTAAAATGGCTAATTTGCCCTTTCTATCATTGCTTTCTCAATGCTAAGTTTTGCATCCCATGTTTCCACATATTTTTAAATATTTTAATTTCTGAAAAATAGTATCCCTTTCATTCAAAAAAACAATTATCTCTATCCTTCAAATATTTTTGAAATCTCAATTTTCAAAGTTGACCTTTACTATTATTATTAATAAATATTAAAGCCATGGTTAATCTTTAAAGTTAAGGGTTAATAGTTAATGGAGTCAAAAATGTAATTGATGATGGCGGTCATTATAAGGCTCATATTGACTCAAGTCTGTAAGCTCAATTTTTCCAAAATCGATTGTTTTTCTAAAATCAATTTTTCCAGCTTTGTAGTTAAAGTGCTAATAGAACTTCGTTAATGTTTATAGTTATGTAAGTATGACCATATACATACAAATAAAATAGAAAGAATACATAAACCCCATTAAGTTTACTTTTACTTGACCACACAAAAATTTACAAAGAAAATGCAATGAAAATCTCGTCAATATTTGAGGCTATGCAAATCCTAAAATCCTCTTCGCTGAAAAAATAGAGAAGCCATTTTGCAGAAATATTAGTACATCGACAGACTTGGTAATCAATTTTTAATTTTAAAAAATAACTTTACATCTTCAATCTACTTCACCAAACAAAGTAGTTCATCCAAAGCAGGGTATACCCAGTCCTATAAATAATATCAAGGGAAAAGGAGAGTAAGAAATAATCTGGGACTCAATTTAAAAGTCTAACCATTTCTGATAATACACACAAGTTATGGGAGAAATGATACCATCAGGCGTACAAGAGCTTATTCTGGGGCAAACTCCACATGGAATAGAAGCCATGGCACCAGTTTTTGGTTCCTCCTTAGAGCCACTCTTTCTTTTGCGTCGATAACAAACCCTACCTACAGGAATAGAAGCAAAATCCCCAAATCCGGTGCTCTTCGTTTCGACAATCTCGTCATCCAAGATCAAAGCTCGTAGAATCTCTTCGATTTGATGTGATGTCAATTCAACATTGAAGTACTTCTTCCTTTGAACCCCCTCTAGAATTCCATCAAGCGTGTCGACTTTTGGCCAGGGAATTTCCTTCAGACAAGCCGCCTTTACACAGTCTATGAATCCTACATCAAGACTCCCATTGCTATACCAATCACCACCTGTGATTTCCTTGGACGGTTCAAACTCAGAAGCCATGTAGTGCTTTTTTGCTTTGTTTTGGCAATTTACAACCTCCTTTATGAGTTGCTTCAGTTGAAGCGAACCAAGGGCCTTTTTGACCACATTGTCAGGAAGATTAGTTTCACGTTTCATGTCTTTACTCCAGATTCCCATGTCTTTTCTGCTTCGGATGACATTGTAAAGAACACGCTCTGCATCTGTGAGAGACCCTGATGAAGGAACTCCGTCTTGTCGTTTTCTTTTAAGAGCGGAAGATCCTTGCATCCTTACAAGAAGACAAATCTGGTACAATGTAATAATTCAATATTTACTTAAATGACTTGAAGAGCTCTAAAAGCAGTTCCAACAAGACTGTTTGTTTTGTAGAGGTCATAGATTTAAAAAGGGGAAAATTACAACCAGGTCTCTCATAAGAAAATTAATTATTGCAAGGTTTATTGACTGCATTAATAATTAGTTGTGCTGATAAAGCAATTTAGTTCAGTTGCCAATGAACTTTGCAGTAATTAATTTCCTTGCATGAAACTTTAATGTAATTCTCCTTTTAAATAATGAGTGACTCAGAATATAGGTACAAATTAGTGACTTGGTTTCTGTCAAAACTAATTGTAGATGGAAACATCATTACATTTATAGATGACAAAAGAGAGAGATACAAGAAAGACGTATAGCTTTAAACAAATGGGATCAGGTTACATATTAAGTTTCAATTATCATTTAAAACAGAAAGAAGATCAGATAGCATGAGAGGATAACGAGCACAAACCGCATGGAAATTAGAATAAAATATTACCAATTTGTTTTGAAATCAAGTTTCAATCACCTTACTCTCACATTAAAACAAATGATAGTTAAACTAATGCTTTTAAGTGAACTCAAGAGGAAAGACAAATTCAAGTTTGAATATCCTTTATCTTTTCATTGTTAACTCTCTAGATATTGCAAAAACACTAAATTTTGTAAGGATAGGCATAAAAACCTGCACCAGGGGACTAAAATCAAAACGTTACAGAACGTATTCATGCATTAATGGAATTAGAGAAATTCTCTAGCATCTTATTCATCTAAATATCTAAACAATAAACTTACACTCTATGACTGTTGATAATAATATGTTATTTCAAGAAAGGGAAAAATATTGAAACTATGCCCAAGCAATGCGAACTACAATGCCAGGTGGACGGCAAAATGTTTTTTGAATATCAGAAAGATCAGCAGCATTTCCGAGCTCAATTGCATATTTGCAAGACAACTTAAAGACAGGGAGTTCATTTCCAACTACATTGCATGAACATGTCAAATTAGCATGCAGTATAGAAGATATCCTACATGTTTAACCAAAACAATCTTTAAATCAGAAGTTGACGAATAGAAAATGTTAATATAAGCTCATTTATAGTACTTGTACGACCTTCAAATTCACCAAAACCCTCCGATCAAAAAACTTAAGGAATTTGTTTTTCTGTTGAAAGGAAACCTATCTGGAATATGTCGTACTTCATAGTTAAAATGATCATGCTTCATCAACAAAACAAGCAGAAGCAACCAGTGGACCATTTTTTTTCTGGCCAAATGATGTAAACGGTAGACCTAAATCAATTTAGGAGAGCCCAATATGGTCACATAGGCGGACCTATGCTACACTCAGTGGGGGCATATCTTTGAAATATGCATAGTTGATATAATGTCCTTTCAATGTTTGTTCCAGATACTTTGACACAACTCGAGCCAAGTCATTTACAAGATCACACATCATAAGAACCTTGAGAATTTCCAAATTTGATGATACTATAAAAAGATTAATAAACAGAATGCCAAAACACAACAAATCCAGCATTGAAAAAAAAAAATCCAAATCATACAAGTCGCTAGTAATCAAAATGAAGAGGGAAGAAGTATAATAGCCAATTAGACACCATTCAAGCAAAAACTAGTACCAAAAAAAAAAAACTCCATATGTAAATATTCCCAAATCCAAAGGTGTCAATATTCAACGATTACACGACCAGATTCAAAGCCAAATTAAAATGAAAAGTTTAAAACAAAGCAAGAACAGCGGAAACAGATGAGCCAGGGGAAAAATCAAATCTAGATTCAAAACACCAGATTGAACAAATCAATTTCACCGAATTTTGGGAGTAGAAAAAGCCCTAGGGTTCGAACCTTCTTCACTGCTTGCCCGAGAACAACCACGCAGGGCTGACAACGGTGACGGCGACTGACGGAGTATGGGATGCTTGTTCGTCGAGTAAGATAACTGAATCCGCTACTCACATGGAGGGTTTTATCGGGATTTATAATTAATTTTAGGAAGAATTTGGTGTGGCCCAAAATTAATTATTAAAATAGCAAAATTAATTTCTCTAAATAATAAAATTTATTTTATGAATTTATACTTAACTCTTCTATATCAAACAGCGTTAAAATTTTGGGTATACCAAATATATTTTTCACTCTCTTTTTTAAAACTTCTTTCATTCTCATTTTTTTCTAATTTTTTCATATTCATGTTTTTTCAATTTTTCTAATAATACGTTTTTTTCAATTTTTTAAATAATTAAAAACAATCCAAACCTCTATTGAATAGAATTAGAAGAGATAAATGAAATTAATTGAAAAATAAAGCCGATAGAAACTATATATTAACATATAGTCTTATCTTATATTAATACAAATATTTCCTCCGTTTTAAAATATAAAGTATTTTTTATAAAATTATATATTTAAAAATATAAGGTGTTTTTAATTTTTTTTAGATATAATCATTGTTTTTTTTAAAAAGTATCCTAATTAAATGAATCACTTTATATTTATCATATTGTGTTTAATATGAGTAAATATTAAAAGATAAAGTTAGTTTAAAAATAAATAATTACTTTATTGAGTTAAAATTTAGTTAAAAATGCTTTATATTTTTTAACAGAGGATGTAATTATATATATAATTAGTGGAGATAATAATTAAAAATAAATAAAAATTATGAAATGATAAAATTATTATTATTTTACAAAATTTTATATCATGTATAAATATATGAAATATTTACTATTAATAAAATGTAAATTTTGGTGAACAAAAGCAATTCATCTTTCATAAATACACAAACATAATAATTATAAAAAAATAAAATATAAAAAATTATATTTTATATTGATATTTATTAAATTATATTAAATCAGTCTTAGATTAAATTAAAATTAATATTAACTTAAATAAAATTAAATTTAAAAAATGAAATATCAATTGTTATAAATATAAAAGATTAGTTGTTACACATTAAGAATACCACTTGTAATATCCAGAACAAAATATATAATTTTTACATTAATAATAAAATTATTCAAGTCTTATTTAAAACCCACCTCAATTTTAATTTAGTGGGGATAGTTCATATTTACAAATTCCAATGATAAAATTACCCATATTAATCTGCGACTAAATGCAAAACTTAATTACAATCTTTTCCACTTTAATCCAAATTTTTTACCGAATCATGAAAAGAAAGGAACTTGAACGTCCAAAGCCAAATCAAAACCTCAAACTTTAGTTTTTTTTTTTTCAACTAAGATCTGTGGAATACAACTTTATGAAATCAAATTTGAGCATCATGAGAATCAATGTAACATATGTAATGAGCAGTTTCACATGAAATTGTCAATGAGGAAAAACAAAGATGCCAATTTGGTCTTTTTATTGCATGTTCGTTGAACAAAAGCCTAGAGGCAATTTCAACAATAAAAACTATTATTGATACATAGATCTTATGATCCATGGAACCCCTTACCTAGTCATATATTTGTCTTTAAAGTGCATATTAAGATGAAAATGTACAAATTCTTATATGTGCCACAAAAATCCCCTATCATCGACTCAAATTAAATCAAAATATCAAAGATTCAAATCTAGAAAAAGTTAAAGACAAACAAAACAAAAGCTAAAAAAAGTTAGAGGTATTGGTGAGGAGCAGCTCGAGAGAGAAGCTAAGAAGAGAGGTGCTTGATGCAAAATGAAGAGAAATGCCAATGACTGACGACGAGGGGTTGGGATAGTGTCGGCATGTGAGTTCGAACTGAAAGGGAGGCCAAAAGCCAAACTACAAAAACTGAAGGTTGAAGGAGTGAAGACTAAAGGTTGAAGGAAGTTCAAGCAAGAAAAGCAAATTTGAGTTAGGAAGGAGTTACTAATTTAGGAATTGAGGAGTGTAGGGCTAGACTTGTCAAGTATAAGGAATTAAAAATTAAAAAAAACCCTGTTTTTTTAATTAAATAGTGCAAAATATAACTCAATCAATTTGAATATTAAATACATACATACATATAATAAATTTATAATATAGTTGTTAGTAAAATAATATATTAACACGTTTAACTTTTGAATTTCTTAGATTTTTTTAAATTTTTGGCCTTTTTAATATTATGTTTGGACTCATTTGATTTTTAAAAAACTATTTTGATTTCTATCAACCGTGAAAAAAAATTTTGATCTAAATTAAGTCGTTAATGATTCCAGTCGACAATCTAACTAATCCGAATCTTAAAACAATGAACCCATTCCATCCTTTTAGATTAAATAAGTTTAGTTGTTCAATCCATATTATTAACTCTAATAAAAAAAAAGTGATACACAAAGCCAAAAGATACGGATTGAGCTAGATTAGTTACTCATTGATTAGAGATCCAATCTAGTCATGATCACATAGTTTAGGCTTAAGACTCATAATTTGGTCCATCTAATATAAACTTGGATATCTCACTAATTACTATCAACTTTGGTAATGTAAGCACCTCCAGAAGAGTTTACCCATTCGATTGCAATTCTTTAGACTCTTTGATCCACATCTTGTGTGACCATACAAAATCTAGAGAAGCATGGTTGAAATAAGTTAAAAAACTTAAGGTCTCATTTGCTTATTAGAAAGGAATGGAACGAAATAGATTGAAAAAATAAAAGTAAATATAAGATGATCGAAAGATATGGTAAACCACATTCATAAAAGAAAAGGGCAATTTAGTTCATAAAGTTGGAAATTACGTTTCATGAGATTTTTAAAGGGTATAATCATTTTCACATTTATAGTATATATTAATAAGTTTTATCATACTTATTATGAAAGAAATGGTGATTTAGTTCACTTTTGTATTGATTTTTCTAATTAATTTCATTATATTCTTTTCTAAAAACCAAACAGGGATCAAAGCTTTTTTTTCCCCTCTTTCATAGCAGGACTAGATTGTTTGGAATACAAAAAGTGACACTAGAAGCCTAAGCACTAGAAAACTCCCATAGCAAAAACTTACCTATGCTATAACATCTGGATATGCAAATTAATTAAACTCAACAAGTCTTTAGAATATGATAGAGTTCACACAAAATGGCGCCCACTAGATTCTAGATGGATGAGATTGGACATTGATGATTCTGTTGACACTAGCAGCTTGAATTTGCCACCTATGGAGGCTTTACTTGAGGTGATTAAGGAAATTAGATTAATGATTTTTCTAGATATCTTGATTATCACCACAAAGTGCAACAAAACTTACTAGTATTCTAGAGGACTTTAACTTTTGCCAGAATAGCATATTCACTAAAATTAACATAAATTCTAACTCAACTGAAGTTCTCACACCCATTCAACGGGACTACTCCTAAAACTATCTTCTTCAAATACTATCAATAGGATGAGAGAAAGTTCAATTTTAAACATATAGGTGGAATGATTGCTCATGTTTTTAGTTTTAGAGTGTAAATTGATGTACCTATGTAAGTTATAAATCTAAAATACATGTTTTATTTTAAGAATGTAAATAACAATTTTAAAATGCCTATCTAAAATACATGTTTTAGAATTCGTTACCTATGTATCTTAAGAACATTGAGAATATAAATAATTTCCTATTTAAGTCTTTTACAAATTTAAAATATAAATGAACAATTTATTATTTCAAAATTGGGACCCATGTAAATTAAAATTTAAATGCGTTTTAATTTATTATTCCATGCATATAAATAACACCTTGTTTTATTTTGAGATTGTCACTCTTACTTTAAAAATTAATTAAAAAATAAAGAACATCTTGTCTTATTTAAGAATATGTTACCCCATATAAATTAAAATCTACATAACAACATGTTGTATTTTATAATTTGTTACTTCATATATATTGAAAAATATAAAGAAAAAACTTGTTCTAGTTTAAAATATTTTTATCATTTGAGTATAAAAAACATAAGAAACTTATTTTATTTTTACAACTTGTCACTCTTATGCATACTAAAAATATATAAACAACAATTCTATTATTCTACAAATTATTATCTTGTGCATTTTAAAAATACAAGTACAAATTATTTTATATAGAATTTGTGATTCAATGCAAATTAAGATTTGAAGTAACAAAAGTTCTACACATATTTTTTGCATAGTTTGTATACATTAAATTTGTAATGTCGATGTTACAGTGTTACACATCCCACGCCTATCCTTTTTATTACTACTCCAACATTTACTCTTTATACTTTCCCTTTGAAGCTCACACTTGTTGTTGTTGTTATTTTAACTAAGGATTACATACCTATTTTTTAATTATTTTTTTGGTTAGAAACCTATTCTTTTAATAATCTTCCCACATTCTTACGAAATATTCCAACTATTAAAAAAAAAAAGCTTCATGGAGTTATTGATGTTCAAAAAACTGTTCGTAAACCATAAACAATCAAAGTTTACTCTATCCATGGGTATATTAAAAAGAGAAACTTACATTAAGTTCCCATAGAAAGAAATTTATTAGGGACAATTACATTAAAGTTTCACATAAAGAAATTAATTACTATAAAATTCATTGATAATTGAATTAAATTGTATTAACAACACAACCAGTTGTTAATGCAGTTTAATCCAATTGTCAATGAACATTGTAATAATTAATTTTTTTTATGTGAGACCTAACTGTAATTCTCTCAATTTATTATCGAGAAGTTTCATGAATTTTATAAAATGCTTTCAAATCTCAAATCCTACACATTAACAACTTAACTAAAGGTATTGACAATTGGGCAACAATCATTTATAACTTGTAAAGAAAAATGACAACTTATAATAAAGAAAAAATAATAACTTATAATAACAAGTTGTAAATGGCCGTTGCTCTGTTGTCAATGCATAGGATTTGAAATTTGAGACTATTTTGTAAAATTTATATAACTTTTTGGTAAATAACTTCCTTTTGTGGGACTTGAATGTGATTTTTTTAAAAATAAA